AAATAAACTGGTTTTTACCTAAGGTCAAGTGTCAAATTTTGAGAGATTAATGCAATTTGCTAAAGCAAAACCTAAGCCTGATGCACCTTCATCACCAATTTAATTTCTACTTTTTAAATATTGAAGAAAAAATATATCATTAAATAGTTAATTAGAAGGAAAAAATGAAGAAAAAATATGAAATAATAATATTAATTAATAATAAAAGCGAAAGTTGAAAATAAAATGATGAGCTAAATTAACAAAGAGAGAACAAAAAAAAAGCAATCACAATAAAAACAAAAACAAAAAAGAGCTTTATTGTTTTTAATTACTTTTTATAATTAAAAATATCACAATCCAAACAAATAAACTGTTTTTACGCAAGATTAAGTGTCAAATTTGAGAGATTAATGCAATTTGCTAAAGCAGAACCTAAGCCTGATGCACCCATTGCACCAATTTAATTTCCACTTTTTAAATATTGAAGAAAAAATATATCATTAAATAGTTAATTAGAAGGAAAAAATGAAGAAAAAATATGAAATAATAAGATTAATTAATAATAAAAGCAAAAGTTAAAAAAAAAATGATGAGCTAAGTTAACAAAGAAAGAACAACAAAAAGCAAGCACAATAAAAACAAAAACAAAAAAGAGTTTATTGTTTTTAATTAGTTTTTATAATTAAAAAAATTACAATCCAAAATAAATAAACTGTTTTTACCTAAGGTCAAGTGTCAAATTTGAGAGATTAATGCAATTTGCTAAAGCAGAACCTAAGCCTGAATATTGATTTTACGTTTTATTTTTATCAAATTTTTAGGTTTTTAGAAAAAAAGGAAACTGGGTGTATGCAAAATAATGATTTTTTATTAATAATTACGAAAATTAAAATGCCTTTACAAATTATAAATACAAAATATAAAATAAATAAAATTAACATTTTATATAATTCAAAATAATCATATGAAATAGTAATAATTACTAAAATACCTTAAAAATAAATTTATAAATTTATAAATATAATAAAAATTAATTTTAAGATGTATTCTGAGTGCATTTATATGTGCGAGTATTTCTATTCTATTCTATCACAAATTTAATTTCCACTTTTTAAATATTGAAGAAAAAATATATCATTAAATAGTTAATTAGAAGGAAAAAATGAAGAAAAAATATGAAATAATAATATTAATTGATAATAAAAGCAAAAGTTAAAAATAAAATGATGAGCTAAATTAACAAGGAGAGAACAAAAAAAAAGCAATCACAATAAAAACAAAAACAAAAAAGAGCTTTATTGTTTTTAATTAGTTTTTATAACTAAAAATATCACAATCCAAAACAAATAAACTGTTTTTACTAAAGATAAAGTGTCAAATTTGAGAGATTAATGCAATTTGCTAAAGCAAAACCTAAGCCTGATGCACCTTCATCACCAATTTAATTTCTACTTTTTAAATATTGAAGAAAAAATATATCATTAAATAGTTAATTAGAAGGAAAAAATGAAGAAAAAATATGAAATAATAAGATTAATTAATAATAAAAGCAAAAGTTGAAAATAAAATGATGAGCTAAATTAACAAAGAAAGAACAACAAAAAGCAAGCACAATAAAAACAAAAACAAAAAAGAGTTTATTGTTTTTAATTAGTTTTTATAATTAAAAAAATTACAATCCAAAATAAATAAACTGTTTTTACCTAAGGTCAAGTGTCAAATTTGAGAGATTAATGCAATTTGCTAAAGCAGAACCTAAGCCTGATGCACCTTCATCACCAATTTAATTTCTACTTTTTAAATATTGAAGAAAAAATATATCATTAAATAGAGTAAGTTGCCATACAAATTTTCAAAAAATGAATTTTATATTCCAGTTTTTACATTTTATAAAATTAAAATTTTAATATTTTTTCCAAATTTTTTAATCCCAAGGGAATTCATTGTGAATTATCTTTTTTGAAAAACCTCCTTTTTTTTGGATATGGTTAGAATCAATCTATTCGTAAAATTTTTTAAAATTTATTTTTATAAAAAAAATGATATGTGAAAAGAATATACGGTATGGTATATATTATTTCAAATTTTACATTTTGAGAATTTAAAGCTTCTAAAAACTCTAAAATAAAGCTGTTTTAAGCTAATTTAGCTTTATTTATTATGTTATTAAGATATATTACATTTCGCCTTTTATAAATTAAATAGGCATTTAACTCTAGTTAATTAGAAGGAAAAAATGAAGAAAAAATATGAAATAATAAGATTAATTAATAACTAATAAAATTAACAAATAATGAAAAAAAAGAAAAAGAAATCAAATAAACTAAAAGATCTTTAGTGTTTTAAATCAGCTTTTATAATTAAAAATATTACTATCCAAAACTAATAAACTGCTTTTATTAAGTGTAAGTTTTAATAGCAAAAAATTATGAAAAAATATCAAATAATAAAAAATAAATAATAAATAAATAATTAAAAATTGAAATGAAAATTAAGTTAAAATATATAAAAAATTTTTGTTTTAATAAAAATTAATAAATAATGATGATAATTTCATTAATAAAAATGATTTATTTAAATAAATTTAAATTTAAATATATAAAAAATATTAATAATAATAAAAATAATATTAATTAATAAAATTACTTGAGATCAATATCGAGAACCTAATGAGATAAAAGTGAAGAGTTTATAAACTTTTTTTATTAATTTATATAAATTTAAATGATATTAATTAAAAAATTAATAATTACTTCTTCTAATTTGTAATATTTTTTAATCTATTATATCATTTATTTTTTTTTTCAAAAATATTGAATAGCAAGCAATTTATGAAATTTAATTAATTAATTATAAATGGATAAAAAGAACAAATAAATATAATAATTAATTAATTATCAAATATTAATTAATTTATATATTTGGTTTTATGAAGAGGTAGATATCACAGAAAAATTAATTTAGCATTCATTATTTAAACTTAATATTTATATTTAAAACATATACATAAAAATATATATAGTAGGAATTAGAGATGGCCAGTTATTTATTTATTCATATTTGAAAAAACTCTAATAATTTAATATTTAAGATTAAAAGTTTTGATTTTTTTGTTAAAATGAGGGATGGTTTTAGAGAAATCAATTTATTTATTAAAGTAAATTAAATTAAATTTGCAAATTTTGATTTATTTAATAAGCTATTTATTAAATTACCAAAATAAATATAAAAAATAATGATAACTTTATCTATCTATATTTTAGGTTTTTTTTATTACAAAATATTATATTATATAAAAAGCAAATTATTTTTATTATTCAAATATTTAATATTTATTCATCCTTTTTTCGCCACTAGTTTATCATCAATAGAAATCTATTTCAAATTCAACTAATCTTTTTGATTTAAGACACTTGCTTATTACTTTAAATTCTTATGATTCATTGATTTAGTTTTCACTTTTATATTAAATTAAATTAAATTAAAATAAAAAACTAAAAAAAATGAAAGAGAATAAAATTTTTAATTAAAAATTATTTTTAAAATGAATAATGAAAAAAATATTAGCAGAATAAAAAAGAAAATGAAAATAAATTATTTAAAAAGCTAATAAACAAATTAAAAGAGTTAAATTGTTTTAAATTCAAATTTATATCTAAAAATACACAATCCAAAACAAATAAACTCTTTTTACCTAAGGTTAAGTCTCAAATTTGAGAGATTAGTGCAATTTGCTAAAGCAGAACATAAACTTTATGCACCTGTTGCACCAATTTAATTGTCACTTTTTAAATATTGATAATTAATTAGTTATTTAAAAGGAAAAAGGATAAAAAAATATGAAAAAATTAGAAATGAATTAATTTATAAATGATAAAAGCAAAAGTTTGAAAAAAAAATGAGTTGAATTAAGAAAGACATCAGAAAAAAAACACAAGTAAAATAAAAAAGATAAATAAAAATCTAATAAAAAAGAGTTACATTTTTTGAAATTCAAATTTATAACTAAAAATATCACAATCCAAAATAAATAAACTGTTCTTACTAAAGGCCAAGTGTCAAATTTGAGAGATTCGTGAAATTAGCAAAAGCAGAACCTAAGTCTGATGCATTTTATTCTCCAATTTAATTGTGACTTTTTAATTATTGAAGAAAAAATAATATTAATTAGTTATTTAGAATGAAAAAATGAAGAAAAAGCATGAAGCAATAGGAAATAAATAAATTTATAAATAATAAAAGCAAATTTTCAAAATGAAATAATTTGTTAAATTAAGAGAAATATAAGAAAAAAAATACTAGTAAAGTAAAAAGAAAAAGAAAGGTAAATCAAATTAAAGATAATAAACACATTTAAAGAGTTTTATTGTTTTATTCATTTTTATAACTAAAAATATCGCAATCTATAACAAATAAACTGTTTTTACTCAAGATGAAGCTTCAAATTTGAGAGATTAGTGCAATTTGCTAAAGAAGAACATAAGCCTGATGCACCTTTTGCATCAATTAAATTTTTTCTTTTTAAATATTGAAGAAAAAAATATTTTATTAATTAGTTATTTAGAAGAAAAAAATGAGGAAAAAAAAAATAAGAAATGAATAATTAAAGCAAATGTTGAAAATAAATGAATGAGTTGAATTAAGAATGATATATAAAAAAAACACTAATACAATAAAAAATAAAAATAAATCAAATAAAAAGCTAATAAACAATTTAAAAGAGTTACATTTTTTTAAATTCATTTTTACAACTAAAAATATCACAATCAATAAATAACAAATAAACATTTTTTACCTAAGGTCAAGTTATAAATTAGAGAGATTAGTACAATTTGCTAAAGCAGAACATAAGTCTGATGCACCTGTTCCACCAATTTAATTGTAGCTTTTTAAATATTCAAGAAAAAATATAAAATTTATTAGTTATTTAGAAGGAAAAATGATGAAAAAATATGAAATAATAAGAAATGAATAATAAAAGCAAATGTAGAAATAAAAAAATGAGTTAAATTAAGAAAGATACAAGAAAAAAACAAAAGTACAATAAAAAAAAGAAAAATGGTTCAAATAAAAATCTAATAAACAAATAAAAAGAGCTTTATTGTTTTAAATTCACTTTAATAAGTAAAAATATCACAATCCAAAACAGATAAACTGCTTTTACTCAAGATTAAGGTTCAAATTTAAGAGATTAGTGCTATTTGATAAAGCAGAACCTAAGCTTGACGCACCAATTGCACCAATTAAATTTTGTCTAACATTGAATAAAAAATATAAAATTAATTAGTTATTTAGAAGGAAAAAATGAAGAAAAATTATGAAATAATAGGAAATTAATTAATAAATAATAAATAAATAGTTTTTACCCAATATCAAGTGTCAAATTAGACAGATTAGTACATTTTGCTAAAGCAAAACCTAAGTCTGATGCACCTTGATCACCAATTTAATTGCAACTTTTTAAATGTTGAAGAAAAAATATACATTAATTAGTTAGTTAGTTAGAAGGAAAAAATGAAGAAAAAATATGAAAAAAAAAGAAATGAATTAATAAATAAATAATAAAAGCAAATGTTGATAATAAAGAATGATTTAAATTAAGAAAGACATAAGAAAAAAACACAATTAAAATAAAAAAGAAAAATAAATTAAAAAAAAAGTTAATAAAAAGAGTTATATTTTTTAAAATTCAAATTAAAAACAAAAATATCACAAATTAAAACAAATAAGCTGTTTTTACTAAAGACCAAGTGTCAAATTTGAGAGATTAGTGCAATTTGCTAAAGCAGAACCTAAGTCTGATGCATCTTAATAACCAATTTAATTGTCACTTTTTAAATATAGAAGAAAAAATATATAATTCATTAGTTATTTAGAAGGATAAAATGAAGAAAAAATAAGATATAATAGGAAAAGCAAATGTTGAAAGTAAAAAAATGCGTTAAATTAAGAAAAATATAAGAAAAAAAAACACAAATACAATAAAAAAGAAAAAGAAAAATAAATTAAATAAAAAGCTAATAAAAAAAAGTAAAATTGTTTTAAATTAAAATTAATAACTTAAAAAAAAATTAATTTAAATTCAAATTTATTACTAAAAATATCATAATCCAAAACAAATAAACTATTTTTACTAAAGATGAAGTGTCAAATTTGAGAGATTAGTGCAATTTGCTAATGCAGAACCTAAGTCTTATACACCTTTTACACCTTTTGAACCAAATTCATTATAGCTTTTTAAATATTGAAGACAAAATATATAATTAATTAGTTATTTAGAATGAAAAAATATGAAATAATAAGAAATGAGCTAAATAATAAAAGCAAATCAATCTTTTAAAATAAAAAATGACTTAAACTAAGAAAGATATAATAAAAAAAGCGCAAGTACAATAAAAAAGATAAAGAAAAATGAAGAATTAGTTATATTGCTTTAAATTCATTTTTATAAATAAAAATATCACAATCCAAAACAAATAAACTTTTTTTATCAATAGAAGGAAAAAATGAATAAAAAATATTAAATAATATTAAATGGATAGTGAATTAAAAAATTTAAAGTGAAAATTAAGTTAAAATAAAGAAAAAAATATTTGTATTAATAAAATGAATGAATATAGGTGATAATTTCTACTCTTAAAATAATATTTTAAATAAACTAAAAGTTAAATATATAGAAAATATTAATAATAAGAATTATAATATTTATTTATTAAATATACCTCAAAGCAATATGGAGATACTAGTTAGATTAAAGTTAAGAGTTTAAAAACTTTTAATATTAGTAAATATATTTAAAGTATTTTGATACAAAAATAAATAATTACTTCTTCTAATTTTTTGTAATATTTAATCTATTATATCATTTATTTTTTTCAAAAATATTGATAGCAATTTATGGAAATTTAATTAATTAATTATAAATGGATAAAAAGAACAAATAATTTATATGAATTTATAAATTTGCTTTTAGTAATAGAAATCACAAAAAAGTTAGGATAACTAACATTTATTTTTAAATCTTAATATTTCTATTTAAAATCTGTACTTAAAAATATAGTTGGAACCAGAAATTGGAATAAAGGATAATTAGAATGCGAACTCAATAGAATAAATTTAATTTTTAATATATTTACATGTATTTATTGTAATTACTTTAATTTTTATATTTTTTTTAAATCTGACATTTAAATTGTCAAAATTAAAAAATCAGGAAACCAAATTTTTTTTTTTGAGTAAAATGAATACCCTTGAGAAACAAATATTATAGTTTATATATTTAAATTATAAACTTTTAGAATATAAAACATTTACTGAAATATAAAATATACTTTTTGAGATAAATAAAAAATGAATGAATTTCCCAGAAATCTTATTTTTATATTAGCTTTTTAATTAAAGCTATTTGAGATAAACACACTCACACAATCATAGATAGATATGTTATTTATGGATATAAGTTAGATTGGTGAAAATATAAATTGTATAAAAAATTTAGCCACTAATAGTTAGTGGGTTAGTAAGTAGATTGTATTTTAAAGCTATTAAAAAGAAATGTTTGAAAAGTTTAAGTAAATCAAATAGAAAGTAGAATTTAAAAAAAAGATATTTCAATGTATTCATTTAAGAGATAAAATCAATAATTTTCATTCATTCATTACTGATAAAACACGAAATATATATGATTAAACATAAAGTAAAATAATATTATATAATTTTATTCAGTGAGTTAACAAATCAAATAGATCAGTTAGAGTAGTTAACTTAAGCTTGAGCGTTTCTAACGATTCTGTCAGCTTGGGTAACGAGGTCATATTCGGAGTTGATTCTGTCAACGAGAGCTTAGTGTCTAGCTTGAACTATTGCAAATATTTCATATTCAGCAGAAATATAGTCTTAAGCTTATTTTAAGTTTTGTTAGGCAAGAGAGAGAGCATCTTCAAATTATTAGATTTAAGCTTGTATTTAGCTGATTTGACTTTCATATCCAGGGATGGTTTAGTTTTATAAGATATCTATAAGTTAGTTGAGACCATCAATGGTGGATTAGACATTTTAGGTGAAGATAACGTATTCGTTGGTAAGATCAGTGAAGGTCTTTTGGAAGTAAGCTTGTAAGTCTTAGAGGGCCTTGATAGCAGTTTAGATTGAGGTTTAACTGGTGTTGTTCTTAACTTACATCATAGCTTAGACAACAGGTTTGACGAAGAGTTAGTGCTTGGCATTCATTCCCTTGGTGGCTTCAGTAATCTTTTAAGCGAAAGAAACGAAGGTGTTCTTGATTTAAACGAAGGAGAAAGATCCGAGGTCAGCATTGTCGTAGTGACTATAATTATTTATAATAAATCAATTATTAATGCATTGCAAAAGGCTTGATATAACATTTCATTTAATTGATAAAAAATCAAAATGAATAAATAGATAATTCTTTATTTACGATTAAGCTTCTTGGAGTTTTTCAATAGCGACTCCGATAACTTAGTCAGCATTGCTGTATTCAGCGGTGGCATAATGGTAAAGAACTTCAGCTTGGGCAAGAGCTTCTTCGGCAGCATTGAGAGCATCAGTGTTGTCTTAGAGAGCTTGTTGAGCATCCTTTAAGTTTTGTTCATAGGTGTTCAAGGAGTCGTTGAGGTAGTTTAATTAAGCTTCAGTATCATTAATCTGTTTATAAAATTTAAAATATTATAATCAATCAATGAATAAATCAACTGCTTGATTAGTTGGTGAAGTTAGAAACAACTTATTAGTTTATAAATATTATTCATTTTATTTTATTTTTTTGGATGAGAATTTAACTATTCACAAATTATATTTCTTTTAAAATTGTATTTTTTATTACTTGACTAGTGTAGTTGCTGATTAAAGCGTTGAATTGAGCAATAAAATTCTCATGACAAGCGGTTTATTCTTCGAATAAGGAATTTTCGTTATCAAGGCTGTTTAATAATTAATTCTTGAGGGCAGCGAAGGCATCATAGAGATCTTAGTAGTCATAACCGAGCTTGGTGGCAATGGTGACCATACCCTTTAAGGCACGACCAAGGGGGGATTTCTCCATCTTAGAGTTGATCTTTTCCATCATCAACTTGACTTGGGACTTGGAAGTAACAGCCATAGCACTTTGGCAGACAAGTGCAATAACGAGGAGGGCAGCAATAACTCTCATTCTATTTATTTATTTTTCTTGTGTTTTTTAATACTTTTTCCTATCTTTTAGATTGATTAATTAATTGAATAATCAAAAAACAAAAAAACAAATAAACAAAAAACATAATTAATTAATTAATAGCTTATTTGCTTATTTTCATAGAGATTTGATAAAGAAAAAATTGCAAAGTCTTTTGTTTTTTAAAAACAGAATTATTATATTAATTTCAAAGAAAGAATATTTCCGTTTTCTCACACCAACGGATAAAAAATTTTATCAAAAACGTCTTTTATTCATTATGTTTTAAAAGAAAATATATCTTATATGTATGTTAAATTTAGCACGCACAAAGCCAAAAAATGCATGATAAAGTATCAAATTTTATTCAAATATTTGTCTTAAATTTTTTTCCAAACTCCCACATTTAAAATTATATCCATATTTCTGAAAATGAATTATCATTTACTGACCAAAATAATCAAATTAATTTTATTTTTTACCAACATTAAAAAATAATCAATATAATCATAATGATAAAAGAAACTCTAAAAATGTTATTCTCAATAACTGCCAAAACAAAAGATTAATGAACTATAACTTAAAAATTGTTAATAAAACAATTTAATTCTTTTATAAAAAAGCTTTATTTAGAAAAAACTTTCATTTATATATATATAGGAATTTGCTTTTTAAATAATTAAAACACTCATTTCACTATCAACAACATTCAAAGAATTTAATTGAAAAACTAGATAAAAAAGTGTATAATTTGAATTGAGTTTAAAATGATAATAAAATATTTTTTCAAAGACAAACAATAAATTTTATCTATTTTAATATAAATTAAATAAACTAGCAATTATAAAATTATAAAATCGATTTTTCTTCTAAAAACATATTACAAATATCTGTTTATTTAATTAAGAGATTCCCTTTCTTTTACAAATGTAATAATTTATATCCATATTACTAAATGTATTTTTAGCTAAAATAATTTCCTATTTTTAAATATTAATAATATTTATTTAAAATTTAATTTTTATATTTAAAATAATTTTGATGATAATATAGCAAAATGCCATTCAAAAATTTGGTGAATTGAGATCACTATTTTTTTGAATGGTTGATGCCTTTGAATATTATTTATATAAAGATAAATAATTTTATAATAGAATTTAATTAATAATATTAATAATTTTAATTTTTTTCAATTCAAAACTCTAAATGAAAAAATAGCAAGTTGGTTGGTTTCCTGATTAAATGAAACCACAATATATTTAAATTTATTTAATAAGCTATTTATTTATAATAAATATGATATTTATAAATATAAAAATTATAATAAATCCATATAAATATCTATATTTTAGGTTTTTCTTATTACAAAACATTATATAATAAAAGATATTATTTATTGTTATTCTAAAATTTAATATTTATTCATCCTTTTTTAACCACTTGTTTATCACCATTAGAAACGGAAATCTATTTTAAAGAAAACTAATCTTTTTAATTTAAGACATTTTCATATTACTTTCTATTCGTTTATTTAGTTTTCATTTCTATTATATAATTTTTTAATTAAAGATTATATTAAAATTAATAAATAAAAAATATTAGTAGAATAAAAAAGAAAAAGAAAATAAATAAAATAAAAGCTAATAAATAAATTAAAAGAATTTAATTGTCTTAAATTCAATTTAATAACAAAAAATATCACAAATCTAAATCAAATAAATAGTTTTTACCCAAGATAAAGTGTCAAATTTTAAAGATTAGTGCACTTTGCTAAAGCAAAACCTAAGCCTATATACCTTCATCACCATTTTAATTACAACATTTTAAATATTGAAGAAAAAATATATAAATATTTAGTTAGAAGCAAAAAATGAAGCAAAAATATGAAATAATAAGAAATTAATTAACAATAATAAAAGCTAAATTTGATAATAAAAAATTGAGTTAGATGGAGAAAAAAAAATACAAATTTAATAAAAAAAATAAACTAAATAAAAAGCTATTAAAAAAATTAAAAGAGTTTTTTGCTATAAATTCATTTTTGTAACTAAACATATAGCTATCCAAAACAAATAAACTGTTTTTACACAAGATAAAGTCCCAAAATAGAGAGATTAGTGTAATTTACTAATGCAGAACCTAAGCCTGATATACCTTCATCACCAATTTAATTCTTACTTTTTAAATATTGAAGAAAAAATATATAGCTAATTTAGGAAAAATGAAGAAAAAATATCAAATATTAAGAAATTAATTAATAATGATTAAAGTAAAAGTCGAAATAAATAAATGACTTAAACTAAGAAATTTAGATAAAAAAATAAATATAAATCAAATAAAAAGCTAATAAACAAATTAAAAGAGTTTTATTACTTTAAATTCATTTTTATAACTAAAAATATCACAATCCAAAATAAATAAATTTTTTACTGAAGTTAAAGTTCCAAATTAGAGAGATTAGTGCAATTTTTTAAAGCATAACCTAAGCTTAATGCACCTTTATCACCAATTTATATATATATATACATCGATAAAACTATTATAAAAAATAAAAATATATTATTTTTAAGAATTTGTAAAATTTTTCAAAATTTATTTTTATAAAAAAAAATGATATGTGAAAAGAACAAAATTATATATTATTTCAAATTTTACATTTTGAGAATTTAAAGCTTTCTAAAAACTCTAAAATAAAGCTGTTTTAAGCTAATTTAGCTTTATTTATTATGTTATTAAGATATATTACATTTCGCCTTTTATAAATTAAATAGGTTTTAACTCTAGTTAATTAGAAGGAAAAAATGAAGAAAAAATATGAAATAATAAGATTAATTAATAACTAATAAAATTAACAAAGAATGAAAAAAAAGAAATCATAATAAAAAGAAAAAGAAATCAAATAAACTAAAAGATCTTTAGTGTTTTAAATAAACTTTTATAATTAAAAATATTACAATCCAAAACTAATAAACTGCTTTTATTAAGTGTAAGTTTTAATAGCAAAAATAAAGAAAAAATATCAAATAATAAAAAATGAATCATAAATAATTAAAAATTGAAATGAAAATTAAGTTAAAATATCTAAAAAATTTTTGTTTTAATAAAAATAAATAAATAAATAAATAATGATGATAATTTATATATTAAAAATTATTTATTTAAATAAATTAAAATTTAAATGTATAAAAAAATTAATAATAATAAAAATAATATTAATTAATAAAATTACTAGAGATCAATATGGAGAACCTAATGAGATAAAAATGAAGACCTCATAAACTTTTTTTATTAATTTATATAAATTTAAATGATAAAAATTAAAAAATTAATAATTACTTCTTCTAATTTTTTATATTTTTTAATCTATTAAATCATTTATTTATTTTTTCAAAAATAGAATAGCAATTTATCAAATTTAATTAATTAATTATAAATGGATAAAAAGAATAAATAAATATAATAATTAATTAATTATCAAATATTAATTAATATATATATTTGGTTTTATGAAGAGATTTATTATCACAGAAAAATTAATTTAACATTCATTATTTAAACTTAATATTTGTATTTAAAACATATACTTAAAAATATATATAGTAGGAATTAGAGATGGCCAGTTATTTATTTAGTCATATTTGAAAAAACTCTAATAATCAACTATTTTTAAAAAATTTCTATCATTTTAGAGTTCATCATATAAAATTTGATCTTGATATAATAAAATTTTTAATTAGTTTTTACATTTCAATAATAATGAATAATAAAATTTATTTTAAAAATAAAGATCTTATTGAAAAACTTTTTTTATAAATATCTATCTAATGATACCATAAGAATAAAAAAAAATGTTTTTTTTTAAATTAAAATAGTAAAATTTAGGGGTTGCAATTTGTAGCCGTCAAATTCTTTAACATGATGGATGATTAACATTTAAGATTATAAACTTTGATCGCTTTTGGTGAAAAATTAGGGATGCTTTAGAGAAGTTAATTAATTTAATAAATTGAATATATAGTCTTTTCATTTAATCAGGAAACCAAAAGCTATTAAAAAGAAATGTTTGAAAAGTTTAAGTAAATCAAATAGAAAGTAGAATTTATATAAAAGATATTTCAATGTATTCATTTAATGATAAAATCAATACTTTTCATTCATTCATTCGTTCATAATAAAACACGAAATATACATGTTTAAACACAAAGTAAAATCATATTATATAATTTGAATCAATGAGTTAACAAATCAAATAGATCAGTTAGAAATGTAAATTTAATTTTGAGCGTCTCTAACGATTCTGTCAGCTTGGGTAACGAGGTCGTATTCGGCGTTGATTCTGATAATGAGAGCTTCGTGTCTAGCTTGGACGTTTGAAAATGCTTCATTTTCAGCAGAAAGTAAGTCTTAAGCTTCTTTTAAGTTTTGTTTGGCAAGTGAGATAAAATCTTCAGCATATTAGATTTGAGATTTTAAAGAGGTGATTTCACTTTCATATTCAGGGATGGTTTCGTTTTGTAAGATATCGATAATTTAGTAGATACTATTAAGCATGGATTAGACGTAATTGTAGTTGTAAGTGAATTCGTTGGTAAGATCAGTGAAGGCCTTTTGGAAGTAAGCTTATAATTATTGGAGAGCATTGATAGCAGTTTAGATTGAGGTTTAATTGGTGTTGTTCTTAACTTACATCATAGCTTAGACAACAGGTTTGACGAAGAGTTAGTGTTTGGCTTTCATTCCCTTGGTGGCTTCAGTAATCTTTTAAGCGAAAGAAACGAAGGTGTTCTTGATTTAGACGAAGGAGAAAGATCCGAGGTCAGCACTGTCGTAGTGACTATAATTATTTATAAAAAATCAATTATTAATGCATTACAAAAGGCTTGATATAACCTTTCATTTAATTGCTAAAAAATCAAAATGAATAAATATATAATTGTTTGTTTACGATTAAGCTTCTTGGAGTTTTTCAATAGCGACTCCGATAACTTAGTCGGCATTGCTGAATTCAGCGGTGGCAAAATCGTAATAAGCTTACAATATCTTTTAAGATTCTTAATAAATATCGCGAGTTTCAATGTTGTAATAGAGAGCTTGTTAAGCATTCTCTAAGTTTACTTAATAGATTTACAAGGAGTTCTATAGGTCGTTTAATTAAGCTTCACCATCGTTAATCTGTTTATAAAATTTAAAATATTATAATCAATCAATGAATAAATCTACTGCTTGGTTAGTTGGTGAAATTAGAAACAATTTATTAGTTTATAAATATTATTCATTTTATTTTATTTTTTTGGATGAGAATTTAATTATTCGCAAATGATATTTCTTTTAAAATTGTATTTTTTATTACTTGATTAGTGTAGTTGCTGATTAAAGCGTTTAATTGAGAAACAGTATTATTGTGAAGAGCGGATTAGTATTCGAATAAGGAATTTTCGTTATCAAGGTTTTCTAATAATTAATTCTTGAGGGCAGCGAAGGCATCATAGAGATCTTAGTATTCATAACCTAGCTTGGTGGCAATGGTGACCATACCCTTTAAGGCACGACCAAGGGGGGATTTCTCCATCTTAGAGTTGATCTTTTCCATCATCAACTTGGCTTGGGACTTGGAAGTAACAGCCATAGCACTTTGGCAGACAAGTGCAATAACGAGGAGGGCAGCAATAACTCTCATTCTATTTATTTGTTTTTCTTGTGTTTTTTAATTCTTTTTCCAATATTTTAGATTGATTAATTAATTGAATACTCAACCAAATAATAAACAAACAAACAAACAATCAACAAAAAGGATAATTAATTAATTGCTTATTTGCTTTTTTTTCATAGAGATTTGACAAAGAAAAATATTGCAAAGTCTTTTGTTTTTTAAAAATAGAATTTTTATATTAATTTCAAATAAAGAATGTTTCCGTTTTCTTACACCAACGGATAAAAAATTTTTATCAAAAACGTCTTTTATTCGTAATGTTTTAAAAGAAAATATATCTTATCTGTATGTTAAATTTAGCATGCGTAAAGCCCAAAAATGCATGATAAAGCATACAATTTTATTCAAATATATGTTTTAAATTTTTTCCAAACCATATTTCTGAAAATGAATTATCATTTACTGACTAAAATAATCAAATTAATTTTATTTTTTACCAACATTAAAAAATAATCAATATAATCATAATGATAAAAGAAACTCTAAAAAGGTTATTCTCAATGACTGCCAAAACAAAAGATTAATGAACTATAACTTAAAAATTGTTAATAAAACAATTTAATTCTTTTATAAAAAAGCTTTATTTAGAAAAAACTTTCATTTATATAAATATAGGAAAACGCTTTTTAAATAATTAAAACACTCATTTAACTATCAACAACATTCAAAGAATTTAATTGAAAAACTAGATAAAAAAGTGTATAATTTGAATTGAGTTTAAAATGATAATAAAATATTTTTTCAAAGACAAACAATAAATTTTATCTATTTTAATATAAATTAAATAAACTAGCAATTATAAAATTATAAAATTGATTTTTACTTCTAAAAACATAATAAAAATATCTATTTATTTAATTGAGAGATTGCCTTCCTTTTACAAATATAATAATTTATATCCATATTTCTATAAGTATTTTTAGCTAAAATAATTTCCTATTTTTTAATTAAAATATTTTTTCAAAACTCTAAATAAAGAAAGAGCAAGTTGGTTTCCTAATTAAATGAAACCACAATATATTTAAATTTATTTAATAGGCTATTTATTTAAAATAAATATGATATTTATAAATATAAAAATTATAATAAATCCATATAAATATCTATATTTTATGTATATCTTATTACAAAACATTATATAATAAAAGATATTATTTATTTTTATTCTAAAATTTAATATTTGTTCATCATTTTTTAACCACTTGTTTATCACCATTAGAAACGGAAATCTATTTTAAAGAAAACTAATCTTTTTAATTTAATACATTTACTTATTACTTTCTATTTGTTTATTTAGTTTTCATTTCTATTATATAATTTTTTAATTAAAGATTATATTAAAATTAACAAATAAAAAAATATTAGCAGAATAAAAAAGAAAAAGAAAATAAATAAAATAAAAGCTAATAAATAAATTAAAAGAATTTAATTGTCTTAAATTCAATTTAATAACAAAAAATATCACAAATCTAAATCAAATAAATAGTTTTTACGCAAGATAAAGTGTCAAATTTTAAAGATTAGTGCACTTTGCTAAAGCAAAACCTAAGCCTTATATACCTTCATCACCATTTTAATTGCTACTTTTTAAATATTGAAGAAAAAATATATAAATATTTAGTTAGAAGCAAAAAATGAAGCAAAAATATGAAATAATAAGAAATTAATTAATAATAAAAAAGCTAAATTTGATAATAAAAAATTGAGTTAGATGGAGAAAAAAAAATACAAATTTAATAAAAAAAATAAACCAAATAAAAAGCTATTAAAAAAATTAAAAGAGTTTTTTGATATAAATTCATTTTTATAACTAAAAATATAGCTATCCAAAACAAATAAACTGTTTTTACACAAGATAAAGTCCCAAAATAGAGAGATTAGTGTAATTTACTAATGCAGAACCTAAGCCTGATATACCTTCATCACCAATTTAATTCTTACTTTTTAAATATTGAAGAAAAAATATATAGCTAATTTAGGAAAAATGAAGAAAAAATATCAAATATTAAGAAATTAATTAATAAAGATTAAAGTAAAAGTAGATAATAAATAAATGAGTAAACTAAGAAATTAAGATAAAAAAACATGTATAATAAAAAATAAATATAAATCAAATAAAAAGCTAATAAACAAATTAAATGAGTTTTATTGCTTAAAATTCATTTTTATAACTAAAAATATCACAATCCAAAACAAATAAATTTTTACTGAAGTTAAAGTTCCAAATTAGAGAGATTAGTGCAATTTTTTAAAGCAGAACCTAAGTTTAATGCACCTTTATCACCAATTTAATTATCCCTATTTAAATAATAAAAATATATAATTAATAAATTAGTTCGAAGGAAAAAAATGAAGAAAAAATATGGAATAATAAGAAATGAATTAATTAAGAATAATAAAAGCTAAAGCTGATAATAAAAAAGAAAAAGGAAAATAAAAAGCTAATAAACGAAATAAAGCTTTAAATTCATTTGTATTACTAAAAATTTCACAATACAAAACAAATAAAATTTTTTTACCGAAGATGAAGTGCTAAATTAGAGAGGTTAGTGCAATTTGCTAAACCAGAACCTAAGCCTGATGCACCAATTGAGCCAATTTAATTTTCACTATTTAAATAACAATAAACAAATATATAAATTAATTAATTAGTTTGAAGGGAAAAAATTAAGAAAACATATAAAATAATAAGAAAGAAGTGAATTAATTAATAATAATAAAAGTAAAAGTTGATAATAAAAAAATTGCTTAAATTAAAAAAGATAGAAAAAAAAACACAATTAAAATAAAAATAAACGAAATAAAGAGCTAATAAACAAATTAAAGAGTTTTATTGCTTTAAATTCATTTGAATAAATAAAAGTTTCTTAATACAAAACAAATATATTTGTTTTACCTAAGATTAAGTGCCAAATTAGAGAGATAAGCACAATTTGCTAAAGCAGAACCTAAGCCTTATGCACCTTCATCATTAATTTACGTGTATGTGATGGATTGTGGCTTGACCGCACCTCTACGCAATGCCACGATCAATAATAACCACTTATTTGAAAGTATCTCTTTGTGGCATTGAGTAATAAAGGTAAAATAAATGAAAAATATTCATCTATGTGATTAAAGCAGAAGTATTTTTCTTATAAATTAAAAAAATTTTCTGTTCACTATAGACATCAAAAAAGAAGAAGAAAATATATATATATATATAATAATAAATAAATAAAATGTGTTTATTCATATACTTAATCAACACAAAAATAACTTAAAATATATAAAATTATAAACTAATATATTTAAGATTTATTCTGAGTGCATTTATATGTGCGAGTATTTCTATTCTATTCTATCATTAATTTAATTGCAACTTTTTAAATGTTGAAGAAATAATATATTATTAATTAGTTATTTAGTTAGTTACTTAGTTAGAAGGGAAAGCCAGAGAAAAAATATTAAATAATAAGAAGTGAATTAATTAATAATAATAAAAGCAAAAGTTGAAAATAAAAAAAAAAATAATTTAAGCTGTGAAAGATAGAAAAAAACACAAGTAAAATAAAAAAAAGAAAAATAAATAAATAAATAAAATAAAAAGCTAATAAACAAATTTAAGAGTTTGATTGTTTTAAATCCATTTTATAGCTAAAAATATCACAATCCAAAAAAAATAAACTATTTTTACACAAGATCAAGTGTCAAATTAGAGAGATTAGTGCAATTTGCTAAAGCAGAACTTAAGCTTGATGCACCTTCATCGCCAATTTAATTTCCACTATTAAAATATTGAAGAAAAAATATATCATTACTTAGTTAGTTAGAAAGGAAAAATATGAAATAATAAGAAACTAATTAATAAAAGTTGATAATAAAAAAATAACTTAAACTAAGAAAGATAGATAAAAAAAATGCTGATTACGTCTTTTATATTGGCCTTAAGAAGGTAAAAGTAGAATAAAAAAGAAAAATAAATCAAATAAAAAGTTAATAAATTTTTTTAAAAAAGTTTTATTGTTTTAAATTCATTTTTATAACTAAAAATTTCATAATCCAAAACAAATAAACTATTTTTACGTAAGATCAAGTGTCAAATTAGAGAGATTAGTGCACTTTACTAAAGCAAAACCTAAGCCTGATGCACCTATTGCACCAATCTAATTGGAACTTTTTAAATGTTGAAGAAAAAAAAAATATATAATTAATTAGTTAGTTAGTTAGTTAGTTAGAAGGGAAAAATGAAGAAAAAATATGAAATATAAGACATGAATAATAATAATTGATAATAAAAAAATGACTTAAACTAAGAAACATAGAAAAAAATATAAGTATAATAAAAAATAAAAAGAAAAATAAACCAAATAAAAGCTAATAAATATATTAAAAGGGTTTTATTATTTTAAATTAATATTTAAAAATAAAAATATAATAATTCAATGCAAATAAACTGTTTTTACACAAGATAAAGAGTCAAATTAGAGAGATTAATGCAATTTTTAAAAGCAAAACCTAAACCTTATATACCTTCATCACCAATTTAATTGAAACTTTTTAAATATTGAAGAAAAAATATTTTATTAGATAGTTAGAAAGAAAAAATATGAAATAGGAAGAAATTAATTAACAAATAATAATAAAATCAAAATTTTATAATAAAAAAATAGTTTAAATTAAGAGATATAAAAATAAAACATAAAATCAATTAAAAACAAAAGGAAAAATAAATCAAATAAAAAGCTAATAAATGTATTAAAAGAGTTTTAATGTTTTAAATTCAATTTAACAGCTAAAAATTTCACGTTCCAAAACAAAAAAAACTGTTTTTACTGAAGATAAAGTGCCAAATTAGAGATATTAGTGCAATTTGCTAATGCAGAACCTAAGCCTGATGCACCAATTGCACCTATTTTATTAGAACTTTTTAAATAATAAAAAAAATATATATAATTAATTAATTATTTAGTTTGCTTGAAGGAAAAAATGAAGAAAATATATGAAATAATAAAAAATTAATTAATAATAATAAAAGCAAAATTTGATAACAAAAAATGACTTAAGCTAAGAAATATAGAAAAAAAAAAACACATTTAAAAAAGAAAAAGAAAAAGAAAATATAAATCAAATAAATAGCTAAGAAAAAAATTAAAAAATTTTTTATTTTGAATTCATTTTTATAACTAAAATTATCATAAATAATCCAATACAAATAAACTGTTTTTACGAAAGATAAAGTGCTAAATTAGAGAGATTAGTGCAATTTGTTAAAGCAGAACCTAAGCATAATACATCTTCATCACTAATTTAATTTGCACTTTTTAAATATTGAAGAAAAAAAAATTAATTAATTAGTTTGAAAGAAAAAATGAAGAAATAATATGATATAACAAGAAATTAATTAATTAATAATAATAAAAGCAAAATTTGATAGTAAATAACTAAATTAAAAGAAAAAAAATTAATTAAAAAAAAAAATCTTCAAAAGTAACCACAAAAGTTAAAATATAAATTAAAATTTGATTTCTCCTTGAGGTTTTATTTAAATCATGGTATCTATTTAATCATGATAAATAAAAAAAGGATAGAAATATTATTGATGGATAATATTTCAGATTAAAATATAACTGAAGTATAAAAGCTTAGCATTTATTTAATTTATTAAGAAATAATAAAACACTAAAAGTTTCAAATTATTTGTTCGTTTTTGGAAAAATCATTGCGTTGCTTTAGAGGAATTAATTTATTTAAGTAATTTTAATTTTTTTATTTTTTATAAATAATTTATTCACTTACAAAAATATGAATGTTATTTATAAATATAAAATCAATAATAAAATCTATAAATCTATTTGTTTATTTTTTAGGTTAAAAAAAGTTTTACAAAATATTATTCAAGCATTTAATATTTATTCATCCTTTTTTTATCACTTGTTTATCACCAGATATATTTTTTAAAGACAACTAATCTTTTTGATTTAAGATACTTGCTTATTACATTGAATTCATTCAAGGATCTAAAAATTTAAAAATAAATTTGTGTAAATTTTAAATAAATATCAAAATAGAATACACTTTTAAATTAAAAAATATTTCTTAAATTAATAAATAAAATATAATTAGTGGTATAAAAAAGATAAAAAAATTAATTAATTAAAATCTATCAAATAAATTCAATGAGCTTTGTTGTTTTTAATTAGTTTTTATAATTAAAAATATAACAATCCAAAACAAATAAACTGTTTTTACTCAAGATCAAGTGTCAAATTTGAGAGATTAATGCAATTTGCTAAACCAGAGCCTAAGCCTGATGCACCCATTGAACCAATTTAATTGTAACTTTTTAAATATTGAAGAAAAAATATATCATTAAATAGTAAATTAGAAAGAAAAAATGAAGAAAAAATATGAAATAATAAGATTAATTAATAATAAAAGCAAAAGTTTAAAAATAAAATGATGAGCTAAAATAAAAAAAAAAACAAGCACAATAAAAATAAAAACAAAAAATAGTTTATTGTTTTTAATTAGTTTTTATAATTAAAAATATAACAATCTAAAACAAATAAACTGTTTTTACCCAAGATAAAGTCTCAAATTTGAGAGATTAATACAATTTGCTAAGCCAGAACCTAAGCCTGATGCACCCATTGAACCAATTTAATTTCCACTTTTTAAATATTGAAGAAAAAATATATCATTAAATAGTAAATTAGAAGGAAAAAATGAAGAAAAAATATGAAATAATAAGATTAATTAATAATAAAAGCAAAAGTTTAAAAATAAAATGATGAGCTAAATTAACAAAGAAAGAAAGAAAGAACAAAAAAAAGCAAGCACAATAAAAACAAAAACAAAAAAGAGTTTATTGTTTTTAATTAGTTTTTATAATTAAAAATATCACAATCCAAAATAAATAAACTGTTTTTACTCAAGATAAAGTGTCAAATTTGAGAGATTAATGCAATTTGCTAAAACAGAACCTAAGCCTGATGCACCTTCATCACCAATTTAATTGCAACTTTTTAAATATTGAAGAAAAAATATATCATTAAATCGTAAATTAGAAGGAAAAAATGAAGAAAAAATATGAAATAATAAGATTAATTAATAATAAAAGCAAAAGTTTAAAAATAAAATGATGAGCTAAATTAACAAAGAAAGAAAGAACAAAAAAAAAGCAAACACAATAAAAACAAAAACAAAAAAGAGTTTATTGTTTTTAATTAGTTTTTATAATTAAAAATATCACAATCCAAAACAAATAAACTGTTTTTACTCAAGATAAAGTGTCAAATTTGAGAGATTAATGCAATTTGCTAAACCAGAACCTAAGCCTGATGCACCCATTGAACCAATTTAATTTTCACTTTTTAAATATTGAAGAAAAATATATCATTAAATCGTAAATTAGAAGGAAAAAATGAAGAAAAAATATGAAATAATAATATTAATTAATAATAAAAGCAAAAGTTTAAAAATAAAATGATGAGCTAAATTAACAAAGAAAGAAAGAACAAAAAAAAGCAAGCACAACAAAAACAAAAAAGAGTTTATTGTTTTTAATTAGTTTTTATAATTAAAAATATCACAATCCAAAACAAATAAGCTGTTTTTACCGAAGATTAAGTGTCAAATTTGAGAGATTAATGCAATTTGCTAAACTAGAACCTAAGCCTGATGCACCTTTATCACAAATTTAATTTCCACTTTTTAAATATTGAAGAAAAAATATATCATTAAATAGTAAATTAGAAAGAAAAAATGAAGAAAAATATGAAATAATATGATTAATTAATAATAAAAGCAAAAGTTTAAAAATAAAATGATGAGCTAAGTTAACAAAGAAAGAAAGAACAAAAAAAAGCAAGCACAATAAAAACAGAAACAAAAAAGAGTTTATTGTTTTTAATTAGTTTTTATAATTAAAAATATCACAATCCAAAACAAATAAACTGTTTTTACCCAAGATCAAGTGTCAAATTTGAGAGATTAATGCAATTTGCTAAACCAGAACCTAAGCCTGATGCACCTTCATCACCAATTTAATTGCAACTTTTTAAATATTGAAGAAAGAATATATCATTAAATAGTAAATTAGAAAGAAAAAATGAAGAAAAATATGAAATAATAAGATTAATTAATAATAAAAGCAAAATTTTAAAAATAAAATGATGAGCTAAATTAACAAAGAAAGAAAGAACAAAAAAAAGCAAGAACAATAAAAACAAAAACAAAAAAGAGTTTTATTGTTTTTAATTAGTTTTTATAATTAAAAATATCACAATCTAAAACAAATAAACTGTTTTTACTAAAGATAAAGTGTCAAATTTGAGAGATTAATGCAATTTGCTAAACCAGAGCCTAAGCCTGATGTACCTTCATCACCAATTTAATTAGAACTTTTTAAATATTGAAGAAAAAATATATCATTAAATAATTAATGAGAAGGAAAAAATGAATAAAAAATATGAAATAATAAGATTAATTAATAATAAAAGCAAAAGTTTAAAATAAAATGATGAGCTAAATTAACAAAGAAAAAAAGAAAGAAAGAAAGAACAAAAAAAAGTAAGCATAATAAAAACAAAAACAAAAATGAGTTTATTGTTTTTAATTAGTTTTTATAATTAAAAATATGACAATCCAAAACAAATAAACTGTTTTTACCCAAGATTAAGTATCAAATTTGAGAGATTAATGCAATTTGCTAAACCAGAGCCTAAGCCTGATGCACCCATAGCACCAATTTAATTGCTACTTTTTAAATATTGAAGAAAAAATATATCATTAAATCGTAAATTAGAAAGAAAAAATGAAGAAAAAATATGAAATAATAAGATTAATTAATAGTAAAAGCAAAAGTTTAAAATAAAGTGAGGATCTAAATTAACAAAGAAAGAAAGAAAGAAAGAACAAAAAAAAGCAAGCACAATAAAAATAAAAACAAAATAGAGTTTATTGTTTTTAATTAGTTTTTATAATTAAAAATATCACAATCCAAAACAAATAAACTGTTTTTACACAAGATCAAGTGTCAGATTTGAGAGATTAATGCAATTTGCTAAACCAGAACCTAAGCCTGATGCACCCATTGCACCAATTTAATTTCCACTTTTTAAATATTGAAGAAAAAATATATCATTAAATAATTAATGAATGAGAAGGAAAAAATGAAGAAAAAATATGAAATAATAAGATTAATTAATAATAAAAGCAAAAGTTTAAAAATAAAATGATGAGCTAAATTAACAAAGAAAGAAAGAAAGAACAAAAAAAAGTAAACATAATAAAAACAAAAACAAAAAAGGGTTTATTGTTTTTAATTAGTTTTTATAATTAAAAATATGACAATCCAAAACAAATAAACTGTTTTTACACAAGATTAAGTGTCAAATTTGAGAGATTAATGCAATTTGCTAAACCAGAACCTAAGCCTGATGCACCTTCATCACCAATTTAATTGCAACTTTTTAAATATTGAAGAAAAAATATATCATTAAATAGTAAATTAGAAAGAAAAAATGAAGAAAAAATATGAAATAATAAGATTAATTAATAATAAAAGAATTAGTTTAAAAATAAAATGATGAGCTAAATTAACAAAGAAAGAAAGAACAAAAAAAAAGCAAGCACAATAAAAACAAAAACAAAAAAGGGTTTATTGTTTTTAATTAGTTTTTATAATTAAAAATATGACAATCCAAAACAAATAAACTGCTTTTACAGAAGATCAAGTGTCAAATTTGAGAGATTAATGCAATTTGCTAAACCAGAACCTAAGCCTGATGCACCCATTGCATCAATTTAATTTCCACTTTTTAAATATTGAAGAAAAAATATATCATTAAATAGTAAATTAGAAGAAAAAATGAAGAAAAAAATGAAATAATAAGATTAATTAATAATAAAAGCAAAAGTTAAAAATAAAATGATGAGCTAAATTAACAAAGAAAGAAAGAAATAAAGAAAGAAAGAACAAAAAATACATTTTATTAAATTAAAATTTTAAATATTTTTTCATCCCAAAGGAATTCATTGTGAATTATATTTTTTGAAAAACCTCCATTTTTTTTGGACATGGTTAAAATCAATCTTTTGTAAAATTTATCAAAATTTATTTTTATAAAAAAAAATGATATGTGAAAAGAATATAAGGTATATATTATTTCAAATTTTAAATTTTGAGAATTTAAAGCTTTCTAAAAACTCAAAAATAAGGCTGTTTTAAGCTAATTTAGCTTTATTTATTATGTTATTAAGATATATTACATTTCGCCTTTTATAAATTAAATAGGCATTTAACTCTAGTTAATTAGAAGGAAAAAATGAAGAAAAAATATGAAATAATAAGATTAATTAATAACTAACTAATAAAATTAACAAAGAATGAAAAAAGAGAAATCATAATAAAAAGAAAAAGAAATCAAATAAACTAAAAGATCTTTTAGTTTTAAATCAACTAATATAATTAAAAATATTACAATCCAAAACTAATAAACTGCTTTTATTAAGTGTAAGTTTTAATAGCAAAAAATAAAGAAAAAATATCAAATAATAAAAAATGAATCATAAATAATTAAAAATTGAAATGAAAATTAAATTAAAATATCTAAAAAACTGTTGTTTTAATAAAAATCAATAAATAAATAATGATGATAATTTCTTATATAAAAATGATTTATTTAAATAAATTGAAATTTAAATGTATAAAAAATATTAATAATAAAAAAAAATATTAATTAATAAAATTACTTGAGATCAATATCGAGAACCTAATGAGATAAAAGTGAAGAGCTTATAAACTTTTTTTATTAATTTATATAAATTTAAATGATATTAATTAAAAAATTAATAATTACTTCTTCTAATTTTTTATATTATTTAATCTATTATATCATTTATTTTTTTTTTCAAAAATATTGAATAGCAAGCAATTTATGAAATTTAATTAATTAATTAAAAATGGATAAAAAGAACAAATAAATATAATAATCAATTAATTATCAAATATTAATTAATATATATATTTGGTTTTATGAAGAGATATATTATCACAGAAAAATTAATTTAACATTCATTATTTAAACTTAATATTTCTATTTAAAACATATACTTAAAAATATATATAGTAGGAATTAGCGATGACCAGTTATTTATTTAGTCATATTTGAAAAAACTTTAATAATTAATTAATTAACTCAAAACATAAAATTTCGCTAATTGTAAATCTAAAAGGCATTTTACTCTAATATTTATAAATATAAAAATTATAATAAATCTATGTATATTTTAGGTTAAATTTTCTTATTACAAAATATTATTTAATAAAACATATTATTTTGTATTATTCAAATATTTAATTTTTATTCATCCTTTTAAATCACTTGTTTGTTTATCACCATTAGAAACGGAAATCTATTTTAAAGACAACTAATCTTTTTAATTTAAGACATTTACTTTATATTTTCAATTCATTTATTTAGTTAAAACTTCTATTATAAATTAAAATAAATTACTAAAAAATATAAAATTTAAAATTAATAAATAAGAATAAAAAATGAAAAATAAAATAAAAGGCTCATAAATAAATTAAAAGAGTTCATTGTTTTAAATTAATTTGTAAAACAAAAATATCACAAATCCAAAACAAATAAACTGTTTTTACTCAAGATAAAGTGTCAAATTTGAAAGATTAGCGCAATTTGCTAAAGCAAAACCTAAGCCCTATATACCTTCATCACCAATTTAATTTCCACTTTTTAAATATTGAAGAAAAAATAAATAATTATTAGTTAGTTAGTTAGTTAGTTAGTTAGAAGGAAAAAATGAAATAATAAGCAATTAATTAACTAATAATAATAAAAACTAAATTTGATAATACAAAATTGAGTTAAACTAAAAAAATTAAATAATAAAAATACAAGTAAAGTAAAAAAAAAATAAATTAAATAACAAGCTAATAAACAAATTAAAAGAGTTTATTTGCTTTAAATTCATTTTTATGACTAAAAAATTAGCAATCTAAAGCAAATTAACTATTTTTACACAAGATAAAGTGCCAAATTTGAAAGACTAGTTAAATTTGCTAATGCAGCACCTAAGCCTGATGCTCCAATCGTACCAATTTAATTGTGACTGAATATTGAAGAAAAAATAATAGTTAATTAGTTAGTTAGTAGGAAAAATGAAGAAAAAATATGAATTAATAAATAATGATTAAATTAAAAGTTAATAATAAAAAAATAAATAAATGACTTAAACTAAGAAACTTAGGAAAAAAAACAGAAGAGTACAATAAAAAATAAAAATAAATCAAGTAAAAAGCTAATAAACAAATTAAAGAGTTTTTTATTCTTTTAAATATTTTTTTTAATTAAAAATATCACAATCCAAAAAAATAAACTGCTTTTACTGAAGTTAAAGTTCCAAATTAGAGAGATTAGTGCTGTTTGCTAAATCAGAACATAAGCTTGATGCACCTTCATCACCAATTTAATTGAAACTTTTTAAATATTGAAGAAAAAAGTTATTAAATGATTTACTTAGAAGGAAAAAATGTAGAAAAAAAAAGTATATTATAAAAGAAAAATAAATCAAGTGAAAAAAAATAAATAAATTAAAGTGTTTTATTGCTTTAAATTCATTTGTATAACTTAAAATTTCACAATAAAAAAAAAAAAATTTTTTTACCGAAGATTAAGTGCCAAATTAGAGAGATTAGCACAATTTGCTAAAGCAGAACCTAAGCATAATGCACCGATTGCACCAATTTAATTTTCCCTATTCAAATAATAATGAGCTAAGAAATATTGAAAAAAAAAAGAAGTACGAATAGAATAAAAAAAAATAGAAAAATAAATAAAAAAGCTAATTAACAAATTAAAAGAGTTTTATTGTTTTAAATTAATTTTTATAACTAAAAATTTCCAATCCAAAACAAATAAACTATTTTTACTCAAGATAAAGCGCCAAATTAGAGAGATTAGTGCAATTTGCTAAACCAGAACCTAAGCCTGATGCACCTTCATCATTAATTTAACTGCAACTTTTTAAATGTTAAAGAAAAAAATATTTAATGAGTTAGTTAGTTAATTTGAAGGGAAAACGAAGAAAAAATATGAAATAATAACAAGTGAATTAATAATAATAAAAGTAAAAATTAAAAATAAAAAAAATGATTTAAACTAAGAAAGATAGAAAAAAAAAAGTAAAATAAAAAACAAAAAAAGAAAAATAAATAAAATAAAAAGCTAATAAACAAATTAAATATTTTTATTATTTTAAATAGATTTTTATAGCTAAAAATATCACAATCCAAAAATAAACTGTTTTTACGGAAGATAAAGTGCCAAATTAGAGAGATTAGTGCAATTTGTTAAAGCAGAACCTAAGCATGATACACTTTCATTACCAATTTAATTTCCACTTTTTTAAAAATTGAAGAAAAAATATATTATTACTTATTTAGAAGGGAAAATGAGGTAAAAATATGAAATATAAAAAAAATAATTAATAATAATTAAAGCAAAAGTTGATAATAAAAAAATAACTTAAACTAAAAAGATAGATAAAAACACAAGTAAAATAAAAAAAGGAAAATAAATCTAATAAAAAGCTGATAAATATATTAAAAGAGTTTTATTGTTTTAAATTCATTTTTATAACTAAAAATTTCACAATCCAAAACAAATAAACTGTTTTTACGTAAGATCAAGTGTCAAATTAGAGAGATTAATGCAATTTGCTAAAGCAGAACCTAAGCCTTATACACCAATTGTACCAATTTAATTTTTACTTTTTAAGTATAGAAGGAAAAATATATTATTTATTAGTAAATTAGTTAGAAGGGAAAAATGATGAAAACATCAAATATTAGGCATTAATTAATAATAAAAGTAAAAGTTGATAATAAAAATATGGCTTAAACTAAGAAACATAGAAAAAAAAATACAAGCCCAATAAAAAACAAAAAAAGAAAAATAAATCAAATAAAAAGCTAAAAAATATATTAAAAGAGTTTTAATGTTTTAAATTCATTTATATATCTAGAAATTTCACAATCCAAAACAAATAAATTTTTTTACGCAAGATAAAGTGCCAAATTAGAGAGATTAAAACAATTTGCTAAAGCGGAACCTAAGCTTGAAACACCAATTGCACCAATTTAATTGTAACTTTTTAAATAATAAAGAAAAAATATAAAATTAATTAGTTAGTTAGTTTGAAGAAATAATAAAAAATTAAATTAATAATATTAAAAGCAAAATTTGATAATAAAAAAATGACTTAAACTAAGAAAGAATAGAAAAAAATATAGTAAAATAAAAAAGAAAACAAAAAATAAATCAAATAAAGGCTAATAATATTGAAAAATTTTTATTATTTTAAATTCATTTTTATAACTAAAAATACCATAATCCAATACAAAAAAATTATTTTTACGCAAGATAAAGTGCCAAATTAGAGAGATTAGTGCAATTTGTTAAAGCAAAACTTAAGCATGATACATCTTCATCACCATTTAAATTTCCACTTTTTAAATATTGGAGAAATAATATTTAAAAAGAGTTATAATATTTTAAATACAAGTAAAAATATTGCAATCCAAAACAAATAAACTGTTTTTATCAATTAAAAGTGTTAGAAACAAAAAAAATAAATAAAAATATCATATAATATCAATTTAATTTCTAACTACTTGTTTTTTATTTTAAAATATTTTAAGGTAAAAATACTATTTAAAAATTAATAATCATATGAGTTAATTGAGTGATTTATTTTGAAACTATATAATGAATTTAAAAAATTTAAAGCAAAAATTAAGTTAAAATAACTAAAAATATATTTGTTAAAATAAAATGAATGGAAATATGTGATAATTTCTATTTGAAGAATAATATTATAAATAAATTGTAATTTAAATATAAATAAAATATTAATAATAATAATATTTATAAATTAAATATACGCGAGATCAATATCGAGAATCTAATGAGATGATAGAGAAGAGTTTAAAAACTTTTTAATTAATAAAAATAAATTTAACATATATTGATAAAATAATAAATAATTACTTCTTCTAATCTGTTATATTATTTAATCTATTATATCATTTATTTATTTTTTTTTTCAAAAATACAATAGCAATTAATTGAAATTTAATAAAGAAAAAGTGGATAAAAAGAACAACTAAATTATATGAATTTATAAATTTGCTATTAGTAAGAGATATCACAAAAAAGTTAGCTTAACATTCTTTATTTAAAATTTATATTTAAAATGTGTACTTAAAAAAATAGTAAATGGTTAATTAGTCATATGTTGAAAAAATTCTATTAATTACTAACTGTTCTTAAATAATATAAAAATACTTTTTATTTTGTAAAATTTTCTATTTTAATGGTTCAAAAATTCAAGAAAATGAAGAGAATTTAATTAGATAAAAAAATAATGAGTATTTATGATATTTAAGTATTGGAATTAGAAAAGAAAAAAAAACAAATATTTATAAATTTTTTAAAATATGTTTAAAAAAATAAAATATGTTTTCTCTAACAAGTTTCCTATTCTAAATAAAAAAGAAAATTTTATCATTTTTCTAGGTTTAAAAAGTATTTGCTTTCTCTCTATTATACCTAAATACTATTCTAAAATCTAGTGAATGGAATCATTATTTAAGTAATTTTAATTTTTATATTTTTTATAAATAATTTATTTTCTTACAAAAATATGAATGTTATTTATAAAATATAAAATCAATAATAAAATCTATAAATCTATCTGTTTATTTTTTAGGTTAAAAAAAACTTTACAAAATATTATTCAAGCATTTAATATTTATTCATCCTTTTTTCATCACTTGTTTATCACAAGATATATTTTTTAAAGACAACTAATCTTTTTGATTTAAGATACTTTCTTATTACTTTGAATTCATTCAAGAAGCTAAAAATTTAAAAATAAATTTGAGTAAATTTTAAATAAATATCAAAATAGAATACACTTTTAAATTAAAAAATATTTCTTAAATTAATAAATAAAATTTCGTTAGTGGTAAAAAAAGATAAAAAAATTAATTAATTACAATCTATCAAATAAATTCAAAGAGCTTTATTGTTTTTAATTACTTTTTATAATTAAAAATATCATAATCCAAAACAAATAAACTGTTTTTACCGAAGATTAAGTGTCAATTTTGAGAGATTAATGCAATTTGCTAAACCAGAACCTAAGCCTGATGCACCTTAATCACCAATTTAATTATCGCTTTTTAAATATTGAAGAAAAAATATATCATTAAATAACTAATGAGAAGGAAAAATGAAGAAAAAATATGAAATAATAAGATTAATTAATAATAAAAGCAAAAGTTTAAAATAAAATTATGAGCTAATTTAACAAAGAAAGAAAGAACAAAAAAAAGAAAGCACAATAAAAACAAAAACAAAAAAGAGTTTATTGTTTTTAATTAGTTTTTATAATTAAAAATATCACAATCCAAAACAAATAAACTGTTTTTACCAAAGATCAAGTGTCAAATTTGAGAGATTAATGCAATTTGCTAAACCAGAACCTAAGCCTGATGCACCTTCATCACCAATTTAATTATAACTTTTTAAATATTGAAGAAAAAATATACCATTAAATAGTAAATTAGAAGGAAAAAATGAAGAAAAAATATGAAATAATAAGATTAATTAATAATAAAAGCAAATGTTTAAAATAAAATGATGAGCTAAATTAACAAAGAAAGAAAGAACAAAAAAAAGAAAGCACAATAAAAACAAAAACAAAAAAGAGTTTATTGTTTTTAATTAGTTTTTATTATTAAAAATATCACAATCCAAAACAAATAAACTGTTTTTACCGAAGATTAAGTGTCAAATTTGAGAGATTAATGCAATTTGCTAAACCAGAACCTAAACCTGATGCACCTTCATCACCAATTTAAAGAAGGGCTAAGCGGCTCGAGTGGGCGAGTCGGAGGGTCTTAGCAGTGATATCGGGGGTTCGAATCCTATACCGCCCCCTTTATTTCGAAAAATTCCATGTAAAAATGTGAATGTTACCAGCGGTCTCCTTGGTAGGAGGGAAGGGCCAAATCTGATAGGAGGTAAAGAGGAGGCCCCATTCTGAACAGAAGATCTGGAATACAAATGGGAAGCGAGCATAATGCGTAGTCAAATCATGGAAGATTAGTAGAAATGCCATTAGGGTGTAGGTGACCCTTCCCTTCTAGTATATTACCCACAATTATATATAAATAAATTGGTATACGTATAATAATAATAATGTATAAGTAATTATATATAGGGCCCCTATCCCGAGTGCATGTCACCATGTGCGAGTATGTATGTATGTATGTATCACCAATTTAATTAGAACTTTTTAAATATTGAAGAAAAAATATATCATTAAATAGTAAATTAGAAGGAAAAAATGAAGAAAAAATATGAAATAATAAGATTAATTAATAATAAAAGCAAATGTTTAAAATAAAATGATGAGCTAAATTAACAAAGAAAGAAAGAACAAAAAAAAGAAAGCACAATAAAAACAAAAACAAAAAAGAGTTTATTGTTTTTAATTAGTTTTTATAATTAAAAATATCACAATCCAAAACAAATAAACTGTTTTTACAGAAGTTCAAGTGTCAAATTTGAGAGATTAATGCAATTTGCTAAACCAGAACCTAAGCCAGATGCACCCATTGCACGAATTTAATTAGAACTTTTTAAATATTGAAGAAAAAATATATCATTAAATAGCTAATGAGAAGGAAAAAATGAAGAAAAAATATGAAATAATAAGATTAATTAATAATAAAAGCAAAAGTTTAAAATAAAATGATGAGCTAAATTAACAAAGAAAGAAAGAAAGAAAGAAAGAAAGAAAGAACAAAAAAAATCAAGCACAATAAAAACAAAAACAAAAAAGAGTTTATTGTTTTTAATTAGTTTTTATAATTAAAAATATCACAATCCAAAACAAATAAACTGTTTTTACCAAAGATTAAGTGTCAAATTTGAGAGATTAATGCAATTTGCTAAACCAGAACCTAAGCCTGATGCACCTTCATCACCAATTTAATTTTTACTTTTTAAATATTGAAGAATAAATATATCATTAAATAGTAAATTAGAAAGAAAAAATATGAAATAATAAGATTAATTAATAATAAAAGCAAAAGTTTAAAATAAAATGATGAGCTAAATTAACAAAGAAAGAAAGAACAAAAAAAAGAAAGCACAATAAAAACAAAAACAAAAAAGAGTTTATTGTTTTTAATTAGTTTTTATTATTAAAAATATCACAATCCAAAACAAATAAACTGTTTTTACCGAAGATTAAGTGTCAAATTTGAGAGATTAATGCAATTTGCTAAACCAGAACCTAAGCCTGGTGCACCCATTGCACCAATTTAATTATAACTTTTTAAATATTGAAGAAAAAATATATCATTAAATAACTAATGAGAAGGAAAAAATGAAGAAAAAATATGAAATAATAAGATTAATTAATAATAAAAGCAAAAGTTTAAAATAAAATGATGAGCTAAATTAACAAAGAAAGAAAGAACAAAAAAAAGAAAGCACAATAAAAACAAAAACAAAAAAGAGTTTATTGTTTTTAATTAGTTTTTATAATTAAAAATATCACAATCCAAAATAAATAAACTGGTTTTACCTAAGATCAAGTGTCAAATTTGAGAGATTAATGCAATTTGCTAAACCAGAACCTAAACCTGATGCACCTTCATCACCAATTTAATTAGAACTTTTTAAATATTGAAGAAAAAATATATCATTAAATAGTTAATTAGAAAGAAAATTGAAGAAAAAATATGAAATAATAAGATTAATTAATAATAAAAGCAAAAGTTTAAAATAAAATGATGAGCTAAATTAATAAAGAAAGAAAGAAAGAACAAAAAAAAGCAAGCACAATAAAAACAGAAACAAAAAAAGTTTATTGTTTTTAATTAGTTTTTATAATTAAAAATATCACAATCCAAAACAAATAAACTGTTTTTACCTAAGATTAAGTGTCAAATTTGAGAGATTAATGCAATTTGCTAAACCAGAACCTAAGCCTGATGCACCTTTATCACCAATTTTATTAGACCTTTTTAAATATTGAATAAAAAATATGTCATTAAATAATTAATGAGAAGGAAAATATGAAGAAAAAAAATGAAATAATAAGATTAATTAATAATAAAAGCAAAAGTTTAAAATAAAATGATGAGCTAAATTAACAAAGAAAGAAAGAAAGAAAGAAATAAAGAAAGAAAGAACAAAAAAAAGTAAGCACAATAAAAACAAAAACAAAAAAGAATTTATTGTTTTTAATTAGTTTTTATAATTAAAAATATCACAATCCAAAACAAATAAACTGTTTTTACCAAAGATCAAGTTTCAAATTTGAGAGATTAATGCAATTTGCTAAACCAGAACCTAAGACTGATGCACTTTCATCACCAATTTAATTTTTACTTTTTAAATATTGAAGAATAAATATATCATTAAATAGTAAATTAGAAAGAAAAATGAAGAAAAAATATGAAATAATAAGATTAATTAATAATAAAAGCAAAAGTTTAAAATAAAATGATGAGCTAAATTAACAAAGAAAGAAAGAAAGAAAGAACAAAAAAAATCAAGCACAATAAAAACAAAAACAAAAAAGAGTTTTATTGTTTTTAATTAGTTTTTATAATTAAAAATATCACAATCCAAAACAAATAAACTGTTTTTACCGAAGATTAAGTGTCAAATTTGAGAGATTAATGCAATTTGCTAAACCAGAACCTAAGCCAAATACACTCATTGCACCAATTTAATTATAACTTTTTAAATATTGAAGAAAAAATATATCATTAAATAACTAATGAGAAGGAAAAAATGAATAAAAAATATGAAAAAATAAGATTAATTAATAATAAAAGCAAAAGTTTAAAATAAAATGATGAGCTAAATTAACAAAGAAAGAAAGAAAGAAAGAAAGAAAGAACAAAAAAAAAAAAGGGGGTGGGGGGGGGGGGTCACAACAGGGACCCATACATTTTGAATGAAAAATTTCCATTCAATAATAAAATTTATCAAAATTTATTTTTATTAAAAAAAAATGATATGTGAAAAGAATAATTGGTATATATTATTTCAAATTTTACATTTTGAGAATTTAAAGCTTTCTAAAAACTCAAAAATAAGGCTGTTTTAAGCTAATTTAGCTTTATTTATTATGTTATTAAGATATATTACATTTCGCCTTTTATAAATTAAATAGTCATTTAACTCTAGTTAATTAGAAGGAAAAAATGAAGAAAAAATATGAAATAATAAGATTAATTAATAACTAATAAAATTAACAAAGAATGAAAAAAAAGAAATCATAATAAAAAGAAAAAGAAATCAAATAAACTAAAAGATCTTTATTGTTTTAAATCAACTAATATAATTAAAAATATTACAATCCAAAACTAATAAACTGCTTTTATTAAGTGTAAGTTTTAATAGCAAAAAATAAAGAAAAAATATCAAATAATAAAAAATGAATCATAAATAATTAAAAATTGAAATGAAAATTAAATTAAAATATCTAAAAAACTGTTGCTTTAATAAAAATCAATAAATCAATAAAGATGATAATTTCTTATCTAAAAATGATTTATTTAAATAAATTGAAATTTAAATGTATAAAAAATATTAATAATAAATAATAATATTAATTAATAAAATTACTTGAGATCAATATGGAGAACCTAATGAGATAAAAGTGAAGAGATTATAAACTTTTTTTATTAATTTATATAAATTTAAATGATATTAATTAAAAAATTAATAATTACTTCTTCTAATTAGTAATATTTTTTAATCTATTATATCATTTATTTTTTTTTTCAAAAATATTGAATAGCAAGCAATTTATGAAATTTAATTAATTAATTATAAATGGATAAAAAGAACAAATAAATATAATAATTAATTAATTATCAAATATTAATTTATATATTTGGTTTTATGAAGAGATTTATTATCACAGAAAAATTAATTTAACATTCATTATTTAAACTTAATATTTTTATTTAAATAATATACTTAAAAATATATATAGTAGGAATTAGATATGGCCAGTTATTTATTTAGTCATATTTGAAAAAACTCTAATAATTAAAGAATGCGGGGGAAACATTTTGAATGGAGGGGGTGTGGGGTAAATAAAGGTCGTCTTTACTGTATTTATTATCATGCTATAAAAAAATTATTAAAAAATAAAGGCCTTTATAAAAAATAGTAATACTATTTCACTATATTTTAGAAAGGTATTTAGCTATACTTTAAATAAATAATTTTTTATGTATTGCGTTCTACAAAACATACATAATATAAAGGAGATAAATCTACTTTACTGTTTAATTAAAAATAAATTAATTTTTTTGTAGAAATTTAGATTTTGGATATTTAAATGAACAATATTTTGCATGTATGTATCATATTAAATATGCTTTTATCTTTTATATATTACAAATCAAATAATTGAATAAATGAGTCAATAAAATAATCAGTATTCCATTCACTAATTATTTCATCAATTGAAAAATTTCAAGTTAAATACAAAAGAAAGTGTGCAATTAATTTGAAAGGAGAAGCTAATTAAGAAAGGAAGGAATATATATTATATGAGTTAATAAAATGTGTAAGAAAATAAATTTCCTGTAAGATTTAATTTGGATTAGCAGCAAAAAAGTTAGATTGTGAATGATATTTTATTTACATTTGACGAAGACGATGAGGTGGACAATAACTTAAAAGGTCACACTAAAAAACTAAGTTCATTAGTTATCTAATAATCACCAAAATCTACTAATGAAATTAAAGATTAACAAAACTCTACTCAATCTTCTTAGGGGAAAAATTAGTAAATTTTATTTTTTAACACACCTACAAGTTCTACAAAGCAAGCCTCCAATCAGATAAGAAGATCCTCTCTAAAGGCTCACTCCAAGTTTTTTCACAATTAAGCTGAAAAGGATTTCTTTTTAGAGATTAAAAAAAAGGATAAGGATTCCTCTCGTACATCCTCAAAAGAATCTTTTTCTGATATTTCTGAATCGAGTGAGGAAGATTAAGATGAAAGCGAAGAACAGGATTGTGAAAATTCTCCAATCATGAACTTGATGAAGAAGACATTCAAGATGACTTTCTCTGAAAATAATTAAGATAAATCAGAGCAAGAAGAAGAAGATGATGAAATTTAAGAAGAAGTATCTAAGAATCCTAATAATAAGTAGTTATTCATGTAAATAATTGATATTGCTTACAAATGAGTATTCTAATTAGTGATTAAATTATTACTTTTTGATTATTACAACAAAAAAGCAAGCAAAAAATTCATCAAACAAAAAAGCAAATAAATAAACAAACAAACTAACAAATTTCAAATAAGATATTTTTTTAATTAAGACCTTTTTGAATTTATAAAGGCAACAAACAAAGTATGCAGTTGAATAAATATTGAAATAGATAAATGAAAAAGAGTAACACAAGAATATCAAGTAAATTATTTGACAATAACTTAATTCTTTAATAATAATGTTGAATTTGATTATAAAAAGTTATACTTTTGACTACATAGATTTTAGCAGCTTAGTGTTTTTCTACTTTTATTTGATTTGGTCAAACGATCTAGCTACGTTGAAGTAATTTTTTTATTTGAAGTATCTGTCTAATACTAATATAAATAAATAAAGGACGTTACATTAATACTGCTAAAAGCAAATATCTGATCAACAAATATAGTGGGCAGGAAATTATAAAGCATTCAAAAATGCTTCTGATTATAGAGTGAATCCTAAAGAAAAAATGAAGGAGATATTAGAAGTTAATTCAGTAGAAGATGGACTTCTTAAAATATTAGTTTAATCATATTTCTTTTTGTTCAGACAAAACATATTCGAGTCTAGCATTTATTACAAATACTTTCATGAATTTTAGTAATAAGATTCTTCTTTTTTTAATAAAAATCTTTTTGATTATATTTTAATATAAATATAAAGTTAGCTATCTAATTATTTGCAGTTTTAGTCAAATGAAAAGTTTGAATTCTACATTGGCAAAGGAATTTTCGAGTTGTGCTTGCAAATCAAAGATGAAAAATACATTCAAATATTTCTAAAAAATAACTATTATTTAGAGTTAGATTTTTCAAAAGAAAAATATTAATATATAAAGGCATGCTAATATACATAAGATGACCAATAAAAGCCTAAATTAAATGCTTTTGTCTTGATTTATTACTTTAGTGTTGAAAATCTTAATCCAAATTTAATAGAGTAATTTATTTATATTTTTATTAGTGAAAAAGATGATATTATTTATTCAAAATAGGATTGTGCTCAGACATGTTGAAGATAGCCAAGCTCTCAAATATATTTTTCAGCATTTAGTGACTTATCATTTGAATTAGTTTGCTAAGTAAAAATAGAAAAAAAAAATCAAAATTAACGAATTTGTTGAAACTTATTTTATGTTAAATTAAAAGGAATATTCTGTAGAAAATCATTGCTTAAAAACAGGATGATGAAAAAGAAATCATAAATCTGTGTTTAACAACTTACAATTTTAACATATTATTTTAATATTATAAATTGACTCAGAACAAAATAAAAGGTTGGATAGAAGAAACAGAAAATTAAACGATTATGATTAAAGCGTTGTCCCGTTGTTCAGGATATAATTTTTAATCTCTATTATTCTTTATAAAAAAAATACAGCTATGGAGCTAAAAAGACCTTATAAACTTGATGGCTCATGCCTTATCAAGAAGACTTGAGGCTTCGAAAAATGATTAAAACTTTTTATTTTCGTTTTAAAATCCTCTTAAAATAATTGTTCTGATAATAGAAATTCTTTAAATCACACTATAAAATGAGTTCTTCCATAAAAATATCTTAGAAAAGTAATTTTTTTTTTTTTTTTGTGGAATTAAAAATGACTGAATAAGAATTAAATCAATATATATTTTTTTATGGTTAGTTTATTATTGATTTATAATAAATATTTTATAATAATTAAAGAACCAGAAAGAAGTACACTCAATTTGCAGAAATACTTATCAAAAATGATATAGATGAAGAATCAATATTTAGTATTTTAGTAGATTGGGATCTAGTAGGAAGAAAACTGCTGTATATCATTTATGAAAACTCTATAAGTGAATTGATTGCAACTGATAAAGTCTAAGAAGTAATTGACATATTGTGGTATGGAAGCACAAACAATTCATTGAATTAGTAAATTAATAAAATTTTATTCCAAAAATAATTCAATATAATAAATTAATCAATAAAAGAAATTGCAAAAAATAATCAGATTGATAAGTAAACAATATAATTTCACCCAAAAGAATTAAAAATATATTTTCAAGATTGTAAAACTGTTTTTTTAAAATCTGAATTAAGTATTTTTTACTAAATCCTTAATTGATATTTTAAAATATTCAAAAATTAACAAACAAAATTCAAATTTTCATGAATAAAATTTGAAATCAAATATTTTTTGCAATAAATAGAATTTCGTTTATTGGAAATAAAGATTTTTGATAATTATTTTCATTATAAAAATAATAAAATTTTATTTAACAAAAAACAATTTTATCAATAGACTTAAAATAAATTAACTATTAATTTGTTGCTTTTAAAATTTTAATTTAAAATAAATTTATTAAAAAATTATCAATTTATAAAAAACAAAAGACATTTTAGTTATTAATTTATTTGCGAAATTAGTTTTTTAACTATTTTTTAAATTCCTTTTTTAATATAAATCTTTGAATTCTAATTAAAAAATTGATGAAATAAATACATAAATACATCTAAATTATCAAATTTTATTAGTTTGATTTTTAATTAAAAAATAGAATGAATTTTTGTTCGATCGGATAGAATTTAACTGGTTCTACTTTACAAAAGTAGATTGCTGATTAAAATAGCAAGTTTATAGATTATCCTTTCAATAGAGAATACTAAAGCGAAGATTTCATAGCAAGATTAAGTGTGTGGAAAAAACAAATATAATTTCGTAATTTCATCGATTAGGCTCTTAATATTATTTTCATGATTTGCTTTTTAGCTTATTTTTTGCAAAGTTTTGAGATATACACTGAAGGCTTCATGCCAGTTAATAGTGATGTTTAAATAGTTGAAAACACAATAAATAAAATGCAAATTAACATGTCTAAGTGGATCTATGTCAACATATTTGTAGGTATAAATCTTCCATTAAATGCAATTGTTGATTTAATATATCACTAAGAATTCGAGTAAAGTGTAAGCTTTGATTCTGGTCAGATCTTTGATTTGCTATTTGCTTTAATTACTAACTTATACACTATCTTTGTTTATACTATGCATTATTATCAGTATGATAGTGTACAATTTTTTATGATTCTCTTTCTTAACATTCTCACTGTCTTCTGTTATCTCAAATTTATTTTCTGTCTAACCGCTACCAAATCTTTTGGTATTATTATACAAGCACTAGGAGTTATTTTTAAAGAAGTTGCTAAATTCTTTGTACCTTTTGTAGCTATTTTTATTATCTTCACTTTTGTAGGTAAACATATTTTTGAATTACTTTTTCATTACAAATAAACTATCTAATAATAAGAAAGTTTTAATTTATATTTGAATTTTTATCTATTATAAGAAATAAAAAAGCAATTTTTTAGTTAAATAACTGATTTAATTAATTGTTTATCACTAGTTAAATTATAGATAAAAAATTGAATTAGATATTTACAAATAAAAATTCAAATTAAAAAATAAATTTAACAAAATTGTTTTTTAAAGGCTTAAAAGATAATTAAAAAATTGAAAAAATATCTACAAAATTTATGAATTGAGAAATTTGGTGAAAATGAATCTCCATTAAAACTGACATTCTATTATTTAATTTTAAATTACTTAAAATGTAATGCTCTTAAAAAATAGACCAATATTCTATTTATTTTATTAAAAAGAAAAGAAAATAATAAGAATAACTTAAAAATTAATTTAAAATATTTAGAAAATTACTATTTTTTATTTAAAAAAATATTAAAAATAATTTTATAAAAAAAGGGTATATCTTATTTAACTAAATAGATAGTGGAAGATTTGAAAGTTTCGTTTTGTCTCTATATTATTTGGTTGAAGCTATGTTTGGTTAATTTACTTTTTCAGCTTATTAAGGGCAGTATTCCATTTCAGGAAGGATTTTTATGTGTCTTCATATGTACTCTCTAAATATTATTTTGATGAACGTTCTCGTAGCTATCTTGGCTTTCAACTTCGAAAAGATAAATAGATAAGCCAGAACTTTACATTATCAGCATATTATTTCTCATGTTAGGCAAGGAAATTACATTTAAAAGCACGGATGTCTCATACTTGTGCCAATACTCATTGAATTTACTATTATTCCTTATTTGATCATCAAAAAATTCTTTCACCATGAATCAAATTTCATTAAAAAATGCTAAAATTTCTATATTTATCTCTCTTACAGTCCTGTTTTTGCCATAACTCTTCTCTTTACAATAACAATTAATTTGATTTTGCTACCATTTGCTTATTTGTAAAGAATCTTTTAGCTAACAAAACTCTACTTTTATGGTTATATTAAAATTTACAAACTTCTTATTTGGATTCTCATAGGTAATTTTTTTTTCATAATTAATAATATAAGTTAATCTCAAATAAATTAATTTTTAACAAAAAAATTAAACTAAACTAAAATAATAATCAATCAATTAAAATTTGATTTACCCTGCTTTAATTTAATTAAAAATTTTGAAAAATATACTTTAAATAAAAGAAACAAAAATTAAATAAAAGATCAATAAAAAAAATATTATATAAAATATATTTTAAATAGGCGTTTTTTACCTTCTTAAAAGACTCTTTTATGATGACATGAAAGAATTATGCTCTTATTTGCTTTCTCAAAAAAGCTAAGCTGATAATGTAAGCTAAAACTAGAAGAAAATGATGTCTGATTAATTGATGAGAGAGATTTTTAAAACTGTATACAAGATTTACATGAATGGAAGAATATATTGCACTATTAGTGAACTTTTTTTAGAAATAAAGGAAGATTTAATTAAGAAAAGTGAATCTCCTTTTGATTTTTGCTTAGGAGAAGAAAAATTAGTGGGTGTTCATTTAATTGATAACAAAAAAAACAACAGACAAAGTTTTAGTATAACTTCATAGAGTATTGAAAGAATAAAAGGAATGAGGAGAGGATCAACTCCTTTGCAGATCTATATGTTATAAAAATAAAATAGTAGAAATTTTATGTAAAATATTGACTAAATCAATGTGAAGCATACTTTCTAGGGTATCCCTCAAATGGAAGAAGATTGTGAATAAATTTATGAATATTTTGAGAGATTTTGCTTCAAAGACATAGCAAGAGGAGATGAAAAAAGAGATTTTGTTTTGAACTTAAAAAACCTGCTAAAGTTGCATGAAAATTACTTAACAAGCAAGCTGAATTTTGTAATCCACTTTTAATTATACAAGACTATTAAATAATAGTTTTAATGAATTGACTATTCCTTCCTTCTTCACATCAACTATAAAAATTATTTTCTAAATAATTAAACAAATTTATTTTCCTCATAAAATATATTTATTTCTTACTTACTTAGTTCTATATTTGTAAATAAAAACTTTTTATTGTAGCTGATTAATGAATAAAAGCTTTTTTATAATAAATAAAAAATATATATTTATAAATATTTTAATTATATTTTTATATTCTCTGCTTTATACAAATTTTTTTGATAATATTAATTTAGTTAAGGTAATTCTTCAAATTGATAGAATTTATACATTAAAAAATTCTATAAAATTAAATATTAATAAGGAGAAGAAAAAAAATTTTTTTTTTCTCCCTGAATTATTTATTTAGAATATTTATATTATATGAGTTGCTAAAAGCATGAATGTTTGTATTTATTAAAAACATTTTTTCTTTTATTTATGATATACTTAGTTATTTTTTTTTATTTTTATAAGTAATGAAATTATTAAAAAATAATTTTTTATTACATCCATAATTAGGTTCTATAAAAAAATGTAGATAAATTCATTTATAGGACTATAAATAATTAATAAAAAATAATTAATTTTATAGTAAATAAATAAATAAAAATAATAATGAAAATGATACTTTTAGCTAAAAATAGTAGTACTAATAATAGTTTATTAAATATCAAATAGAAAGATTACTTTAATACTAAATATTTTAAGTAATCTGTGATATTGATAGTGTTATCCAATAACTAAAATCGAAGTAAAAGAATCAAAGGAGAAGTAATTATTAATTTAATATCAAAAAGATTATTTATTTATTAATTAATTAATTATATGAGTTAAAATTAGGATAAAAAGTTACCAGTTCGCTTTGACTTAAATGAGCCTTAGCATAAGCAGCTTGTTAACAACATTTTATTTACATTTGAAGAAGACTAAGAAAATTATTCTTTAAATTAAACGAACTAAAATTCAGTAACTGTAGTATAAGCTTAGCCATAATCTTAATTGTATCTCTAAAAAGTTGATATTAAAATAGCATATGATTAAGTATAAAAATAGCTAAGTCAACCTAAAACTTAAAACACTCCACCTTCTGTATTGGGAAAAAAGAATTTTGTCAAAACAAGAGTCTCTTCCATCAAAGCCAACTCTAAATTTACGAATGCTTATAATAGTGAAAAGGATTTTGTATTAGAACTTAAAAAAAGAGATAGCTCTAATCATTCAAAAGATTCATTAACAGATTTATCTAAATCTAGTGATGAAGAAAGCGAGGAATCTGATGAAGAAATATTTGAAAACTCTGAAATTATGAATTTATAAAGAAAATAATCACAATCAACAATTGATGAAGTGGAGGAAAAAGAACCATAGGTAGATTAAGATTGTTAAAACTACTAGTAATAAATTCTATACACATTTATATTTTATGAGAAGAGATGCATATTTTATACAACTAAACTTACAATATAAATAAATAAATTATACAATTTTATAAAAGAAAGCAAGTATAAGCAGCAGTGGAATAAATTTTAAGATAGATTAGAAACAAATAAGAACAAAGGACAAATAAAAATAAATAGCAGTGGTTAGTTAATTGCTTTAATTTTTATCCTTATGAATAATTTAATTTGTATATTAATAGCAGCTATTCATTTGAGTTGATTGATTTAAGCAACTTGTTATTTTTTTACTTATTCATGATATGGTCTGATGATTTTGAAAATTTGAAGTACTTAATTAATTCTTTTAATGGCTTTTATGACTTATGTTTAGAGTTTATTGTTATATTATTTATTCTATTTTATTAGGAAACTTCACGAGTATTGCTAAACGAATATCACCTAAGAAAAAATAGAAAAGTTATTTACTTACAAGCTTTTTAATAGCTTTTTTGAGACAAAAATAAATATGAAAGATAAAATGAAAGAAATAATAGAATTGGAAAACTGTCTGGATTAAGTTTTCAAAATTTTAGTTCAATCATATTTTTTACTTATCAAGCAAAATGTATTTGAAGCTAGTCTACATTATCAATATTTAGTTGAATTTAAGTAATTAATTATTATTTATTTGGTAATATTAAATAATAATAAAAAACCCTTTTATTTAAAGCTAACTAACTAGTGGTTTGTAGTACTAATAAAACCAGAAATTTGAGTTCTACATAAGCTAAGAACTATTTATTCAAGTTATGCTACAATAAAATGAAAACTATGTTAAAATTTTTAGAGAGAATACTTATTACATATCATTTGATATTAACCAAGAAAATTTTGAATACATAAAATAATGTTAATATTAAAACTAGTAAAACCCTCACCCAGTCTTAAATGAATTAGTCATGATCTATTTTTACACTATCGAAAAATTAAATCCTAAACTTATTACGTAATCTCAATAATTTTTTTTTGATAAATAAATATTTTGAAAATATTTTTTAATTTTGTTTTAAGTACTAATTTAATAAAATATGTTTATATTAATTATTTGTTTTCAAATTAATTACAGTGTCATAGTAAATCAGATAGAGGATAACTAAGTACTTTGGATCATTTTTATTCATTTTCTTAAATATCACTTGAATTCTTTTGCAGAGTAATTTTCTTTTAAAACACATAAATATTCTTATTAATTTTTATTTATGAATAAAGAAAAGTTCTGAACAAAATTACTTAAAAATCAGAATATGAAAAAGAAATTATCAACTTGTGTTTAATAAATAATAATTTTTATATTCTTTTTTAGTTCTATTAAATGACTGGGAACAAAATTAAAGGATGGATTGAAGATTTTGAAAATTAGCAAATGATGATTAAAGGTTTAGCAAGATGCACAGGAATTAATTTTTTATCTCTGCTCTTTTTTATTAGAAAAATTTAGCTTTGGAGTTAAAAAGATCTTATTCATATGATGGCTGATACATTGCATAAAAGACTTGATGCATCTCATAGTGATAATAATTTCCTCTTTACTTTTATCAATCCTATTAAAACCATAGTCCTTATCATTGAAATCTTGATTACTACTATTAAAAAAGAATTCTTCCATAAACACATTCTAGAAAAGTAAAAAAAATAAATTATTCATTTATTCATTTATTTATTTATTTAAAAATATTTAACAGAAACTAAAACGATTATGAAAAATAAATATATTTTTTGAATTAGAATAATATTATATTAATAAAATCTGTAATAATTTTAAATTGATAATTTTAAGGACAAGAAAAAAATATTCTAGCTTTGCACAGAAACTAATTACAAATGCCCTTGATGAAGAACAAGCATTTGATATTTTTCTAGATTGGGATTTAGATGGAAGAAAACTACTTTATATCATTTACGAAAATTCTATGGATGAGTTTATAGCTTCTGATAAAGTTTAAGAAGTTATTGACATTTTGTGGCATGGATATAGCACTACTACAACTAACTTGTAAATTAATTGTCTTTATTTTAAATCATTTTACACTTTGTTAATTTTCATAATAATTATTTTTTTACAATATTACTTACTACCTTAAATATTTTATTTCAATAAAACAAAAACTTTTACTCAAAAAATTTATTTTTAATTATAAAAAATATTTTTTAGAAATAGAAAAAAATTAAAAACTTATTTTATTTAATTAAATATACAGTATAAATTTTTGCTCTATAGGGTAGAATTTAACTAATCCTACTTTGTAAATACAAGCAATTATGAGCTAAGAATAATGCATTGGATATCCTTTTGACACTTCTTACTAAAGTGAAGATTTTTTTGGGAGATTAAGTGTTTGGAAGAATTAAATTTAGTTTCGTAACTCTATCAACCAGTTTTTTATTATAATTTTTATGATTCTATTTTTGGCTTATTTTTTGGAAAGCTTCTCTATTTTTACTGAAGGATTCATGCCTATTAAAGAGGATACTAATCTAATTGATGCAACAATAACTAAAATGCAGGAAAATATGGCAAAATGGATTTTAGTGAATATATTTGTTGGAGTTAACTTACCATTAAATGCTGTTAATAATTTAAATTATTTGAAAAAATATGAGAAAAACGCTACCTTCACTCCAAGCTAGATATTCGACATATTTTTTGGGATATTAACTATTTTTTATACGCTATTTATATTTACTATGCATGTATTAAGCTATGAAAACAGCTAACTTTTTATGATATATTTTCTCAACATTCTTACTGTTTGCTGCTACATCAGATTTATCTTGTGTTTGACTGCTACAAGAGCTTTTGGTATAATCCTTCAAGCTTTAGGTGTTATCTTTATAGAAGTTGCTAAATTCTTCTAACCCTTTTTAGCAATTTTTATCCTTTTCACTTTCGTAGGTAACAATTAATATATTTTTACTAACTTATTTTATTAAATTTTTCATTAATATAAATAGGATTCATTTTATTTAATCCAATTGAGAATGGATAATTTTAAAACTTTATTGAGAGTTTGTATTTTTTAGTAGAGGCTATGTTTGGTCAATTCAAATTCTAAGACTTTTAAAAGCAATATCCGATCACAGGTAGCGTATTTATGCTGGTTTATATGTATAGTTTAAACATTATTCTCATGAATGTCCTTGTTGCTATTTTAGCCTTTAACTTTGAAAAGACAAACAGATAAGCAAGAATACTTCATTATTAACATATCATTTATCATATCAGATAAGGAAACTATATACAAAAACATGGCTGTTTAATTCTCATTCCCATTTTATTATAGTTCTTAGCAATTCCTTATTTAATCATGAAATAGATTTTTAACAGTAACCCTTAATTGATTAAAAAGTGCGATAATTTCTTTATTTATCTTTCATACAGTCCCATTTTTGCTGTTGTCATAATTTGTACAATCTTATTTAATTTAATTCTACTGCCTTTTGCCTATATTCAAAGATTATTCACTCTCTCTAAGCTCACATTTTACAAATAAGTTAAATTTTACACTCTCCTTTTGTGGTTTTTATTTGGTAAATCATAAATATTTAATTAGTTTTATTCATTTATTTATTTCATTTATTCAATAATTAATTAATTTTATTCATTCATTCATTTATTTATCCATTCATTCATTAATTTATTTCATTCATTCATTCATTCATTCATTCATTCATTCATTTATTTATTTATCCATTCATTCATTCATTTATTTATTTCATTAAATTTCATTTATCAATTCATTCATAATATTTATTCTAAAAATAATGATACGTAGGAATCTTATTGCTTTTGAAAAGAATGTTTTATGATGATATGAAAGAACTTGTAGCTTATATGTTTTGTTAGTAGAGTCAAGCTGAAAGAGCAAATTAAATATAGAAGAAACTAAGATTTGATTAGAATATGAAGCAAATTTTTTAAACTATTTGTAGAATATATATGAATGGCTAAATTTATTGCACTATTAGTGAATTGTTCATTCAAGTAAAAGAGGATATGCTAAAATAAAATAAATAACAGCAACAAACAACTTGTGTAGATGAAGATTAAATTATTGGTGTACATTTAATCAAAAACAAAAGTATTTCTAGACAAAGCCTTGCTTTTAACTCACCTAATTTAGAAAGATTCTAAAGCTAAAAGCGAAACTCTACTCCTTTACATTTGTATCTACTCTAAAAATAAAACAGTAAAAATTCTATGCAAAAAATAGACTCAATGAATGTCAAGCACACATTTTAAGGTATTTCTTAAATAGAAGAAGAATGCGAGCAGCTTTTTGAATACTTTGAAAGATTTTGCTTCAAAGACATTGCAAGAGGCGATGAAAAAAGAGATTATGTTTTAAATCTAAAAAATGTTTTGAAATTACATGAAAGCTACTCTATTGTAAATCTAAATGTTGTCGCGCATTTTTAGCTTTACAAAACAATAAAGGCGCAATTAGAGTGATTAGTTGAATTATACCAGATTAAATCAGTAAACTACTTATATATATATAGAAATGTATTTATCTTCTTTTCTATGGTTAATTATTAAATATCTACATGAATAAATAATTACTCTATTTTTATTTATTGTAACTAATTTATTTCATCTAATTACTTTCTATTACATTTAGAGCAGACCTTAATTAATTTAATAACAAATTCATTTCAATTGCAACTTTTTGATAAAGTGACTACTGTGATCGATCTTGATTAAACCTTAAATTTGTCTATTTTAATCTCTATGTAAAAATGATTCAGTTACTTATTGTTTTTATATATTTTTATATGCATTTTTCTATCAAGATTTTAATAGAACTTGATAGCGCATAATTTCTAAGCCTCTTTTCTATATAATCTGCCAAAATCTTTAAACAGATTTTACAAAGCAGGTCAATTTTATAATTAAATAACTTCAAATAAAAAAAATAAGAACTAAATAAATAAATTAGAATTAAATAACGAAATTATCTTTCAAAGTAAAAATATCAAATTAAAATGGATACTGCACACAAAACAGAAGATGAAAAAAAGGAATACTTCGATGCTCCTGATGTTTTAGAATAAAAGGTTACTCTTTTAGCTGAAATGATTAAAACTTCAAAGCACTTTGTAGCTTTCACAGGAGCAGGAATTTCTACTTCTACAGGAATTCCTGATTTTAGAAGTGGAATTAACACTGTTCTTCCTACTGGACCAGGAGCTTGGGAGAAATTAGCCTAAAAAGTTGATAATAAGCATAAAAATATCAAGACTAGCATGTTGAAAGCTATTCCTTCACCCACACATATGGCTTTGGTTTAGTTACAAAAAATAGGTTATTTGAAATTCCTTATTAGCTAAAATGTAGACGGATTGCACAGAAGAAGTGGTTTCTCACCCTAACACTTAGCTGAATTGCATGGCAATACAAATCTTGAAAAATGTAAAAAATGTGGCAAAGAATACTTGAGAGATTTTAGAGTTAGAAATGCATAGAAAGTTCATGATCACAAAACAGGTAGAAAGTGCAGCGATTAAAAATGCAAAGGAGATCTTTATGACTCTATTATAAATTTTGGTGAAAATTTACCTGAAAAAGATTTAAATGAAGGATTTGCTTAATCAAAAAAATCTGATTTGCATTTGGTTTTAGGAAGTAGTTTAAGAGTAACACCTGCTGCAGACATGCCTGCCACCACTGCAGAAAAAGGTCAAAAATTAGTTATAATAAACTTGCAAAAAACTCCTTTAGACTCAGTAGCTACTCTCAGAATAAATGCTATGTGTGATGATGTTATGAAAATGGTTATGAAAAAACTTGGATTAGATATACCAGAATTCACTCTTGAAAGAAGAGTTGTCTTAGAAAAAACAGGTATGAATGCCTTAACAGTTTCAAGCTAAGACTCGGACGATTCCCCCTATGATTTGTTTAAATAAATTAAAGTAGATTACGGCAAAATACATCCTGAATAAACTTTACTTAAGGCTCCATTCAATATCATACCAAAAAATAAAACATTCTCTCTAAATTTAAGCTTTTATGGACACTATGGCGAGCAAGATTTTAACTTAAATATCGATATGGCTGCTCTCTCCATTAATAAAAAAGTGAAATATTTAATACAATATTCACCAAAAGAATAAAAATGGATTAGTTGCAAAGAAATATGAAAATAAAAAATATATAAAAAATGAATTAATTAATTAATTAAAATACTGCTTTATATTACATAAGTATTAATTACTATTATATAAAACCACTTTTCTTATAATGATTTAATTAGTTACTTATTAATTTAGATTAACATAAATTTTTATAATTAAATTCTTCAAACTTCTACTTTATTTACTTTTTTGAAAAAATAATAGTAAAATTGATAACTAATTCAACAACGACTACAGAAAAAACATAAATTCCAAAATAATTAGAGGTTGTGAACAAAATAATTTTTTCATTAAAAGTAAGAATTAAAATAATATTTAGGATATTTCAAAGTAATATTTTTAAAATGTAATCCCTCAATAAAAAATCTAAAGAGGATTTATTCCGATTTTCAAGATATTTTTCTTTTATTTTTACTCATACTATCATTTACTTTGTGTAGCTTTTGTGTATTTTTTTAGTAAAATAACCTATGTAAAAGCATTGATTTTTTGTGAAATATTTATGTAGTTTTTATGTAAACCTAATTTCAATGATAACAAAATTCAAATTAACAGCAAAGCAAAATTTAAAATCTTTAGCTAAACCTATAAAGACTTATTTTTGAAATTAGAATTATGTGCTTTTCTATATATTATTTATTATAATCTAATACACAGTAAAATGAAATACATAAAAACCTTGATAATATATTGAAAATATGTATAAAATTATATTCATGGTTATTTATTTTTACTAATATTAATAAAAATAAATAAAATAATTTTTTAGAAATCTCTAAAATATTCAGATGAATAAATTGATCAACTCATTTATATACAAGTGTATATTTTATCAATCTTTTGGCTTTTCTGAATATATTATTAAATTTATTTATCCCATAATGATAATATCCAATATCTATATATAAAGAAGTGAGAGAAACACACTTTGAAAGTCCTTCTCCTAGATTCTTAGAAATATTACCAAAATTATTATTATTTATTAGAATTAAATTTAATGAAGTGAGATTCACACACTTTGAAAGTCCTTATCCTATAGACTATAGACCTCTCTTAGTAATTAAATTTTCATTAACATTTAGACTTAAAGAATCAAGATGAATCCATTTTGAAAGTCCTTCCTCTAAATTCTTTACACCAGCGTCACAAAGTTAATTACTCTTAAGATTTAGGTGTAAAGAAGTTAGATTAACACACTTAAAAAGTTCTTTTAATAAATATTTTGCACCTTACTTTCCAATATGATTGCTGCTTAGATCTAGATTTAAATAAGTGAAATTAAAACACTTTGAAAGTTCTTCTCCATAAACCTTTGCTCCATTTTCATCAATCCTATTATTGCCCAAATGTAGATTTAAAGAAGTGAGATTAAAAAACTTTGAAAATCCTCCTCCTAAGGACATTCCACCATAATCACCAATCTAATTATCTAATAGAATTAGATTCAATGAAGTGAGAGTAACACACCTTGAAAGCTCTTCTATTAAATACTTTACACCATTTTGACCTATTCTATTAAAGCCTAGATTTAGATTTAAAGAAGTGAGATTAATACACTTTGAGAGTTTTTCTCCTAAATACTTTGCCCCAATATTATTAACACTATTGTTGATTAGATTTAGATTTAAAGAGGTCAGAGTAAAACATTTTCTAAGCCCTTCTCCTAAGTAGTTTAAACCATTATCACCAATATTATTGCAGTGAAAATTTAGATTTAAAGAAGTGAGAAAAACACACTTTTAAAGTTCTTCACTTAAATACTTTACACCATTCTCTCCAATACTATTCAAACTTAGATTTAGATTTAAAGAAGTGAGAAAAACACACTTTAAAATTCCTTCTGCTAAATACTTTAAACGATTATCACCAAACATATTTCCAAATAATTCTAGATGTAAAGAAGTGATAGTAGCACATTTTGAAAGTCCTTCTCCTAAATGCTTAGCACCAATCTCATCAATAGTGTTACCAACAAATTGCAAGCTGATTGAATCGATTTGATCATTATGTATTTCTTATAATTTTTAAATGAACCCATCAGCTTTAATTTAATTTACCATATCTATTGAAATCCGTTATTTGCTTTCCTCCATTTGATATTGATTATTCATTTAGTCTGAAATAGATTACTAATTCTAAATCATTTTTTTTTCCCTTATTCCCTTTTTTTTTACATTTTTTTATTTCTTTATTTATTTGCCTTTCTATATATTTGTATTAAAAGAAATATCAATTACCTTTAGCTAAACCCGCTCAAATCATTCTAATAGATAGATATATTACAATAATAAATTTAGAGCAATAAGCTATTGAATTAAAAGGCTTATTAGAGCCCAAGACTTTATAAATAAAGCAAGCATAAATAAATAAATCGATTCATCCAAATACAAGGAAGTAATAGAGGACAATTATAATTAAATTACAGAAGAATGCTTAGAAGAGTTTGTTGAAGAAGAAGAAGATGATGATGATCATCATCATCAAAACCATCAACACCATCATAGAAACTCTTAAAACTTGGAGATCAGGACATTAAACCAGAAGAGTATTCATTTAAGGTAAAATTGTTTCAGAGTTTGTTCTGATCCTTAAAATGAGGCTATAAGTGAAATCAGTCCAAGTAGAGGGAGAACATGGATGCGTATCTTTTAAAAACCCAGTTAAAACTGATCTTATACTTGATTTATATGAAAACAGTTATCTAAATGTATTGAAAACTTTACAAAATGAGTTTATGTTTTGTTCATTATAAAATAACTGGTTAAATTTTAATAACCCAAAATATCCTCTACCACAAAATAATTAAAGTAGAAATCAAAATTTAAGTAGAAACTCTTGAATAATTTTTCTATATAATAATTCAGAAATAATAAGAAATAAAAGAATTGATATTAAATATTAAAAGTCAAACAGACTTAATTAGGTTCATATAAAAGATAATTAAAAAAATTAATAATAATAATAAATAATATAAAAGAAATCTTTACAATCTACAAATATTATACAACATTACTATATATCCAAATGAATACAGCTCATAAAACAGACGATGAAAAAAAGGAATTCTTTGATTCACCTAAAGAATTAGAAGAAAAAGTAAATATTTTAGTTGATATGATAAAACGTTCTGAGCACTTTGTTGCTTTTACAGGTGCAGGTATTTCTACTTCTACTGGAATTCCAGATTTTAGAAGTGGTATCAATACAGTACTTCCAACTGGTCCAGGTGCATGGGAAAAATTAGCTTAAAAGACAGGCAGCTCTAAAAGTAATGTAAAAGTAAGCATGTCTAAGGCAATACCATCTCCTACTCATATGTCTCTTGTTGAATTACAGAGATAAGGATATCTTAAATTTTTGATAAGTTAGAATGTAGATGGTTTACACAGAAGAAGTGGATTTTCTACTTACCACTTAGCCGAATTGCATGGCAACACAAATCTAGAAAAATGCTAGAAGTGTGGCAAAGAATACATGAGAGATTTTAGAGTCAGAACAGCCCAATAAGTACATGATCATAAAACTGGTAGAAAGTGTGATAATTAATAATGTAACGGAGATCTATATGACTCTATTATAAATTTTGGTGAAAACCTCCCTGAAAAAGACTAAGATGATGGATTCGTTCATTCTTAGTTGGCTGATTTGCATTTAGTTTTAGGAAGCAGTTTAAGAGTAACTCCTGCAGCTGATATGCCTGAAACTACAGCAAAATTAGGAAAAAATTTAGTTATTGTTAATTTGTAAAAGACTCCTCTTGATTCTTTAGCTACTCTCAGAATAAATGCCATGTGTGATGATGTTATGAAAATGGTTATGAAAAAGCTTAAAATAGAAATCCCAGAATTTATCTTAGAAAGAAGGATAGTCCTTTAAAAGGGAGATAAAAACAGTTTACTTGTTTCTGCAGAAGATTCAAATGAAAGTCCTTATGAAATATATAAAAAAGTTACAATTGAATATGGAAAAGCAAACGAAGCTAAATAAAAAGCTCCTTTCAATTTCACCCCCAAGCAAAACCAATTCACAGTGAGTTTAGGTTTCTATGAACATTATGGAGAGTAAGAATTCAAATTAGATGTTGATATGATAGCTTTACCACTCAATAAAAAAGTGGTTTACTAAATATAATATTAAGTTAGTCTCTAAAAATGGATAAGCTGCAAACAAATATGAAATTCATAAAGCCATCATTCATATAATATAATAATTTGATAAACAATTCACTTCTATATTAAAATAAATACTTCTAAAAACTAAAATTATAAATTAAATATTGTAAATTTAATGAATATTTCATTTATTCATTGATAATTTGTATTAATTAATTAAAAAGGTTTGTTTCATTTAATAATTATGATTAATATAGATAGATAAATTCATATTAAAATAAACATAAATAGTTAAAAAAACAACAATTTCAAAAAATATATAAATCTTTTATTCTATCATTTATAATTCTAATAGATGATTTTATTTTGATTAAAAATATGTAAAAAAATTCCAATAAGTCTTTCAAAAGTTAATAGCAAGCATACTTGTAATTTTTCTATTTGTTTTGAAATTTAAATTTTTAAAATAAACAAAATAAAACAATAATACTTACCATAATTTTATTGACTTAAAATATAAAAAAGCAAACAAACCAAAATAAATTAACATAAAAAGATGATTTTCAACAAAATTTATTTAAGGGAGATATTTAGAAATAATATTTTGTTTGATTTTATCATCTTAGAAAAGTTAATTATTAATAGATGGATATAGGTATTAAAAATGCATTTTTTATATTTAGTAAAATCAATGTAAACTTTTTGTATAATTATTAGTAAAATCAAAATAAATTTTTTGTGTAATTTTTAATAAAATTTGTTTTTCTTTGAATTAGAATAATAAAGTAGTTTATTTTGACAAAGTATTTTTATTTATTAATATTTAGGATCTTTTTAAATATAAAATCAGCATCTTATTTAAGTTTTAATCAAAAACCATTTATTGAAGTAAAATATCAATTTTAAATTATTTTTGTATAAAATTAAAACTTAAATTAATAATTAAAAAAATTAGTTTGATATGATTTAATTATATTATAAATTTATTTAATTTAATTTGATTTGATTTTATGAAAATCGTTTTTATATTTTTGAGTAAAAAGTGAGCGAATATTGATTAATATGTATGTATTCAAATACTAATTTTTTTGATAAATATTTATTTCAATTACTTTTTCCTAATTAATCATGTGAGATGAGTAATGAAGCTGGAGATTTTTATCTTGAAAAGAATTTGAAGAAAATGTAGCCAATGCAGACACCTACGGCTATAAAAATTATTGAATGCATAATGTTAAATGATTTTTCAACTGGTAATGCATTTTTGTTAGGCTTTTTTTGTTAGTCTGGCTTAACTTATTGCTAGTTTTGTTGTTACTATTATTGTCCTTCGTTTTCCTTATCTTGAGAGCCTGACTTTAGAGACTTTACTTCTGCTTGTAATTTTTAGATTTCAGAGTGAAGAGATTATGCAACTTCTTTTTAATGCTTGAGATATTATTCGACTATATCAACTTTTTAAATTGTATAATCCAAGTTAACTTTGAGTTAATGGACTAGTGATTGGATTTAAGGCACTTGCTGAATTTAATGCTAAATGCTTCTAGTTTATTATAAAACTTGATTAATTTAGTTCATAATAGCTGAATCGTTAGCCTAATTATTCTAATTTTAATTTTAAGCTTATTCTTATTGATTACTCTAAGCATTAATTCTGTTTTATTCTTCTTGTAATTTTCTAATTCTTTCTTCTTCAATCTCTCTTAATTTTTGCTCAGCTTCTAACCTAATTCGTTCTTCTTATTATCTTCTTAATCTGTCTTCTTCTTCTTATCTTTGTAGTAACAAAAGCTATTCTCTGTGCTATCTTTCAATTGCTTCTTCATGTTGTCTAATCAATTCTTCCTATTCTTTTAACTTTTATTCTTCTTCATTTAATTATTGAGCTTTTGCTTAATCATCATTTGCTTCCTATGGGTTTTCCTAAACTGGCTTAGGAGCATGTGTTTCAATAAAATCTCTAAAATCTTCAAATTTTCTCCATCCTTAATACTAATGAGTTGGTCTCTTATTTCCTGCTTTATAGAGTAAAACAGTGGGATATTGTCTAACATCATTAGCAATACAAAGTCTTTAATGATCATCGCAATTTATTTTAGCTATTTTCACATCTTTACGAGTTTCTTAGGTTTCCTCATAATGGCTAAACAGCTATTTATTTTGTTAGTTAGATTAATTAGCTTCGAATTAAAAATTAACTCCTCAATTCCAAAAAATAATCAAAATTGATTAAAATGAGAAAAATGAGAAAAAATCCCTCTCAAAAAGAAAAAAATAATATTTAGCATTTACTTTGTTCCATTCACCAGCCATTTATTAACAATAACCGCACCAAGGAGTAAAGAATTCTACAAAATAATGATTATCTTTTCCAACAAGTTAATCAAATAACTATTTATATTAAAAAATATGATTAAACCTTTTAACATTACCATAGATGAAACAATTGATAAATATTTACTTCAGGATTCAATGAAGTAGCCTTAACATCATGAAACCATTATCTACCTGATACAGATACTATTGCTAATACTAAACAAAATACTATTATTTTATTCATATTCCTATTTGTAAATATATTTAATTTTTAAAGTTTTTTTAGAAAGTTTAATTAAAATAGTATGAATATGTTTATATGCATTTATTTATTTACTTATCAATATAATTATATATGTATCTTTAAACATCTCAAAATAATTTAATAAATATATAAACAAATACTTATATCTCTCCAAATGTTTGAAAATTGAAGATATCAATCAATCTTAACAAATTCCGTCAAATTTCAAACGAAAAATCACAACTAACTTCTAAAAGACAGACAAATACATATTAGTAAATAAATAAATAATTAAAATTAATACAAAATAAATTGAAAACTTTTAAATATATTAATTAAATATTTGATGAAACATCAAAGAATTTATAATAAACAAAGTTGTTAAATATTAATTATACCTTTTTTAAAAATAATCAATTTGCGTTTTAAAAATTTAACATTCTCAAATACTTTTTGCAAATTTTTTTTTTGCTTCTAAAGTATAATCTCAATTTAATATTTATTTATTATAATTTATTTTATACCATAATAGATATATTTATTCAATATAAATTATTTATTGATAATTTTTTTTGTAAATTTTCCTTTCTTAAACAGGGATAAGATGGGGTAGGGGTTGGTTTTAATAAATGATGATTATAGTATATAAAAAACGTATTTAAACAAAATTCAGTCAGTATACTAATTAGCTTTGAAATATCTTTTATCAAATAAAATTAAGCAGGATATAAGGCCTTATATTATCAAAAAATGATTTCAATATAATTAATTTGTTAAATATATTTAATTAATGAATACCAAAGAAAATTGGCTTAAAATATTTAAAAACTTAAACCATCATTAGCCATATATTTTAAATAAATAATTTAGTAAATATTTTAAAGAAATATAATATACACACATACAAACATTTTTTTTCCAGATATGAATCTAAAGTATATTATTTGATTTATTATGCAAATAGTTCAAAATTATTTAAAAAAAATATAAAGAGGTGAAATTATTTTAACAAATTTAATAAAAATAAAAATGGCATTAAAGTAATATTAAAAAGAGCATTGAAAAAATTAATAGATATTTATTTGATAGAGAGATATATAAATAAGAAGGATAAAGGAATACTTACATAGATAGATTTTATTTATTTATTTATTTAATTTGTTATCTAAATTATAGTTTGAGATAATTTAACATGGTTTAATGTTTGTTTTTTAATATGAATAAATTAAAATTGTATGAGATCTTTATCTTAATTTAGTATGTTTTATATTTTTTATTTATAAGGTGGATAAGGTGGATTATGGTTATTAGTTTATTTTATATATTTATTTATTTATATATATAATTATATTTATTATTCTATGTTCGATTGTTAGAATATTTGTTTATGTGTATGTGTGTTTGGTTTTTTTACAGATGTTTCTAATGATTTATGTTTAAAAAGATTTATTTTAAAATAGATAATTGAAGATCAACTAGTTAGAACCTGTACTTGCTTGCTTACTTACTTATTTATTTATTTGGCTAATGATTTGTTTACTGGTGGGATAGATACCTTCTTTTGTAAAGAGATTAAATCAAGTTATTCATACTAGTTTGAGTTTTAAAAGAATATTTTGTTTGTTTGTTTGTTTTAGGGTAGAAGAGCTATCAATAAAATGCTAGTCCTTCTCTATGTTTGTTTTTAGTAATATTTTTATCAATGTTAAATTATCTTCATATTTATTTAGATGGTTTTAATATTTGCTGATAATTTTGAATGTCTTCTTGAAGTGTCAGTTAGTTTCGATTGCTTGTTCTTTCATTCTTTGATGTTGATTTCTACTCTTGGGTTTGCACTGGAATTAACATTTTTACTGTTGCTGAATTTGCTTTGTGGGTTAATTAATCTATTTATTGTTGGTACGCAGAGCTTTGAGAGAGCCTCAATGCCGCTTGTGAATGAGCAATAAGATTGGTTAATTTATTAGTTTTTATTGGAGTTTTCTTTGCATCTAAGCAGATTGATTTCATTTATCAAGGCTTCTTGATTTTCTTGCATTTTTTTAAAATCTTCAGAATTTTAAATGTCACAAGAAAAGCTTCTTTGGGTTTGGCTGTTCAAATTGCTTCTTTAGAATGAAAAAACGAATCTCTTTTTAAAAGATTTGAATGCATTTTTGATGAATGACATGCTGCTTTCGTTAGAAGCAGTTTTACTATTGCTTTTTCTTTTGCTTTTTGAGTCGTTGTTATTTGAAACGAAATCAGAGACAGAATAATTTTCAGATTCTTCATCGTTCCAGTATAAGTTTTGTTTGGATTTAGAATTTCTATTACGACTGTTTGAGAAACTTTAGTTTTTAGGACTCAAAGAAGAAGATAAGGAAGAAGATGAAGAAGAAGATGTTGTCATATTTTAATTGTCTAGTTGCTACTGTGATGAATCTTCTAACAAATTTTAAGTGCTTGATTAATTTGATTTTTTTTTCCAGTTAGTAGAACGGTTTTTTAATGAGTCAAATTATGGCAATTTGCAAATACTTTAATTTTTAGTTTGCTCTTTACTAACTTTATTTTATTCATTTTTATTAACAAGATTATTTGAACTTGAGTCAGTATCTGCGTGATTTGAAAAGCAGTCTTCCTTACTAAATATCATAGTAAATTTTTTCTTTCTTTTTCTCTAGAATTATTCTTCATTGTATTATTCATCATTTTCTTCTTCTTATTCTTCATGATTTTCCAATTCGGTGAATTAGTGGCCATTTAACGTTTATTGATTATTTAGTAAGCTCTGGTAATCAAATTAGTTGCAAAGTTAGATGCAAATGCTACTAACAGCTCTAGGACGCTCATTGCTAAATTTAGTTAAATTTTTATTCTTTTTGGAGTTATTTACAATGAGTCTGTCTATGTTTTGGCTTAATTATTTTCTACATAAATTTGCATTAGCAGGAGTAGTGCTTACCCCTTCATTTCTTTCTTCTTCAATTTCAATAAAGGGTTGGATTTATTAAATATCGATAATGGGAATTTTAACAGGTGAGGCACATTCATTAGTCATAGAAGAAAAGCTGCTGCTTACTCTAGCTCTTGTGATAAAAGGATGCTTTAAAGCCTGTTTTATTAATTAAATAAGTGATTAAATTATAAAATCGATAGTAATAGAGTGTTTTTAGCAACTATAATCACATTTTTTGTACTATCTCTAATGAAATTAGACTCAAATTATTTAAATTTGTCTAGATTTATGCAATTTAGTATGGCCAAATTTATTTTTGTTTAATAAATAAATTAAAATATTAATTAATTAAATAAATACCTCTTCTGGTTTTATTCTTTATGTTGAATCAACAGTCAAGCACTTTGAAATCAAATCCTTCGCCTCAGAGGAGATGTCTTACCAAACTGGGTCATCAAAGTTGTACTTTCCTTAGCAAATTAACTTGACAAGGTCATGAACACTAATTAAATTTAAAAAGAAATATTTAGCAAAATATTTAAATGAAAAGTGAAAATGCGCAATAAATTGGCTATTAAGTCTTGAAAATTATAATAAATGGTTATCTATTAATTGATAATAAGTATCAATCAATAAATATTAAAGAGTAATTAAAAGCTAAATATTTGTGAGATTGATATATAATTTTGTTATAAATGTATAATCACCTAAAATAACAATTAAAATGCTTGTTAATTAAAATAAATTAAAATATAACCAATTATTTATGTAAGATTGGTTCTATAATTGCTTTGTACTTAATTGAAATAAAATAATCTTGCAAGCATCATTTATGAGTTTAAATGATGATTAAGTAATTTGTGCTTTGATTATTGTAGAGTGAGAGAAAAAGAAATAAATGGTTTAGTTGATAAAATTATGTCATTTCTGATAAGCTATAGTATATTTTCTTTTATTAAAGGAAGAAAAGCAATGATTGATTGATTTATTAATTAATAATGTTATACGATCATACTTTTGACAATTATAATTAAATACTTTGCCTTTTTCAATTTTGTAAAAGAATAAATATTAATTGGAATTATTTCTTATCAAATCCTAATCTCAGATTTTTTTTATTAAACAAAAAAAAGTAAACAAAGTCTGTTTTTTTTTCTTTTTCTATTTTCGTTTTCTTATTTGGAAATTATTAAGAATTTGACTTACACTCTTATTTTTTTTGGATATTAAGCCTTATTAAAAAAAATTCAAATTGAATTTATCATTTGATTGGTTAAGTAATAAACGATTTAATAATTCCCAGATAGATAGATATATGTTAAGCAAATAATACATCAGAAATGTAATTTTTTTTTTTTTTTATACGCATTGAAATTGTAAAAAATATTATTCTAAAATCAATAGAAAAGGAAAAAAAATAATATTATTAGAGATAAAATTGAAGTTGCTTTTAAAATGGAAGATTTAGCTGTTTTTTTCCAACATTCTTTTATTTTTATTCTCAAAATGATAAAAAATTCTGAAATTATTTTAATGTTTTTTGTTGTGTTACATAGCAATTTATTGTAAATTGTTGTGGATTGCGATTTAAATTAGTTTTAATGTAGATTAAAATAAATTTTAAAGTAGTTAATTACTATTCTGCTTAGAAAGGTTCTCTACCGGAGAGCATAGTAAATAAGATACAGCCAGCACTCCACATGTCAATTGTTTCGTCATAGCAAATTTCTTCATTGAATACTTCGGGAGCAGAAAAAGCCATTGTGCCAGTATAGGTACACATCTTGATGCTCTAGTGAATGATGCTTTCTCCTCCTTGATAGTTCTTGTAGTGATCACTGAATTTGGAAACATTAAAATCAGTAATTTTAACTTCAGTGCCATCTAAATATAAAAGAAAAATGATTAATATTTATTTATTAATAAGAGAAAATTCTTCAACTAAAAAGTGGCAATCAAAATTAATCTTAAGACAAAAGAGGATTTTGTAAAAATAGTCAAAATTAAATAAATCATTTAGATGTGAAAAATCAAAAAAATGATAAAGAAATTTTTATAAAAATCTAGATTTAAGACTATTAAAAATAATCTATATATATATTAAAATATGAATGTAGTCATCTAAATTTATTAAATTAATCTTCAAATCATAGTAAGTAAGTAGTATTTATTTATAATTTAGATATATTTATCGGAAAAAATTGGAACGATCAAAGTGAGAAGAAATAATAAAGAAAAATTGGTTTCGTTCAATTAAAATGTAAGATAAAGTTAGTAAGTTTTTTTGCAACCACTGAAATCTATTGCTATTTAATTGTTAGCATTACTTTTATAGCTGAAAGTTTTTATATTTGTTTTTGTTAATTAATTGGTATTCATCGGAGATTAATTTGATGATTGTGGAAAAGCAATGGTAAATTGTTTTTAGATATTATTTATTCTTATTAAGATTTTACATCAAAAAAGGAGATTGAAATGTAATTTAAAATTATCTTTGCAAAAATTGGAACAAAAATTTTTTTTCCCCCTTTTTTTGCTAATAAACAAAATTGTATTTTGAATTAGAAAGATTTTTTTTTGGTGGTGAATAGTAAGAATATTTTAATTGAAATGAAAGCACAATTAATTAAATAAAAATTACATTAATTAAATTGAATTGAAATTTATGTTAAACTGGGTTGGATTATTTTAAATTTTTATGTTGAAATTGGTTTTTGAAATAATCATTCATTAAGTTGAAGAATATCTTTGCATATTTTTATATTTAAATATATGATGCCATTTCCAAAACAAAGAAACAAACAAATTAATAAAAGAAATTAGAAATTTAATAATCTACCACTGTTGCAGAGGATGTTGTTGGGTTTCAAGTCGCGGTGACAGCAATAGTTTTAGTGCATGTAAGCAATAGCATCGAGGATTTGAGAAAATATTTTACTGGCAACTAGTTCTATTTATTATAAAAATATTTTATGGTTAAAAAAATATTTACATTATTAAAAAATAAATGAATAAATCTTTTAAAAATTTAAAAGAGAAATTAATTAGTGTGTTTGCGGAGAGTTGATTAAATATTTAATGGAAGATTTTGAGTAAATTCAGATAAGTATAAATTAATTAACAAAGACAAGGATGAAATTTAATTATGGCAAAGTAATAATTATGTTTGTGGTAAAAATAAATGATTTGCGCTACTATTTTTTAATCTTAAATTTTATTGCTTTTTTTTGCTTTTTTGCTTATTCAGTTTAATAATTAATATATCTGTTGGCTGGCTATTATCAATAAAAGGAGATTTGAAGAAAAATTTATATTTTTTTACAGTTTTAACTTATTGTTTATTCGTAGAATAACCCAATTTAATTTAAAAGTTAAACCAATTTTTCTTCAAATGAGCGAAGTCTTAAGTAAAATTGTAAACGTGTTTAGATAGATTTATCTATTTCTTTTAGAATCTTAGAGAGTAATCTAAATTGCTCAAATTGCGTCTTCAAATTGCTTATATTTATTCGATATTTTTCTCAAAGATGAAATTTGCTTCCCTTTTTTTTCTCTATCCTGTTAAAAAGTTTGAAATAATTTTAACTTAAGCTGCTTGACCTAGCCTTTTTCGCTTAACATCAAATATATCTTGTATTTTTAAAGTATCTTTATATCTTTGTCTATTTTTTTTCTACTTGATGTAATTAGCAGATTGGCCAACGTTATTCTTTTCTATAATTTTACTTTTTAAATTAGGCTCATTTTTGCAAACCCTTAATCTAGCTCATTTACATTTTCAAATTTTTTGCTTGCTTGAAAGCAAAATTCAATTTTTTTATCTTCATTTTTCTTCCGAATTAGTTTTAAAATATAATTTTTACCTGAATAATGGCCAAGCTCGTGAATGACTTCGAACATTTCCTTTCCATTTATGAGTTCCATAACTGAGTGAATTTTACCGCTGAGGTTGTCAATGTAGAGCTCATAGACTTTAACTATGTTGGGATGATTCAATTACTTTAAATGTAAGAACTCTTACTTAATCTTTGATTAAAAAAAACTGAGTTAATCATTGTAAAATTACTATCAAAAAAGCAAGTAAGCAAACACACAAGCAAGGATGAGAAAATATTAAATATAATTTTCAGGTAAATTCAAGTTGATTTAGAAATTGATTAAATTTATTTTTTAGTGATTTTCAAATGAAATTACATATTAATTATTAATGTATGTTTATATGCATGTATGCATGCATGTCCTCGAATAAGGAAATTTAAGAAAATTTGGAATAGTACAATAAATTATATTAATAATGAATGGTAAGATTATTTCTTTATCCATTCATTCATGCATGAAAGAAATAATACTTTAATAAATGAGCAGAAGAATTCTGCATTTATAATTAAAATAGAAAGAAGATTGATTGATTAACCTAAAAGTTAATCAAGGCTTGTTTAAAATACCAATTTCAAATTTATTCTATTTGCTTCCTCTTTCTTTTCTCATACATAATACATCTTACTCCTCTCTTGTTTTGTTTCACTCATTAATAAAATTTAATTTTACATTTTCAATGGTTTCCTCATCACGAGTTCTCACTGTCTTCACTGCGAACACTTATCCATCTGATTTACGGACTGCCTTCTTCACAAGTCCTACACAACCTTCTCCGAGAATTTCTATAATTTATAATTAGTATTATCATAAAAGTGTAAATTAAATTTCTTATATGGTCAAAATTAGACCATTATTAAAAAGTAAAAATTCGTCATGAAACAAATTTCCGACATAGATAAAATTGATTAATGATGTTAAATGGAGCTATTTGCAATGTCATTTTATAGATAATATTGATATAAGTGAGGATCCATTTATCAATTTGTTTTCGTGCAGAACAAAAAAATTAAGATAAATTTAGCATATTATTAAGTATGTGAGTAAGTTAATCAATTAAATTAAATTTAAAAAATGAATAAATGTTTGAATAGTATTAAATACCTTTGAGCTCATAGAAGTCGTTGAAGTTTCCAGAAATTTTAAATATTCCTTGTTCTCTGTCCCTCTCTATCTGGTCTTGGTCTTCAAATGACTGAAGTCTGATGAAGACTTACTTCCTTGGGTGAGTTTCTGTTTGGAAATGATTTGGTTTTGAGTGAGCAGGAGCAGCAAGTTGAGTAGAAGTCTCACAAGTGTTAAAGTCAGAAGAAAGGACCATAGAGGTTGAAATGATGTTCATAGAATTTGACTGTTCAGGCAATTGTAGTTGCTAATTTTGCTATAGAGTATCAACTAGATTTTCCATGCTGCAAGCTACGCTGTTATTCTTGCTATTACTAAAGAGACTGTCTATTGAAATTTAATTTAAAAATATTATTAGATAGTGAAATAAATATATAAGCTTGTTATTTATTTATAAAATGCGTCATAAATCAATTCAAAATAGCAAAACATCAATTTCATCAGACAAACCAGTTCTTATTCAATACAACAGATAGATAATTAGATAAATAGGGCTAAAAGTAATATATACTTCTACCTATTACTCTTTGCCTTAAAATTAATTATCCCTTTATAAAAATCTCGTAAATCTTTAATAGTGCTTTGTTTTAGCTTTTTTCTAAACAAATTCGCTTTTTTAGTTTGCATTTTTAATCCAGCAAATAAAGAAATGATCTTTCATTTATTTTGAGAAAATGCCTTTCAAGTATTTTTTAATTGCGAAAACAAAACTAAAGCAATTTTAATTAGATTTCTCACAAAATTTAAATCCAAATTAAATAAATTATTATTAATAAATTAATCAATGATTGAATGATCCATTCTTCCATATATCAAATAGTAAGTTTTTACAATAAATCATAGCAAAGAGCATGTATTGCTCGATGCTTTTCTAAGCAAATCCATTCATTTGTTTATTATTACACATTTCGCAGTTGCTGAAAAGCAATTAAATCAGCTGAAGATAAAAAGACTAATTTTAAATTTCACAAGACAATCAATCACATTATTAATTTAGTTAATTAGTAGAAATTTCATAACATATAATAATCACTCTATATTGATAAATGCTTTTTTTATAAAAATTTCTCAGTTACATTAAAAATTATATCCAACATCAATTAACTGACCAAATAATCAAACAGTATTTTACTATCGAATCATCATTAACAAACGAAAAAAATCAAAATTTAATTAGTTCGAGGTAGAAAATGGTAACCAATCTGCCAAAATGTTTATTAATTTATAGGTAAGAATGTAAAGGAAGGTTCCTATCAAGCAAGCAAGAAAATAAACAAACAAAAAAACAAATTGATTAATTAGATGAATTGATTTTTTGATTGATTGATTTATTAATATTTTTGTTAGTGTAAAAATTAAATTTAATTAAAAAAAAGGAATGGAATGGACTATTACTTTTAATTCTGTTTCTCATCTATTCTCTATTTTTCTTTTAAAAAGACTTGTTGCGCTTTTTATTTTCTAGCCTTGGCTCTACAATGAGAGAGGGCTGGATGTCTTCTTCAGAGTTAACTTTTTATGGGGTGATTTCAACGCTGTTGTCTGTTTAGCTAAATATGATAGAGCTGTTGTTCGGCTCCTAGCCTCCGCCTTCGGTTTCCATATTTTTTGTTTTGTATATTTGTTTGTTCTTTTGAGTGCGCTTGTTTCTTCTTGTATTTAATAACTCAATTTTATTTATTAAATCTTTTACAATCTAGGCTGAGAGTCTCTCTACCTCAGGTAAACTTATAGGATTATTAAATTTAATTGTTTGTATTAAGAAAAAATTATGATTTTTTGATATATCTTGATTTCTATTTATTCAAATTATTAATGTAATAGTAGATGAATTTTTTTCTTGCTTTTTTTATCAATTAATTTATTAATTATTATTTCATTTGCTTTCTTTATGTATTTATTAATGAATTAATGATTGATTGAACAGTGCCAATCTTAAATTTTTTCTTTGATCGCTTTTCTCCCCTTAATTATTTTTGATATTCAATCAATTAATTTTTTTTGATCGTATTCTAAGAAAAATAAATAAATTAAATAACAAGACAAAAAAAGGATATAAATAAATGTATTTATTTCTTTTGTATAATTAAAAATATTATGTACTAAAGTAATAATAAGTTCTATTAGCAAAGCATTTACATTTTACTAGGGGCTACAAAATAAATCATAAATAAAATACATAAGTTATCACTGAAAACATAACCAATATTTTAATTAAGAAAACCAATAACAAATTAAGCAAAACCTTCTAGCTATTAAACTGTCTATATATCAATTTTTCTTTGCCTCTAGCTCTATCATTTTTTCTATTTTTATTTTTATATTATTGCTTATCTTTTCTTGCTTCTTCTTTTTCAAAATATACGAGAAAAGGGAATTTACTCCAAATGCAACACTGTAAATGAAAAAGTTGTTTATATTGATATCACATATAGCAAATTTTGTTGTGAGAATCACTCTTTTAGTGATAATCTAGCAGGTTGAATTAAATTTCCATTTTAATATTTAAACTTAAAAATGAATGTATAAAAGAATGAGTGAAATATTGTAACAAAAAATCACCCGTCTTATTTAATAATATCTTAGGGGTCGCTCTAATTGATTGATATTTAATTAAATAATTTGTTTTACTATAGAGATTCGAATTGAGTAATTGTCATTTATTAAATCTACGAATGTAGAAATATTCGAGGAGAATTACGATATATTACTGATTTTTTCACTTTGTAAAATTAATTAGTATTTCTTCGAGCTTATTTATTGGTTGAAGGGTCAAACAAAATAACAAGCAAACAATCAAAAAAATAAATAAATAAACAATATCTAAATTTATACCTTTTTATCTTTCAGCCTATCAGTTTTAAATATATAATAAATACTCTCTTTCTTCTTTTCTCGCAAATAAACAAATTTTATTTAAAAAGGAAAGCAGTCAGTCCCCCCTATTTATTAAGCATTTAATCAACATTAATCAATATATAATTGTTATTGCCTTCTACTTTATCAAACGTCCCCTTCAATTAATTCTTATATTAATTGTTGAGGAGGGGCTTAATAATTTGCTTTTAATTTTTAAAAATAATTAGGTTTATTAATTAGCTTAAACCCCCCTCTAATTATAATGTAACCCCTCCAAAAAGAAAAAAAAATTTGAGATTCTCATTCTATTTCTCGCTTTTTAGAAACAAATATCTTTTTCGATGTAAGATTATTTTAATTACTTGGATATTTATATCAATTTAACTAGAAATCCTAATGTCAATTATATACAATAAATTTATGTTACGCTGTATTTTATGAAATATTTACTTATGGCTATCAAGCACTAATTTTAATGGCTTAAATTTAAATTGTATTTTTAATTTATTTGTCAGCTTGCTTTTGTTGCTCGCAAATATATTAAAAATCAACCAAATAAATAAATTTTCGTTCAAAATACTTGGTTAAAAAAGAGACTAATTGATTCTTCTTTAATTGCTATTTACATGCGGACTATTCAAAATAGCAAAAAATATAAATCAGTTTTTAATCTAAATCTTCTCCTTTAATAACAAAATCAAGCCAAATTTAATTCCTCAGATACAAATTTATCAAACCGTTAAATAAATCCTATTTCTAAATTCATCCAATTTTAAACCTCAATTATTCTAATGAACTTAATTCTTTATTGCAACAAGCAAGCAAATAACACTTGGTATTTCAAAAAATCAAATTTAAATTTCAAAACAAAATGCAAAATTGATTATAAAATGCAATTTTTATACACAATAAATACCATTTAAATTAAAATGGAATAATTAACATCTAAACTAAAATAGCCAAATAATCACTTTGAAAAATGAAATTAACTAAAAATCATCTCAAATCTAAGTAAAATCTTTTAAAATTCTAATAAATGAACATACTTAGCAAATACTCAAATAAATAGCAACTAATTCGCTAATCTAATCTAATTTTAAAAGAGAAGAAAAATTATATCCGAACAAAAAAAACCCTGATGTCTAAGTAAGTGCTTTAAAGGATTAGTTTAAAAATTAGAAATATTAAATGAAGCACCCAAACATATAAATTCTGATGATTTCTTAAAATAATACAGTCTATAATTATTCTTCTTTTGTAATGATTAGCATCTTGCCTTTATATGCGAAAGATATAATCGACATACATATAGAATTTTCTTAGCGAAACAGTGCTTTCTATTTTATTTTTAATTCTTACCAATTCTGAATCTTTCAAACACTATGCATTTTGCACATTTCTCGATAAATTTCTTTCTTCTTTGCAGACATTTACACTCATAACCAATAAGTTTCTCCTTGAGTCTTTTGTATTTTTGGGTATCCACATTTAGACCCACTATCAAATTTGTATTCCAAATCATAACATTTTTTCATAGTCAGGATCATTTTAAAATAATTCAGTACTGCTATCTATTTTGATTCCCAAAAATCACACATATACAAACAAACAAAAAAACACATACATTCACTTGCAAACAAATTATTCTATTAAAAATGATAAACAAAAGAGTTAAGTAATTAATTTACATCATTATTTTGTGCCCTAAATTTGCTTTTAAAAAATTCCTTCAAATATCACGTCACACTCACTTGCTTGAATCTCAAAAATACAAAATTTATTAAATAGGATTATTTTTTCTTCTACTATATTATCTTGAAATGGAAAACTCTAATTATTCATTCTATTTTCTTACAATTATTTAATAATATCATTATCTTTTGTAACGTTTCAAAGTAACTTAGTTAGCTCATCTATCAGTCATGTCGTTGTTATCCTTCCTTACTCGAGCAGGTAATAGAACTAATTAAAAACATAATTATTTTTAAACTTTATATTAAATTTGAGAGAAAAAATAAGAAGAACCACTAGTAGTATTCAATAAGCAAGATAGATAATCTAATCGCTACTTTTAAAGAAAATAACTAAATCCTAAATTAATAAATAATTTCAAATAATCATTTTGAACAAATTTGCATAAAAATCATACATGCTAAACAAACTGACTTAAATAAAAAACTATTTATATAATGAACTAATATTCTATGATAATAACGTTAGTTGAAGAATTTATTGTAAATTGGTTATTTTAAGCATATTTTATTCAGTAATTTACCTTTTTTTTCTTACTCCATAATCAAGGAGAACTAAAAAATTCAAATTTGTTCCAAATTAAAACTTGTTATCTTCACGCCTTTTAAGCAATAATTAAAAAAGTAAAGAACCAAAAAAATTAAAAGCAATTAATAGTAAGTATTTAGCAAATAAATTATTGGTTTTCTTGTCTTTTAACAAAATATTTTAAATTTCTACTTATAAATAAGAAAATCGTCTAAATGTACTTAGTTAGAAGAGAAGTATTAACCTAGAAATAATTTAATCTCCTCAAATTGAGCGAATAACTCATCAAAATACAAGATAGCTAGAATAATTATTTTGGTATTATTTCATTTATATTTACCAAGAAGTATTATTAAGATATTTAATTTTTTGTCAACCAGCAAGCAAGCAAGATATCAAAAAATTAATAAGAAAGAAGCGAGTTTTTTGATACAAATACCCAAAAATACTTTTTTTGATGTTCTATTTTTAATTTTAATGAAAGTAATGCAATTTCTGAAGCCTTTTCAGATGATCTAATTTTAGCTATAAAAATCTCTCAAATAATAATTTCGTCTATAACTTCAAGTAAATTTATTGTAAATTTAAAATATTTATAAAATCTAATAATTTAGTAGAACAGTTCTCATACAAACTTATCCTTTGTTAATTTAAAGAAATCTCAAATAATTAATTTAACATATTCATTCAGTCATCATCTAATTTAAAAATTATAGATGACTCAATAATTTTGTCTGAATAATCTATCAAATTATGAAACTTTAAAAAAGCCACGCATGTTTAAAATTTCATAATCAACTCAATTATTTATTATTAAGTCAATTTTAACTAAAAATAATTTTAATCATTTAAAATAAAATAAAATAAATTAAATCTGGAATCAAATAAAATTTTCTAAAACATTTGCATTTAATGCTTTATCTAAAAAAGGATATTTTCTATTAAAATCTTAACTTTGCTTTTTAAATATAATTTTAAAAATAGTTCATTTGATTTAATTAATAAAATTCTTACTTAAAATATATATGTTTGTTTAGTTTGGTTCTTTTCTTCAGTAATTCTACTTGTTAAATTAATTATGTCAGAAATATAAATAAATATATATAAATAGATAGATAGATATATAGCTCTAATTATCAAAATTAATGTTTATCATTTTAGCCAAACATTTTTAGTAAAAATTTTTGTTTAAACTCTACTTTAAAGCTGAAAAAAAGTTAAATAGGATTATTTTTTAAATGAATTTATGTTAAATATTAATTAACATTAGAACATTAAAAACTGTAAGTTTGTAAATAAGTATTTTAAGTAATCAAAATATTTAAGAAATTTTCTTACTGGTGCAATAAATCATCTATAATTTTTAATCTAATTATATAAATCAAAAAAATTTAGTTTAAATTTTGTCTAAACGTGCTTCGAAAATTGGATTAAAACTGAAGTATTTAAGTTTAAATTTTCAAAAAAATTAAAAATTTTAATAAAAATGAAATATATATTATTTGTTTTTAAATCTTTTTGTTTTTCAAAACTTCTCAGTTTTCAAATGAATAAAATATTTGTTTGTTTGTTCTTTACTTTCAAATTAATTTTAACAAATTTCTATTAAAATTATTTTCTGCAATTTACTTATTTATTTATTGCATTTGCAAAATAAAGATAAAAATATCTCCCATATGTAAACATACATTTACTAAGGATTTTAGTAAATAAATTAGAAAAAACATAGAAAATATTACAATTCACTCTATTTTTAGTCTTACACATTTTGTAATACTGACTGCTTTAGTTGTAAAATTTAATTTATATATTTAGATTATCACATTAATGTTACTAAGAAACTATCTAAAGAACTAAAATTATTTCAACTGCGCACTAAAATTTGAGTATATTTGAGCAAGAAAAATAAAATTATCTTTTTGATTATGCTTAGCTTTTAAATGTGAATAAATTTTTCTAAGTAAATAAGTAAGTAAGAATGCATGTATCTACATAGATACTTAACTGACTACCCTTTACTTAATATTAAATGACTAAGTTATTTACTATGGCTATCAGTATTTCTCTGAATAATTTATAAATTTATCGACCTACACACTTTATAGGTAGTATTAAAGTAAATTAAATACCAAAATAGAATGTAAGCTATGTAATATTTTCCATTTAATTATTATTTTTATTGATTTAATAAAATATACAAATGTTCTACTTTTCTCACTTCTCGCTTCATTTTAAATATAATTCAAAATAGTTTCGTTTTATTTAATATGCTAATATTTGATCCATAAATTTTATTAAATTTGTTTAAAAATATGAACTAATAGATAGATACCAAACACATTTACTTATTCATTTACATTTTTATGGTGTAGAAATTAAAAATTTAAAAATGTTTACATATTTTTTCTATACTATTTATATCAAGTAAAATAAATACTGGTTTAATAAATAAATAAAGAAAATAATAAATTGGATCAAAAATTAATCAAATAAATTTACTAATCGAAAAAAATAATTAAGTAACTTGAATTCATTATTTTTAGAACAAAATTAAAAGTTAAAATTAAATTAATTAATAAAGTTAATAAATAAAAAAAAAGTAATTCTTGAAGTTATGTGTTATTTGTATAATTAAGATTGTTTACATTTCTTTAAAAATTTACAAAATAATTCTATTTTCTTAACAAACAATAAAAAATAATCTAGATAAAATTATAATTTTTGAGAAAACTAATTTATAAACACAAATTATTATTATACAATTAATTATTAAAGTTCTATTGAAATGTTTTAAGTCTAAAGATATTGATTAATTATACTATTTTTATAAATTACTCTAAATCTTCATTTATTTATTACATACTCGAATTTTCCCATAGATAGATATTTGAACTAATACAATCATAGAGCTATATATAAAATTTTCTTACCTCAATACATGATGATGGGTAGTTCAGAATACTTCAGAACTTAGACCTTAAATCTCAAATCTTCAAATTTTTAGATGTTAAATTCCAACTCTCTAAAATATTTACAAATATATAGCAAAAAAATAAATGAAGGTAAGGAATAAATAAATTAATAAATAATATTTTTAGTATATTTATTTCAGACATACAATTTTCTTCTTTACAAAATTTATTAATTTTTGAATTTGGCTTCTTATTATTTTTGAATATTCTTGTTTATTTAATATTCTAAAAATACTTTTCAATAATATTTCATATTTATAAATAATACAATTTGTGCAAATTATAAGTGAATTTTGTTTACAAATATTAATTTATTTATTTATGCTTACTTTTAGTATTTATTTTGTTTAATTAAGCAAAAGGATTTATTTTCAAAATATTTTAAATTTAAATTATTTTAAATCTTTATGATTGATTTTAATTGATATATAATATTAACTTATTTAATAATTTTATAAATAATATTGAAACAAACCGAAAAACAAACTTATTTATAAATCTACAAAAAAAATGCATTTGGTGATATTACAAAATTAGGAAAAGCAAGCTTTATTTAAATAATAATAAATCAAACAAAATTAATTTAAATCCTTTTATAATTCAGTATCATTTATTTATCATCAAACGGTTTTTAAAAAAGATCTCATCTATTTATTATCTCAACATAGTAAAAATTATGAAATAAATTAATATTAAAAAAAATTCGATTGCTTTTGCTTTTAAGGATAAACATAAAATTTTAGATTTAAGCAATATAAATAAAAATAGTTTATATAAAAATGGAATGGTTTAGCTAATTATGCTAATTACTCAACATTTTCTTTGTAAATTTTTTAATCTAAATTTTTCTATCAAAAATTTTATTGGTATTAAAAATGAATGAATTTCTTAATATTTTAATTTGATTAAATTCAACAAACGATATAATAAAATAAATAACTTCAAAAACAAACTAGGAGATGTAATTAATTATTGTTAAATACATATTATAAGCATTAAAATATTTTTTATATTAATCTCTGGAATCTCAAACTCATCTCAATATTTTTCAAAAGTAAATTAGATTTTATTACAGTGAAAGATATTGTCTTTAATTATAAAATTATTATTCCAATTATCTTGATTTTTCTGTTAAAATTACTCATTTTTTTATTTTTTCATGCTTATCTTTTTATATTTTATTCTTCTTTCATTTATAAATAATAATAAATAACTCTTTGTAATTTTTCTTTGTTTTTTCCTTCTTAATAAAAATATTTTGTTCAATATATAAAAAGTTAAAGTTAAATGAATGAATGATAATAGTGCATTTTATTTAAGCTCTTCTTTACAAAATATATTATTATCTCAAATTTGATTCTCTAAATTAAGTAAAAATAGATATTTTCTTTTCGATTCTGATAATTTTTTTAAATTTAAATTTCATTTAAAAAATAATATTATTTATTTATCAGCTTTCTTTTATTTATTTACTCAGTATTTATCTTAACGACAAAATTTAAAAAAATTATTTATTTGTCATATTTTTTTTTGTAAAAAGTAAATAATTTAGTTAATAAAGAATGTTTTAATTATCTAAGGAGAAGTAATTAATAATAATTAAATAAGCATGTAGATATTAAAAAAATGCACCGACCGGGAATCGAACCCGGGTCAAAGCGATGGCAACGCTCTATTCTACCACTAAACCATCGGTGCTTTCGGTGAATTACTAAATGACAACCATAGACTTTTACTAAATCCATATTAAATTATAATTATTTAAATTTTTTTGCTAAAATATCAAAGAAATTCATTTTATAAGACGTAACTAATAATTTTTACTTACTTAAGAATATAAAAAAGTGATTTAATATAAAATAATAAATTTTAATTAAATTATTTAGAATTTATTAATAAAAAAGCTTTTTATTTCTTTTTTCTTCACAATTTTTTAAAATTTTTCTAAAAAATAAATCTAAATAATTAAACAAACAAATAAGTATACCACTCAATAAAATTAAATTTTTTATAAAAATTAATATTTTGAATAAGAATTGAAATTTTTTAATTTAATTGAAGGCATTTATGTAGAAGTAAGTTAGAATATTTTAAAGATTGATTAATTAACTATAATTTATTATAAATACTGGTATAGATTGAAATATATATACAATAAACAGAGAAGTTCAATGGGAATGTGCAACTTCAGCAACATGTAAATCATCTTATAACATTTTTTTAGAGTATTCGTAAGCAACAAAACCTATACTGTTGGCGTAAAATGCTCTTGTGAGACAGGCACTAAAACCTTTCCACAATCCTTTAACGCCATCTTCTCTTATTATTTATCTGCCAACTTTAAAAAAACCACCATCCATTCCTTTGATGGGACCAGTTTCGCATTAAAGCTTAGTTTTAATAATATCTTAGGGGTAGGAAAAGACCCAGCACATGATACCTCCGAATCCACCTCCTATTAATGTTTAAAGGTGAGAGAGGTCTTTGCCATGGTTAATGTATTTCATAACAGAGCTTTTATAAAGTTCATAACTAGCAAATTGAGCGCCGTATGCTGGAATTTCTCTAAATTAGGTTGCTACCATACCTCTGTAAATACCTTTTATACCTTCATTTCTATAAATTTAAGCAAAGCAATCAAAGGGACCTTTGTAGAGAATCTATTTTTATTTAAATATTGTGATAAGAATAATTTGTCATATAAATGTATAAATACGTCATAAAGTAATTAATTAATTTATGTTCTAGTTTTATTATTCAATTACTTAAGTTTTAAATTCTTAAATTTTTGGCTTATTCAAAATAGTTAAGATCTAGTAAACATAATTTAGATCATTTAAAATTAGCTACTTTTCATTGATATTTCTTCATAAAGTATTTCAAAATTTTCAATCTACCTTTTTCGAAATTTTAAAATGAGCAACATTTTCTTTTTTTATCCTTAGCAAAAGTCGAAATAAATAAAAATCATTTATAAATTTTCGCTAAAATATTTAATTCCTCAAATGATCTACTTTTTACTTGCTTTAAATGCTATTTTCAAAGTATTTTTTTGTGCACAGTAAGGTAAAAATTAAGTAAAATGCAGACATAAAATCTAGCTTATTGATTTTGATAAATTTCAGTAACAAATTTCATTTTCTTGTAAGGAAAAAAAAAGCTTAACTTTTAAATCTTTTAAAATCTTATTTTTTATTTCTTGCAAAAGAATTTTACACTTTTTGGCTATGGCACAATAAAAATGAAATATCAAAAAATCGAAAATATTAATCAATCTCTAAAAAAAAACGAATTGGAATATGAATTACTGTTTCTTTCTACATTTATAATCTGCATTTTGCGAGTTCGATTGGTCCAATAACAATGCAGTTAACAAAACCTGCAAACATTCCTGCACAAAGTCCTCCAAAAAATGTGAATCTTTCTTAATTTTCTGTGTGAGTGATTTTTTTGTATAATTCATAAGCTCCGAAGACAATAGCATTAACTAGAGGTACAGTGACAAGAGGAGATTCCATACCCTTGAAATAAGATAGAACACCCTCTTTTACGTACATTTCTTTGATGCATTTTAAAAGTGACTCACCATTACCCATCTACAAACGTACCTTTAAAGTATCAAATGGATGACCAGTCAAGCAAATTGCAAGTCCTGCGATAGAACCTGCTGTTAAATCTTTAAGGATTGCCTTGAAATGGTCATCTTGTGGCTTCTTAATTTGAGCTTGCTAATTGTTATTGCTAACTTCTGAAGACATTTTTGTATATTTCTACTTATGCTTTTTTACTTTTTTTTTTTTTTTGATAAATTACTAAAGATTAAATTGAGATAATAATTAATAATCGATAAATACCACTTCCCCGTCACAAATAAATAATTGGTTCTATCGTTTTGAGATAGTGATATCCATTTACTATTTTTAAGACTTTTCACATGCAAAAAGTATCCTAAGTTATACTAAATATGTATCTTTCTTTCTTTTTTTATATTTTTATTAATTGTTAAAACACAAAATTATCAATTCAAACAATAAATAAATAAATATTATTTTTGTATTTTCAATTTGTGTGAACATAGATTATCAAAAATATCTACTTTAGAATGAAAAAAAACTAAAACGAACAGAAAGGAGATAAGAAAGAGAAAATAAAATAATAAAGATTATTAAGCATTTTTTAGATCTGTAAAGAAGATAAATAAAATTGTAATTAAATTATGATTTATTTGTATTATACTAAATATAAAAATGTTAAAAAGTTCATCCATTTCAAAATGAAATAATATTCTTATTTGTGTTTATTTCTATAATAATTTTAGCAATAAAAAATAAATGCCATTAACAAAGAAGGTGTTTGAGCAAATTAATAGAACAAACAAACTCACAGACTCATTCATTCATTATATATGTGTGTATTTATGTATGTAGGTAGGTATGCTATGTATCAATGCGTGTTTAAAATGTAAAAGAGCAGTTTAGTTGGTTGTTAAGAGCATAAACGATAGTTATGTATGTAGATTAATTAAGTAATTAAGTAAATAGTTGATAAGTCGAATCGAATGGATCGGACGGATCTGAATAGTTATGGTTTTATATTTCAAGAATAAATTAAAAATACATTTTTTTTTATTTAATGTGTTGATAAAAAATTAAGTCTTTCTTTTTTACTTTACAAATGTGTGTTTTTGTTAGGAAAAATTTTAATATGATTAAATTATTTTTATTTTTCAATATGATTTCATCATTTCATGCATGCATGATGATAATTTATTTTGTTGCTTAACTTAAATCATTAAAACAACATGGGTTATTAATTTTTAGATGGAGAGTTTATAGATGATTTATGTATTGAGTAGGATGATTTTATTGTTTTTGAAGAAGGTATTTCATGTATTTTGTAAAGTGAATTCTTTCTCCTGATCGATAGATACAAGTTATCTATTTCCAAAACATCTTAGCTGAATCCAATATAAAGTTAAATCTAATCTGTTAGTTCATTAGGCTTTTTGATAAGAACTTAACCATCTTGGCCACAGCTTGATCTATCCCAAGCCTTATCAATTATATAACTAAGAGTAAAAGCATCAAAAATGTTGACATTATTTTGAGGAAAGATCACAATACCACCATAAAGAAGAGTCCTATGGAAATCAGCAACTCTACTTCCAACATATCTATTCATATCATTAAAAATATCAAACAATTAATTTAATTTAATTTAAAAAGAAATTCAAATGATCGAAAGCTAATCAAAACATTGTCTTGACATTTAAGATAGATTTAAATAGAATTTGAAAAAAAGAATATTTTTTTGAATTATTTGAAGAATTTTTAAAAATGCTTTAAATTTTATTTTAAATTTAGAAGATTTTTACCTGCAAACATAGGATTCTTTTGAAATTTTCTTTCTTTTTATGAATTTAGATATATTTTCGTCAGAGAGATGAAGTACTGATTCATCACATGAGATAATTCCTCCTCTCTTAGATGCTTTGATTCTAGGGTGTGTAAGCACAAATAAGTTGTCTTCTGGATCATATGTAAATCCGTTGAGACGATGACCTGTGTGGAATACAATTTATGTTGACTAGCCATACATTATATAACCAGCTCCATAAATATTCTCACCACTTTGCAACAAGTCTGTTCTTTTTGCAGGTCTAAAGGAAGTAGTTGTTTTTCTGTAAATAACGAATAGGGATCCGCAATTATTCAAATCATATAAGTGATCTACGTCTAAGGAAGTGAAAGCAACTACAAATTTTCCATAATTAGATTCTATGAAAACTTCATCGTCTTTGGTATCATAAAGCAAGGCAACAGACTAACATTCACTGAGAAGCTTAACAAAAGTATTCTTCATTTCTACTCTCAAATCATTTATGTTTTTATAAGCATAAGAATGTGTTAATAATTCTTAGCATTAAAGTGCTATGCTCTAAAAAGCTAACATCAAAGAAATATATTCAACTGCAGCTACTTCTTTGTGTTTATCTGCTTCTTATATAACATATTACTCGTAAGTATGCAATTTAACAGGTTTTTCTCCTTTATAGAAGAAAACATCAGGTCTTACAACTCTGTAACTGTCATCGTCTAAGATGTGATCAATATCCTAATTAACAAATTTATACTTTAATATATATTAATTAAGTAAATAAATTCGAATATTTATTTTCTAAAATTAATTTAATAAAATTATTTTATTTATTTATTTGATCTTAAAGATTAAAGGTGAAGAAAAATTAAATCATTGAAAGTATTTAGAGCTAAATTAATTGTGGATAAAATTGGAAAGGTTAAGTCTTATGAATTTAGATTCATGATTAAATTTTGTATCTAATTAATTAAATAATTTATAATTTTCAAAAACTCGCCCAGCTGTTTAAGGTATGACAAATAAATGAATGCGAAAGATAAGTTATCATTCATTGATTAATCTCATTTTCTTTTATAAATGTTAGAAAATAGAAGACTATATCAATTCAGTGATTATTAGTTTCAAAAAGAAATCGAATGTTAATTTGATTAGCTGAATCAAATAAATAAGTGAAATGAAATTAATAAATTTTGATTAAAAATGTTCAAAATAAATAAATAAATAAATAATGAATTAATTAATTAATTGATGGCTTATTCTGATTTATTTTTTCAGATTAAAATAAAAATTTATTTGATTAGTTGTAAATTTTTAGGTTTTGCTAATTTGGTTTTTTGCGTTTGAATCAAGGAAGGTTTTGAAATTAAATCAAGCTTACTTTTAAAATTTACGTATTGGGTTACTTTCTTTATGTTTTGAAAAGTAGTTAAATTTTATTTCTAATTGAATTGGAATGAAAACTAATTTTTCTTAATTTATATTGGTAAAAATCAATGAAATTGATTAGTAGTACTAATTGAATATTTTTTATCAATTAAAATTTTTGATTTAAACATTTTTTCTTTATTTATTTTGACGATTATTTGAAAAGAATAATAAATAGTTATAGTTAATTTCTCTAAATTATTTACTCCAAATTAAAGTGGATCATTTCTTCCGCTTTTCGGTGATCTCATTCCTATTCCTGAGATATTTGAGCTGGTTGACTTTCTAGATTAATTGGTCGACGGACGGCCTACGACTACTCCTGAGTCGCATATATTTATGCTGAATGGAGGAATGTCTGAAGAAATATTTAGTGTCATTTTATTCAATTTTTCAAGATGCTTGAATCCGCTGATTACTCTACCAAAAGCTACCATTTTTTTATCAAATGATTTCATTTCTCCTAGAGTGATATAAAATTAGCTACTGTTAGAGTGTGGAACGCCTCTGTTACAATAACCAATAATGCCTGGCTTATCGTGCTAAATTGCAAAAGACTCATCTTCGAAGTAACCATTATAAATTGAAACTCCCGGTTTGGCATATCCCATTTGAATATATCCATTCTTTTTTATTCTCAACGCTTATGTGTTTCTAAAAGTTAAATAATTTCCTTCGTTACTGATAAAACCTTCACATAATTTGATGAAATTTTCGCATGCTTTTGGAGCTATTTTTGTATAAAGTTCTATTATCAGCTTAAATGGTTCTCCATTATTATAAAGGATAGTCTAATTTTGAGTCCATTAATTATTTTAATTGTTGCTATTTTCATTTTAAAGTTGTAGATTTTCTAACTAGTTCTCGTTTGATATTTTAGTTTCCAGCTATAAACTAGATTACTCATTTCCCTTTTTAGAGCTTACATTCTATTACTATTATTCGTTTCCTGCGAAAGGAAAAAAAGTCGAAGGTAGAGATGACTCTCTTGCAAAGAACTTTTAAGCTGTTCTGATAGAAAGATACACATATCTCTTTTCGCTCATATCGTCAATAATTTAGTTCTAACTTGGATGAAGACTAAATGCTGTTCTAGTTGTTGATTGGGTAGAAGATAAAGTAGTAAAAGAGTTGTAAGAAGGCATATTATTATGCGAGTTTCCATTTCCATTATTAAAGCGTCCCAAATCTCCTAAGTTAGGATAAATTGATTGCAGGGAAGGCATAAAATTATCGCTGCTTCCCATATTGCCTCTATTAAATACTAATTTCCCAAAATTTTATTGCAATTCTTCGTGCATTTCAATAATTTCCTTGGCCTTGTGCTTCAAAGGATATTTTTCTTACAGTTATTTCAAGGAAAATAGAGGCTCATTCTTGTCAGTCAAGAAATAGTATGGTCTCTTAAAGTTAGAAGCTGAATTTACGCTTATTAACTAATTCTAAAAAGAGCCTGCTGGTGGTTAAGCTTAATTACTGCTATTGCCATTATTGTTATTCTGAGAAAGAGCGTTGCTGATGATGTTATTGCTACTTTTAAAGGCTTAATAAGCAGGCAAAAATGCAGAAGAACTCCTTTTAAGCTGCTTTAATTTCAAGTCATAATCTATTTCATTATCAATTTCATCTGTATTTACTATCAGCATTCCATCATTTGCCTGCATTATCTTTTCAGAAGTGTCTTTTATCATTTAAAACTCTGGATCGCCTGAATATCCCACTAACTTAATGCGAGTCACTGATCTTCTTATTTTTTATTATAAATGTTAATAAATAGCACTAAATACAAGCTTAAATTTACTTTTAACCAAAATTCTGCGCTGATTGACTTCCATTTAGCTATTTGGGAATAGCAATCGGAATTGATAAAGGCTTAAACTTATTGTTTGAATGCTACATCAAAACTCTCATCCCTCCTTAACCTGCTCCTCGATTATTTAAACTCTTCAAATGACGATGCTAATTATGCTACATTTAAGCTAATCCTTGATTTGAAGCATTTATTTGAAATTAATTGAGAGAAAGGTTGTTCTTACCTTGCTATCCATTATAATAATTTTGATTATTCAAAGATGAGTAATTCGAATTTTAAATTTATGCATTTAACAGATTTGCTTGTGATTAAGATTGTGCAACTTACGACTACTATTGCTATGCTTGATTACGCTCGCTGAAATAAATATTGTAGTTAAACAAATTTTTTTAAATAGCAGATTGCGGTCTAGCTGGAGTAGGATTAGGGTTTCCCAAGTCGGTCATGCTCGACTAAGCAGACTGTGTTTTGCCCTTCGAAAAATACATCAAATTCTTAGCTCTATTGCTATTCTTAATTTTTAATACAATTTCTTTGCTTTTCTTCCTTTGCTTTTTAGTTAGTTTATTTTTTTAATAATAATCACTCTTTTAATTAATCTTAATATCAAATACCTTTTCACTTTCTAAGTATTATTATTCAATTAAATTAAACATATACACTCGCTAACTCACTCACTTATTAACACATTCATTCATTCATAAATATATACATTCATCAAATTCATTAATTTATTTATACATACTTACAAACATAAAACATATAAATTAATTTATTTATATATAAGCAATTAAACTTCAAGATTCAATCCATTGCATAGACATAGAATTAGAAATCAAATAGTATTAAATTTTTGTATGTAATCTTAATAGGAGTTGGAGTTCTTTGCGTTATGTTCTTTAATTTCAAATATATAAAAATTAACAAACAAACAAAAATAATTGACAAATAAAAATCTAAAATAGTTAAAAGATCACTTTTAAACTGATTTTTTAAAAGTTACAATTACTCTTTTTTTTTTATATAAGAAATTACATTTTAATTAGAAAATATATAAAAAAATTGAATAAATAGAAATAATTTTATCATATTCCTATCACTTTTAAATCGATCTACAAAAATAATTCAAAATAAAATTAATGAAAAGCTTAAAAAATAATTAAAGAATACAATTTTTGATTACTTACATTTCTTTTTAGAGTTTCTGATCGATGATTATATAAAACTTAATAAACATATAAAATCTCTTTATTTTTTATTAAATTTAAATTATAATTGAACTTATACCAATAAAAGTTAAAAACTAAATCTAATTTTTTTCTAAAATAACCAAAATTTCACATATTTATTTGTAAAATTAAGTGACCAATATTTCTGATTGTAACGTACAATTTAAAGATGTGTAACGTGCAATTAAAAAATAAATAATTGTTACGAAACAATTTAATAATTATTTATTTTTGTATTTTTTGTAACTGTTTTAAAAATATTTCGTTAATAAATATTTATAACAGCAATTAATTATTTATTTCTCATCAAATCTATTTTTATTTTTTCTTGCTCTTAATTTTGTTCTAAATTATTTTACCCATTAATTTTATCTTAATGAAAAATGCTTAAATAACATTGAATTAGACTTTTGATATGTTTTTGTATTTTAATCTAGTATATTCTACATCTACCACTAATTTTATTTCAAAAACAAAATTAAATATTAATTAATAGTTTATAAAAATAAAATAATCTCTCTTTATCTTATTAGTAATAAATAAATTAGCATTTAATCAAAATCATCACTAATAAAATTTATATAAGTGAATTAAAAAGAATTTTAGATTTAAAAGGTTTGCTTATATATTTAGATAAATCCGAATTAGATATTAAATTAATAATGATTTCTACTTTATTCTTTTTAAAAAACAACTTATTTCTATTACCTTAAAAATATTTTCATTAAAAATATCTTTTCTCAAAATAATAATTAATTAAATACAAATTTTAAAGAAAAAATATTAATTTAAAACTGTTATTACATGCAAAAAAGCATATCAAACATTTTGTTTCTTGTATTTATTTCTTAATCTAAAAGAAAGACAAAAAGCAAACATTTGAAAGTTTATTTTTTATGGTTATTTTACTAAAAAGAATTTTATTTACCAAATTTTATTTTCATATATTTACAAAATATCAAGAATCAGGATAAATGAATATTTAATTTTATATATACATATAATTATATTTAACTGATACTCGTTTTTTTTATAATCAGAATAATCTGGAATATTTTAGAAAGTAAGTATAACTCAATTATTTTAATAAGAAATATATTAAGTTTAAGTTACTATTTTAAATATAAATAAGAATTTAATTTAACATCTATTTACTCAATCATAATTTAGCTTACTTATTAAATTATAAATCTGATATTAAATTTATCTTATTTGTAAATAATATTATTCTCGATTACTTTAATTATTTAATGCTTTCTTTATTTTTAGTTTACATAGAATAAAATGAAAGTCTATAAAAATTAAACTATAAATAATTGCCTTTTTCTTAATTATCAAATATACTTTTCATCTTAATAGAAAAAATATATTTTATCATATTTAAGGTAATTATTTTCTTTTTTCTTACCAAATAAATTAAGCTCTTTTACATGTTCATTTTAATTAAATAAAGATGCTTTTTATATAATATCATATAATATGAAACATACATATTCAATAAATAAGCAAATGTATTCATACATATTATAAATTTAATACTTTTATTTTTGTATTTATTTTGAACATTAGCAAAGTTTAATAGTTAAATTAAATATCATATCTATTAATAAAATAAAATATTATGTATAAATCCATTCTTTATTTAAATAAAAAGAGTAAATAATTATGTGTTTATTAGATAAAAATAATTAACTATAATTAAATTTCTATTAAATTCGTAAAATTAAATTACATTTACTATCACTCTCATCTTTACCATCATCTTCTGATTAAATTATTAAAGATTCAATTTTCTTTTTATTAAGTATTGAGTAATCATACTTAATGACTGTTATTTAACTTTAAATATTAAAAAACATTTTTTAAAAATTGTTTTTTCATAGATAATTTACTTTATTCAATATCACACTATTTATTTTGAAATCATCAATCAGGATTGTTACGAATATTAAATATCTATTTGAATTTAATCAAAAAGCAAAAATAAATGTTTAGCAAATAAAATCTAAAGATTTTTTAAGTAAAATTTCATCTTAAGAAGCAGTCTTAATTATTACCTACTTATCAATTTAATTATAAATATTATTTGATTGCTTTATTATTATAACACTTATTCTAATATTAAAACTTCACTTTCTCATTAAATTCAATCTTAACTTATCTATTTTATAAATAATTTGGATAATACTCATTCATATCCAAAACCCTAAATTATTATTTTTAAAAATTAAAAAAAATATGAATAAAATGAATGAAAATAAATTAAAAAATTCTAATTAATTAAAGGATCTATATCTTTATTAAATTATTAGTGAATAAATAATAATATTTTGAATGAAAATTATATATCTTGAAACAAACTATAAAAAAAAATACAAATATCAACAAAATATAATAAGTATATTCTATCTCAACAACTTTCCTTTCTCAAAAAATTTAAAATGGATAAATTTACTACCTAAAATTTAAAATGTACTAAACATTCAAATAAAGATTGCTAGTTTATCTAAATTAATGACGTAATATCTCAATCCAGCTCTAAAAAGCCTCTTTTCTACTGTTGTTCTTGTATAAATGAAGACTTTGAATTTAAACCAATCAATTATATATTGATAGATCAGATTATTTAAGAAGCAGACAGTAAAATTATACCAAAATGGCCACCAGTCGACGACTACCATATCATTTAAGATCTCATCGAGCTCACATTAAATTAATCTAAAGTTAACTACATCAAGTAAATCACAGATTTCTTTAATCAATTCAAAGAAGAGTTTTTAGCAAAAATAGACATAATCTAAAAAAATATGATCAATGAAGCTCTAAAATATCCAACTGATAGATAGCAAATTATTGAAAGATATTAAGAAATATCAAAAATATCATAATTTAAGTAGCTTCTAAACAACAAAAACAACTAAGAAACAAGTAATATAGAAGAACATTCAAATCTCTGCAGAGAATTTATCTCACAATTTGAGCTATAGAAAGATAAAAATACTGAATTATTGTAGAGTTTAGCTAATTAATTAAAAATAAATTTCAATACAAACCATCCAAATATCATGAAATAATAAATATTTGCTTGTATAGATAATATTTCTTTCTTTAAAAACGATTTATCATAAGGCGTGAGAAATCAAAATAGTGAAAGCCATCTATAAGCTAACATTAATAATTAAAATAATAACAGAGGCTAGAAAATGAGTGCTGAATTAATAATGAAACTTGTTTCAAATAAATCTAATTTTTGCTCTGACTAATTTCTTTAAGAATTGGATTAAATTCTTTAAGGGCTTAATCATCTTCTTTAAGAGTTTAATTTTAATATAGTTCAAAAAGAAAATAAAGAAGCTATTGATTTTTCGAAAATAAGTGAAGAAAAGTTAAATTAAATAGAAGACTATGTTAAACATTAAATACTTTTAAAAACTCAAAAGTAGTATGAAAATGAAGTAAAAGATTGTTTATAAATAAAACAAATTAATTTCATTACAAATTCTTAAATGAGTTTGTTAAACAATTAATTCATATTATAGTTTGAAAAATTTTTAATTGATGTAAAACCTTTTTTACAGCATATTAATTTTTCAAGTATTTTTAATGACTAAAATTAATTTGATTTGTTCAGAGACCATAAAGATGAGGAGGAAAGTGAAATTGATTTGATGGAAGGTTTTTTTGGATGAATTTTTTAGTTTTTAGTTAATAAAATTCTTAAGAAAAAAGGAGAATAACATTTGAAAGGATAAACTTAATTTATTAAAATAAAAAACATACTTATATAATTTAGTGTTTTTTTTCATTTTATTTTACTCAATATTAATTAAAATTATTTCTTTCTATTTAAAGAGTGATATTATTTATAATTTCTTAATTCAGTAAAATCACAATTTGAGAAGTACTCTAAAAATATACACTCAATAAAAATGAAGGTGTGGATTTTTCTAAAATTAGTGATTAAATGATAAGAATCAGTGTTGATGATTCTTAAACGATTTTTTATTTGTTTCATATCATTTTTTCAAAATCATTATCAGATATATAAAATTAATATATTATTAAAATTTAGTTTATCAATAAAGACAAGAAAGGTAGGTTCAAAATATTATTATTTTGAATAAATTATATATTTTTGATTTTTTTTGATATTAGTCTCAAATACGATTTTCTAAATCTTTTTCAACATGGTACCCTTATAAAATTTGTAAAACTTAGCTATTTAATATTTCCAATAGAGTCTAAATAATTATTCTTAACAAGCCTAATTCTTCTTGATTCTATCTTTTCCAGTTTCCACTAAATAAATTTTTAATTTGGATAAAGAAAACAAGGTATGAAACCCAAAAATCCATAAAACTTCATGTTTGAGGAGCTATTTATTCCCTTTAAATTTAAAAGTAAAAGTATTCATCATTAAAGAGAATAAGGATAGAAATTTATACAAAAAAATCCTTTTGAAAAATCTATTTGGTGTTGTCAAAGAAAATTATAAAAATTAAAAACTAAATTTCTTATCTAACAAAGATCTGAAACAAATAATATTAGCTTCGCACTTTAGATGCACAAAATAATTTTGTATCCCTAACCAGTAACCTAAGAATTAAATAAAAGACTAATGCATAATTGATTGTGTTTTTAAGTGTTTTAAATGCTTTCATAAGTACAGATTCAATTTTTAACTGTGCTAGACATCCTTTAATATCAATTTATACATGCATATTTTTAAGTTTTATCTAAAACACTTCTATTATTTAAGCAATAGAAATAAGTTTGTTACCAGAAAAAACTTTTAAAAGGATTTATCGCTTTTTTAAATATTAAATATCAATTTATTAAGAAAGAATACTCGAAAATTCCCCTTTAGCAGTTATGTAACCTCATTGAAAACATCCAGAAGTGGTAGAAGTGGATGAACCACTTTATACTTACCTCCGAGATCCATCATATCGAACCAGTCAGGATTCTTATTGTTGGGATTTTGGGTGTAATATAAATAAATACAGGGAAATTTTGCTCTGTGGCTATACGAAATAATAGAACTGCAGAAAACATAGATCATATTTTCATAAGCCTTATAACTATATAGAATTAGCAAGGAAAAAGAACTATTTTGTATGCAAATGGTTCTATTTTTTTATTTATTTTTATAGTGTTAAGGGTATGAAAAAGGTGCATCATTAACCATTCTTAAGGTTTTACCATCTGTGATACTACCGATCACATAGAAACCTTGTGGAGCTAACTAAAAAAGATAGGTAATTTTGATAGAGGCTGGTTTTTACTACTATAGAATAAGTGCAGCACGCTGTTAATGATTATGCTGGAGGCTACAGCATAAAAATGAGGATAATTTCTAACTGCTTATTGATATTTTTAATTGAACCTACTTTTTGAATGATAAAGAAATAATTGTTAATTATTGATGAATATATATATATTAATATTAGTTTATTGATTTGAAATACATATTTTCATATAAAGTACTCAATATAATGTAAACCCAAGAAGATCATCAAATTTTTTTAGATAAAAAAAATCTCTTATATTCCAAACCTTAAATAATAAAAAATATGCTTGTATTGTTTCTTTTATGTTTGCATATGAATGAATATTTGATTTTGTATTGCAGATTTATATGATTGATTTAACTAACATTTACTTTCAAATATTTAATAGATAATAATTATTTTGATTAATTAATATATTTATTAAATACTAATAGTTAGGTTATGAAGATATGGTATCAAATTCAAAATAATAAAAATGATAATTTTGTTAAAATCAAGGAGTTTTTATATAGAATCAAACCTTCATTTGTCACCACCTTAATAATAAGAGTACTCACTTATTATTTGCAGATTTAAAAAAAAAAAATAAAAAATAACCTATATAAAACATTGATAACTCTCCTTGCTCCTATGTATTTTGACTAAAAATTTTAGTTTAGATGGCGGTCACATTAAATACTTTTTATTGTATTTATAAGCAAGAATTAAATATTAATAAAATAAAATTTGTAATAAAATATCCTTTGTAATTATATAAACTCTCAATTGAATATTAATGCAGTTTTCATATTCTAATACTTTTCTTCTTAACTCATGATAAAAATAATAGTAAAAAAAATACAATCTAAACAAAATATTAAAAGAAAATTCTTTCTCAAAAACTTTTCTCTCTTAAGATTTTTAAATGGATAAAATTACAACCTAAAATCTAAAATGCACTAAACATTCAAATAAAGATTTTTAGTTTGTCTAAATTAATGATGTAATATCTCAATCCAGCTCCAAAAAGCCTCTTTTCTACTGTTCTTCTTGTATCAATGATGATTTTGAATTCAAAGCAATCAACTATTTATTAATAGATCAGATTATTTAAGAAACAGACAGTAAAATTATCCCAAAATGGCCACCCGTCAATGACTACCATATCATTTAAGATCTCATCGAGTTCACGTCAAATTAATCTTAATGTGACTACGTAAAATAAATAACAGATTTCTTTAATCAGTTCAAAGAAGAGATTTTAGCAAAAATAGACATAATCTAAAAAAATATGATCAATGAAGCTCTAAAATATCCTAATCATAGCTAAGTTATTGAAAGATATTAAGAAATATCAAAAATATCAGAATTTAAGTAGCTTCTAAACAACAACAACAACTAAGAAACTAGTATTATAGAAGAAAATTTAACTCTATTCAGAGAATTCATCTCATAAATTGAGTCTTAGAAAGATTAAAATACTGAATAATTGTAGAACCTACTTAGTTAAGCCAATTTTTTAGAAAAAAATTTTAATTTAAACAGACCAAATATCATGAAATAATAAATATTTGCATGTATAGATAATATTTCTTTCTTTAAAAATGATTTATCTTAAGATATGATAAATAAAAATAGTGAAAACAATTAATAAGCGAACATTAATAATTAAAATAATAACAGAGCCTAGAAAATGAGTGCTGAATTAATAATGAAACTTGTTTCGAATAAATCTAATTTTTGCTCTGACTAATTCCTTAAAGAATTGGAGTAAGTTCTTTAAGGGCTTAATCATCTTCTTTAAGAATATAATTTCAAAATTATTCATACAGAAAATAAAAAAGCTATTGATTTTTCAAAAATTAGTGAAGAAAAGTTAAATTAAATAGAAGACTATGTTAAGCATTAAATACTTTTAACAAATCAGTTTTTGTATGAAAATGAAGTAAAAAATAGTTTAGAAATAAAATAAATTAATTTAATTACAAATTCTAAAATGAGTTTCTTAAACAATTAATTCACATTATAATTTGAAAAATTTTTAATTGATGTAAAACCTTTTTTGCATCATATAAATTTTTCAAATATTTTTAATGACTAAAATAAATTTGATTTCTTCAGAAACCTGAAAGATGAAAAGATGAGAGATTTTTATGAAAAACATTTTTTCAAATAAAATTTTTAACTGTTAATATCCAAAAATTAATATGGATACTAAAATTGCATTATAAAGAAAATATAAAATGGTGAATATTTAATCTATTTTTTAAATAGAGGTTGGATGTTTTGCTTTTCAAATATGAATTTACAAAAAGATTTAAAATATATTTTTAGAATATAATTAGAAAATTTTGAAAAAGATAGTCAATTAGAAATAGGTCTAATAAGCAACTCAAATTGTAATAATGTATTTGAAGGAAATTAAAATTTATTCATAAATTTTATATTTTCAAATGAATTTATAGTAGTATAATAAAATAAAGGGTTATTTGACCGTTCTTCAACCATTAATAAAAAATTAAAAGGAGACTAATTTAAGGTAAGTAAAGACAATATGATAGAATTAAGAGTTTGCTTAAAAGATTAGATTTTAGAAGTAGTAGACTATCCTAATTATTAGTATAAGCTAGGATTAGATGATACATATAAAGAAAATCTTACAAAAATTGAGGATTTAAAATTTTACCTTGGTTTAAAAGATTCGGGAATTAAAATAGTTTTGAAAGAAGCATAAATAGTGAATGAATTTAAAAATTGAATTAAAATAAATGAAAAATAATAACAAAAGCTACTCTTTAAATTTAATAGAAGATATTTTAATAGCTTTGAATAATTTAATATAAATTGTGTTTTAGTTGTTGTTGAATTTTTTTATTAATGTTTATTTTTTTAATAAAATTTATCATATACTAATTATTTCTATAGCAAAAATACTATTAAGAAATATTTAAATCAGAGGTGCAATGGTATGTATAAAATATTAAAGCTAAATATTTTATTATTCAAATATCAATTAAAATACTCTTAATTCTACATATCAATAGAATTTCATTTGTTTTGTTTTAATAAAAATTATTTTGAATTATTGAATTATCTTAATTTAGTTAATGGCGCTTTTAATAAAAAAATCAATTTTGAAAGTTGGTGTGTTTAAACTTAATTGGATTGATATTTCATTATAAATAGAATTTTTTATCAAATTTTTAATTAAAAAAATAAAGATATTTATTTAGTTCAAATTGAGTCTTTTATTTAATGACTAAAAATAAAAATATCTTTTTATCTCAAATTTCTTTAAATTAGAAAAACACCAAGTTAATTTAGATTTTTTTAAAGATTTTCTACATTTTGATAAAAATTCGTTTTATAGTAGCAATTACTCAATTAAAATTTATAAATAAAATCAATAGAATTAAAATAAATAAATGATCAAATTAATCCGCCATATAATTTACTTTATTCCTTTTTTTATTTTGTCATTAAAAAGTTTTTTTTACAGTATCACAGCATAATTTAATATAAATATTTGAATACAAAATTTTAAAAATAAGTAGATTGATTAGTCAGTTATGAAATCAATTGAATTTGAAATTAAATTTTAAGTAGAATAATTTAAAAAGTGGTTATTAACAAGAAAAATTTCAAAATATGTAGCAATATTTTAATTTTGTTATTAATAAATGACCTTACTCTAAAACATATGACATTTTCATTCTATTTAATTTAGAAATCCATTAAATTTACATAAATGATAAAATATTTCAAAAATCTGCTTATAATCTCCATTCATTTAAAATTTAAGAAATAAGAGAGGATAGTTTGTTATAACTATATTTTAAAATATATTACATTTCTCATCGAACATTTTTTAAATTTAGCTAAAATACATTAACAAATTAAATCTTATTAAATATGAAAATTAACAGTTTACAATATTATCAATCTGCAATTAAATCAATTAATTTCTTTGAAGAAAAGAATTAATCGGTTTTGAAGTTTTAGTTTCTTTTTAATTATTTAATTCATAATATAGCCAAACTCCTAATTAAAATCTAGCGTTTGGGTATTAATGAGTTTAAAATTAAAAAAAATATATTTGAAATTGTTAGTTCTAAGCCATTTTTTTTTAATTCATTTTTATTTATGATAAATTTTGGTGAATTATTTTCTATTTAAAAAAAAAAATAGTCACAAGTAAGTTGAATTATCAAAGCTAAACAGATATATTAGATATTGCTTTTTGTGAATTTGGTATAAAAAAAATAAGATAATTTAAATATCAGCAAGAATTGACCTTCTGCCATACATCAGGTTAAAAAAGAAATTTTCTCAAGAAGAAAAAAATTGAAATATTTATTTGTGTATCTAATAGGGTAGATATTGGATCATGAATAAATTAAAAATTAGTGACAAACTCTACTAAAAGGAAAATATCACTTAAGAAATACTCATAAGTGCAGTAAAGGAGATTTTTTATCATAAAAAATGAAAATAATAAAAAATATGCTTACATCATTTATGTTTTCATATGAATGAATCTGGATTTTTTATTATAGATTTATATGACTCATGTAACTTAGACTTAATTCAAATTTTGAATAGATGATAATTCTTTCAATATCAATTAAGTACTAATAGTTATGTTATGAACAGTGATGAAAAATGATCGATAATTAGGTAATTAAAGGAAACACAGAAGACTTTTTATAATTGATAAGTATTTTATATACAAATACCGAGTTTTTATTTAGGTGGATTAGTGTATTTTAAAAATGCACCTAAAATTTATCCAATCAAAATAAAGATTTTTTTGATTTTAAGAATTTATGGGTTTGGTCTAAATGATTTATTTCACTTTAAACAATTTTTAATGTATTTAAAAAATAAAATTCAAAATTAGAAAAATAAAATATTCTTTCTAATTAAATCAAATATCTAATAGAATATTGAAAAAGTTGTGCTTATACGATATTGTGATACTATACTTTTCTAATTAACTCTTAACAAAAATAAAAGTAAAAAATAATAATCTAAACAAAATATTCTTTCTCAACAACTTTCCTTTGTTTAAGTTTCAAAATGGAAAAAATTGCAACTAAAAATCTAAAATGTCCTAAACATTCAAATAAAGATTTTTTGTTTGTCTAAATCAATGATGTAATGTCTCTACCCAGCTCCAAAAAGCCTCTTTTCTACTGTTGTTCTTGTATTAATAATGATCTTGAATTCAAAACAATCAACTATTTAATGATAGATGACATTATTTAAGAAACAGATAGTAAAATTATCCCAAAATGGCCACCTGTCAATGACTAGCAAGTCATTTAAGATCTCATTGAGTTCACATCAAATAAATCTTAATGCGAATACGTAAATTAAATCACAAATTTCTTTAATCAATTCAAAGGAGAGTTTTTAGCAAAAATAGACATCATCTAAAAAAAGATGATCAATTAAACTTTAAAATATCCGACGCGCTAAACAATAATTGAAACATATTAAGAAATATCAAAAATATAATAATTTAAGTAGTTTCTAGACAATAATAACAAAAAATCTAGTATAGAAGAAAATTCAACTCTCTGCAGGGAATTCATCTCATAAATTGAGTCATAGAAAGATCAAAATACTGAATTATTTAAGAACCTAATAAATTAAGCTAAACAAATAGAAAAAGATGTAAATTTTAACCTTCCAAATATAATGAAAGAATATATATTTGCTTGTATGGATAATATTTCTTTCTTTAAAAGCGATTTATCTTAAGACTTGATAAATCAAAATAGGGAAAGACAGCTATAATCTAATACTACCAATTAAAATAATAACAGAGACTAGACATTGAGTGCTGAATTAATAATGAAGCTTGTTTCAAATAAATCTAATTTTTGCTCTGACTAATTCCTTTAAGAATTGAACTTAATTCTTTAAAGGCTTAATCCTCTTTTTTAATAGTATAATTTTAAAAAAGTTCATACAGAAAATAAAGAAGCTATTGATTTTTCGAAAATTAGTGGATAAAAGTTAAATTAAATAGAAGATTATGTTAAACATTAAACACTTTTAACAACTCAGCAGTCTTACGAAAATAAAGTTAAGGATAGCTTAGAAATAAAATAAATTAATTTAATCATAAATTCTCAAATGAATTTCTTAAATGGTTAATTCACAGTTCAGTTTGAAAAATTTTTAATTGATGTAAAACCTTTTTTAAAGCACATTAATTTTTCAAATATTTTTTCTGACTAAAATAAATTTTTTTTATTCAGAAACCTAAACATTAATGATGAATGGATAAGAAATAATTATTTACAAAATTTATTCAGTTATAATTTTTAACTATTAATAACTTAACATAATAATGGATAACTAAGTTGCTAAGTAAAAAAAAAATAAAATGGTCAATAAAAAATTAAGAAGTTTGAAGGTAATAAATGGGTGAATTGTGTTTCAGAAATTAATTTAATTAAAGATTTGAAATATATTTTTAGAATACAAATTAAAGATATTTAAGAAGGTGCTCATTTCATGATAGGTCTAATGACAAATTTAAATTCTAATAAATTTGATGGATATAAAGATTATTTAAGCTGCCATTTTAGATATATAAATTAATTTATAGAAAAATCTGATCCTAGAACAGGTTCTTCTAATTATGGCATTGATAAAATATTAAAAGGAGACTGTTTTAAGTTAACTAGAGAGAAAATAATAGAATTAAGAGTTTGCTTACAAAATTAAATTTTAGAAGTGGTAGATTATCCTAATTATTAGTATAAGCTAGGATTAGATGATTCTTATAAATATTTACTCACAAAAAATCAGGATCTAAAACTTTACATTGGTTTAAAAAGCGAGGGGATTAAAATAGTTTTGAGAGAAGCATAAATTGTGAATGAGTTTAAAAATTGAAATAAAAAAAAAAATAATAACAAAAATAAATATAATAAAAGAAAGATATTTTAATTGCTATGAATAATTATATATGAATTGTATTAAAATAGATTGTAGTTGTATTTTTATTAATGTCTTTTTTTAATGTAATTTATCATATTTTTCTAAACCCTTTTTAAAAATTTTTAATTTCTACATTAAGAAATATAAATAATTTTAATTTTTAATGTATAAAAAAAATAGATCTCAAAATTAAAAAAATACAATATGTTTTGCAATTAAATAAAATATTTATTAGAATATTGATATAGTTGTGTTTATATGATATTACGATACTTTTCTTTATAAACTTTCAACAAAAATAATAGTAAAAAAATACTAATCTAAACAAAATATTAAAAACATATTCTTTCTCAACAACCTTTGATTGTCAAAGTTTTAAAATGGAAAAAATTACAACTAAAAATCTAAAATGTCCTACACATTCAAATAGAGATATTTAATTTGTCTAAGTTAATGATCTATTATTACAATCCTGCTCCAAAAAGCCTCTTTTCTATTGTTGTTCTTGTGTTAATAATGATTTTGAATTCAAAACAATTAACTATTTAATGATAGATGACATTATTTAAGAAGCAGATAGTAAAATTATCTCAAAATGGCACCTGTCAATGACTACTATGTCATTTAAGATCTCATTGAGTTCACATCAAATGAATCTTAATGCGAATACTTAAAGTAAATCACAAATTTCTTTAATCAATTCAAAGGAGAATTTTTAGCAAAAATAGACATCATCTAAAAAAATATGATCAATGAAACTTTAAAATATCCTACTAACTAACAAATTATTGAAAGATATTAAGAAATATCAAAAATAAAATAATTTAAGTAGATTCTAAACAAAAACTAAGAAGCAAGTAGTATAGAAGAATATTCAACTCTCTGCAGAGAATTTGTTTCACAAATTGAGTCCTAAAAAGATAAAAATACTGAATTATTGTAGAACCTACTATGTTAAGCTAATCAATTAGAAACAAATTTCAATTTAAACCTTCCAAATTTGATGAAATAATAAATATTTGCTTGTATAGATAAAATCTCTTTCTTTAAAAGTGATTTATCTTAAGGCATGATAAATCAAAATAGGGAAAGACATCTATAATCTAATACTACCAATTAAAATAATAACAGAGGCTAGAAATTGAGTGCAGAATTAATAATGAAACTTGTTTCAAATAAATCTAATTTTTGCTCTGACTAATTCCTTTATGAATTGGATTAAATCCTTTAAGGGCTTAATCATCTTCTTTAAGAGTATAATTTCAATATTATTCATACAGAAAATAAATAAGCTATTGATTTTTCAAAAATTAGTGAAGAAAAGTAATGTTAAATAGAAGATTATGTTAAACATTAAATACTTTTAACAACTCAGCAGTAGTATTAAAATATAGTAAAAGATAGTTTAGAAATAAAATAAATTAATTTAATTACAAATTCTCAAATGAGTTTCTTAAACAGTTAATTCATATTTCAATTTGAATAATTTTTAATTGATGTAAAACCTTTTTTAAAGCATATTAACTTTTCTAATATTTATGACTAAAATAAATTTAATTTCTTCAGAAACTTGAAAGATCAATAGATGAGATTTATTTATGAAGCTAATTTTTTCAAATAAAATTTTTAAATGTTAACAACCTAATTTAATGATGGATAAAAACACTGCATTATAAATAAAAAAGAAAATAGCGAATATGAAATTTATTAGTTACATCACAGTAGCTGGGTGAATTGTATCTCAAATATGTATTTATAAAAAGATTTAAAATATATTTTTAGAATATAAGTTGAAAATATTAAAGAAAAAAACTAATTCATGATAGGTCTAATGAAGGAATCAGATTCTAATAAAATTTAAGGATATTGTGATAATTTATGCAGCCAATTTATATTTTTAAATGAATTTATAGAAAAATCAGATCCTTAAAATAATGGCTATAGTAATTTAGGCATAGATAAAAAATTAAAAGGAGACAATTTTAAGTTAAGTAAAGAGAATGTAATAGAATTAAGAGTTTGCTTAAAAGATTAGATTTTAGAAGTAGTAGACTATCCTAATTATTAGTATAAGCTAGGATTAGATGATAAATATAAAAAAAAACTTACAGAAAATGAGGATTTAAGATTTTACCTTGGTTTATGTCAATAAGAAACTAAAATAGTTTTAAAAGAAGCATAAATAGTGAATGAATTTAAAAATTGAATTAAAAAAAATGAAAAGTAATAACAAAAGTTATTTTTAAATTTAAAAGAAGATATTTTAATTATTTTGAATAGTTTTATACTAATTTTATTTTGGTATTATTTGTATTTTTTTATTAATGTCTCTTTTTTTAATAAAAGTAATAAAATTCTTTAAAAAAATTTTTAATCAAAGCATTTTTTTAAAAATCATTCTTTAAAAAGTCTGTTTTAATAATAATTTTTCTATTTAAATTTTTTTACTTAAACATAAAATTTAATTTAATTTCAATATTTTTATTTTTTGGATATTTTATTATAGATAATTTTGCTTCATGATATCATTTAAGCACAACTTATTTGAGTACTAGACGTTTCTGCTTACTTATTTTTGATGCTAATTATTATTGTATTCTGTCATTAATTTAGTTCTATCTTTTTTATTAAATAAATAACTTAAATTTATTAGTTATTTTTATATTTTTAGAAAATAAATGCAAAAACTGAAGAAAAAATTATTACCTTAAATCAAGATTGAAAATAATCAGTTTAGAACAGTTTTAAAATCTAATCTAAAATAAGGATAGGTCGTTCAAATTTATTTTATTCCATCTTTTAAGTTTTTAGAAATTTAATAAAGTTTAATTAAAATTAAATCATAAAAATTAATTTTGTAACTATCAAATATTCTGTTTAAAAAAATTTTAGTGTCTAATTTAATGAATAACTAATTTAATTTGATTTTTTGTGTAAGATATTATTTTAATAGTTACACAAAACAATAATTCAATGGATAGTAAATAGTTCATTTTTTTACTGTAGTAATTATTTCTTTAAATTATATTCGAAAATGTTTTAAATCAAATTTAAATAATTTAGTAACATTCGAATAAAAATTATTTTACCCTAATTAAAGTATTAAAGCTTTTAAATTTGTTAACTTTTCTAGTGCGCAAAATATCTAGCTAAATCCTTCGTCTGATATTTTGTTATTTCTTATTTTAAATACAAAAAATATTATAAAATATTTATAATTAATAAAATTTATTTCTTAAACTTATTTTAATGTTATGGTTTATTTAATATAAAAATGATTATTTATCTAAAATAATAAATTTTTGGTAAGCAAGTAAATGATAATTTAGATAATTACTTCAGTGCTAGCTCTAGATATTAAATATTCAGAGATTTTTATAAGCTATTAGCTAAACTTTAACATTGGCTATCATTAATTTAATTGTATCTTTTATTTTTTTATAAATGTCAGCAAATAAATAAAAAATGGAAACTTAAAATGAAATAAATAAAATCTCAATTTCAAAATAATAAGTAAATAAATAAAATATCAAACTCTAAATTTAACTCTAGTCTAATAAGATTTTATAAATTTTCCAGTATCTAAACTAGTTTTATGAATTATTTGACTACACCATATCCACTTTTTGTTTAAATATAATAATTTACTTAGCTAATTAAATAATTGAAGATATTTTCTTTTAATAATTTATATAATTAAAATAAGTGAAGATAATTCTTTAATATACTTTAATGACAAAGATAAAATATTAAGATTTTGGCATTATGATAGAGCTACATTTAGATCTAAGATGTCTTTCTCGCTAATATACCTTTCACTTATATAAAATTAAGTTTTTTTAAAAAGAATAATTTTTTATAAAATGATTGTTTAAATAAAAGAATATCTAAAAAATAATTTTTTTATTAAATTAGTATTATATGATGATAAGTTTGAATATAGGATTACCTATGAAAAATAAGACAAATTGATTTATATCTGAATTAAAATAATTAATTACCTAAGATCAATTGTAACACTTTTTTAATTTTAAAGATTAGACCTTAGAAACTATTAATAAAATAAATTCAAACTTAAATAAAGATATATTTTTTAATTACTTCTTTTAAATACTTATATTTATTATTTTTAGTTTCTTTAGATTTTGAACTACACATTCCCATTTTTTTTCAATTAAGTTATTACTTATTAAAAAAATAAAGTTTTTAAAATTAATAAATAATAAAAAAGTTATTTTTATAGAAAAGCAAAAACACAGTTAGTTAGTCTTAAATAATAAAAACCCTCAAAAAGCAAGATAAAAATATACATAACCACCTATTAATTAACATGATGTATATCTTTACTTAGAAGTAGCTATTAATTATTTTAAATAAATAGTCTTTTTACTCAGCTTTTATAAATTATTGATTACTGTTCTATTTTAGCTTTCAATTTTGAATTCAAATTTATTTTAGAGCAGTTATTGAAAAAAAGCAAATATAATTGAATTTTCTATTTATTGATTGTAATTTATTTTATCTAAATATATCTAAATTTTATTCAATTTCAAATGTTTTATATAAAAAATTCAGACTATAAATAAGGCCAAAATCTATCTATTTATTTAATTTTTTTCTTTCTGAATTTTTGCAATATTTTTTAAATTATTTTTTTAAAAGTTAATTAATATTTTTTTATAAAATATATATCCCTCCCTCCTCCATAATTTTTAATCAAAAATTTTAATTTGATGAATTTTTATGGTGTTGAGGGGGTATTGAGGTCTATAGTTATCGATTTTAAGTAATTTGATTATGATGTAGTAGATTATATAAATGTGTAACTAAAGAAGTATTTTTAATTCAACTGAATATCCCCTTTTTCAATATATAGCTTATAATGTTTTTATCCATAATATTAATTAGTAGAAAGTAGGTTTTAATTTCGACTTTAAAGTATTTTAATTGAAAAACAAAGAGAATATTTTATAAAGATTTAATTAAATGATAAAATCTTTAAAAGATATTTATTTATTTAAATAAAGTTGTGGTTTTTATTTTCTGATTAACTCACAATCAAAATATCTTTTTTCTCAATACCATTAGCCAAATAGCAAGCATATTTATATTTTTATGACAACCTGCTACTTTTTTAAAAGAATTATATTATCATAGCATTTATTCAAATAAAACTTCTAATTAAAATTTATGAGAATAGCAAACATGGATCAAACAAATACAACCATTTTAATGATTTTGTAATTTCTATTTTCTTTTAATATTAAAAAATTATTCTTTAGAATGAAGCTAGGTAAAAGAATAAAATCTAAATTAGTCATTTTTAATTTGATTTTAAATAGAATATTATACAAAGTCCTAATTAATAAGAAAATATATTCAAATGAAGGATCATCATTTTTACTTTTATTGAATGAATTTAAGTTAATATCAAATTTTTCATTTTATTTAACTTATAAAATCATTAAATCTAAAGAAATAAGTATATTTTTCATAAAACCTACTTTTAAATCCTCTATATTTTTTTATTTAATAGATGAAAAAGTATATTTTTAAAATATCTTGTACTTTTTATCAATAATGAAAAAAATTTTCAGTAAAGAAAACTAAAATTAATAAATTCAAGCTCATAAATTTGATATGATATAGTTTACAATATTCTTCAACTGTAATTTAGTCAATTAATTTCTTGAAAGAAAAGAATAATTTGATCTTAAGTTTTATTTAATTTTTAAATCTTTTTAAATTAATTGTATCAATTTATCTCAAATGAAGTTTCTCTTCAAGTTCCTATTATTATATTAAATAGAGATATATAAAATGATTATTTGAAGTTATCATATATTTAAATTACTCTTATATAAAACCTTGTTTTTAGATATTATTTTTAGAAAAATTCTACTTTATATTTATACATTTCAAAATTAAAGTAATTATAAAATTTTACAGCAAGATATATATTCACCTCTTTCTTCTTATTAAAATGAAAAAATATTTATTTTAATACATAATATCTTTCATTTTAAAATAAGTTAATGTAGATTATTTTATGTGAATTCTTCAATAATTCGTTAATAAAGATATATTGAAATGGGGATTTTTGTAATATTAATTAACTTTAATACTAATAATTAATTAATTTTTGATAATTAATTATCATAACATTATAAATGTAAGATAATTAACTTCTAAAAAATAAGATTTAGAAAGCTAAATTCAAATCTAATATATTTTAAAATATTGAATATCAATTGAAAAGAATTATCTAATTTTTTATTAAACAACTTTTAGTGAAGTAAAATCATGGTTTTTTTATTTAAAAAAATAATTTTACTTGCTAGAAATCAATGTTGGTTATTTATTATCTTTACAATTAAGTAGAATATTTTATCAATTTGAATTTGAAAAATATTTCTAATAGGAAAAGCAAATATCTGATTGAAATATTGGTATTAATTTATAATTCTTTATTACTGAGTGCTAAATAAAATTAGATGTTAGTTTGTATTAAAGCAATTTTTTGATCTAACAAAAAGTAACAAAAATTTGATTGATTTTTAATAAAATAAAGAAATGTAAACTGTTTGTTATTTAACTATTTTTTAATTTGATTTGATAAATTCTAAAAATATTTATCTATTTTGTTCATAAATGATAGAAATATTATGAAAATATTTAATCAAGTACGTAATCCATCAATTCATCATATTAACAATTGATTAAAAATAAAAATGATTTCATATCTATTGATACTAAATTTAATAGACAAACAATTTATTAACTCACTACTGATTTAGTTAATGAGTTAATAAAGAATAATTTTAATTTGATTTAAATATTCTAATATAATTTTTATCAAATCAAATTATTTTAAATTTTTAATTATTTTAATTAATATTTATATGATTGATAATGTAAAAATAAGATTTTTCTGTTTTGAATCAGATCTATGTTTTTATATATTGTTAATCATTTAGCCTTTAAATAAATCTATCTATATTAATACTATTTAATATTAATTGTCATCTCAGATCACATTTTTTAAGTGTAAGATTATCAAAATCTAAATTAATTGCCCTTCGGAAGAATTTAACTGTATTTTGAAGAATTTATCTATCAAAATATGATTTCTGATAGATATATTTTTTAATTAAATTTGTGGCATTTTATACTTTTAATTTAAGATTTCTGATAAAATTAGGTTTTTATTATTTAGCTAAACTCTATTAATTTAATTAAAATTATGAGGATAAAAATCTAAATTTTATTATTTAATATTTAAATCAACTTCATTTAAAGATAGGAAATTTGGTTTTATTTTTGTTATTAAAACATTTACCTTAACATCTATTTAGCTACAGCTGAGTAAAAAAACCCCCAAGTTATATTAATACAAAATATGAAAAAAAGTAAATTTTTTTGAAAATTTTTTGTTAAGGAAACACTTTCAATAAATTAAGGTTACTTTAAGTAACAAATTTTTTTTAATTAAGATGAATTTTTCACACAAAAATTTAATTTGAGGAGTATTTTCCATTAATTAATGAGAATTAACAGTTTTATAAATTTTAACTTTTTTTGATTTAGCAACTAAAACTGATTTTTCATTAATTTATTTTTTTAGAAAAAGTTTCAAATTATTTGATTTAAAAAATAATTTTATCAAATTATTAATACAAATAATATAAAATAATATAAAGTTAAGCATAATATAAAAATAGTATAAGGATATGTTAAGATTTTATCAAAAGCCATAATTTTCAGGTCCTATGCTATATCTTCAAGGCATTTGTCCTTATGGTGTTCCTTATCCTCCTGGTTATTATCCTGGTATGCCTCTTTAGCCTTCTGGACCTCCTTGTCCTGGTCTAGATTTTTCACTTCCTACACCTCCTTACTATGGTCTACCTCCTACACCTTATTGTCCTGGTCTTCCTGCATTGCCTCCTTATCTACCCCTTTATTCTCCTGGACCTTACTGCTCTGGTATGCCTCCTTAGTTTCTTGGATCTTCTGAATCTGGTATATTTCCTAAGTCTCCTTGTTCAAGTCCTTCACCTACTGAACCTTATTATTATCCTTATTCTCCTAGACCTTATTATCCTCTTTATCCACCTTAACCTCCGAAGCCTCCTGGACCTTATTATCCAACCTATCCTCCAGGACCTCCTTATCCTCCTGAACCTCCGAAGCCTCCTGGACCTTATTATCCTCCTTAGCCTTCTTGACTTCCTTAGCCTGATCTAGCTCCTTTTCCCTCTGAGGCTTTTTGTACTGGCCTACCTCCTTATTATCCTCCTTAGAGATTTCTTTCATTTACTTAGCCTTCTGCTCCTAATTAATCATCTTAACCCTCTTATTAGCTATTTAAGTTTGGTTTTATAGGTGAAGGAACTTCTTGTGCTGATTTTTATTCGCTAATTTCTTAAGAATTTAGGTCATTTTATTGATTTTTATGATGACCTAAAAAGTTGTTAGGTTAAGCATAAGCAATTAATAGAGTTAAAGAGAAAATAAGTATTAATATCTTAACTTATTTCATTTTTTTGGTAGTTTTTATTTAGTTATTAATTTATTAATTTAATATTTTAAATTTCATATCATGGATAGAACACCTATTTAAATAAAAAATTTAGCTCACTTAAAAAAGAAGTTATAAATATTAGATATTTAAAATAAAATTAAAATTAAATCATATTTTTATTTTCATTTCTGCCTACCCCTTAAATAAATATTAAAATTAAATAATCTATCAATTTTAATTTTAAACAATTAAATTAATTAAATTCTTTAAAATAGTAATACTAAATTTGATTTTTTCAATTAATCATTTTTCGAAAGATAAAATTAATATGTGATTTTAAATAAAGAGAATATTATAGATATGAAACACAATTATTAATTAAATATATACCATACTTTCCAAAAGTATAAATTATAACATTTATATTTTAAATTTGATTAAAATTTTGTTATACTAATTATTTCTATAGCAAAAATAATATTAAGAAAAATTTAAATTAGAGGTTTGATGGTATGTATAAATTATTAAAGTTAAATACAAATATCAATTAAAATACTCTCAATTTAACCTATCAATAGAATTTCATTTGTTTGAATAAAAATTATTTTGAATATCATCTTAATTTAGTTAATGGCGCTTTTAATCAAAATATCAATTTTGAAAGTTGGTATGTTTAAACTTAATAGGATTTCTATTTCATTGTAAGTAGAATATTTTATGAAATTTTAATTAAAAAAATTAAGATATTTATTTAGCTAAAATTTAGTCTTTATTTTACTGACTCATAGTCAAAATATCTTTTTATCTCAAATTTGTTTAAATTAGAAAAAAAACCAATTTAATGTTGAATTTTTTTCAGATTTTCTACATTTTGATAACAATTCATTTTATGATAGCAATTAATAAAGTAAAATTTATAACTATAATCAATCGAATTAAAATAAATAGTCAAATGATCAAATTAATCCAACCATATAATTAATTTACTTTATTCCCTTTTTTATTTTATCATTAAAAAGCTTTTTTTACTGTATCACAGCTTAATTCAATATAAATATTTTAATACAAAATTCTAAAAATTAGCGATTGATGAGTCAGTCAGTTAGGAAATTAATTGAATTTGAAATTAAATTTTAAGTAGAATAATTTAAAAAGTGGTTATTAACAAGAAAATCTTCAAAATATGTAGCAATATTTTTATTTTATTATTAATAAATGACCTTATTCTAAAACATATGACATTTTTCATTCTATTTAATTAAGAAATTCATTAAATTTACATAAATAATAAAATATTTCAAAAATCTGCTTGTAATCTCCCTCCATTCATTTAAATTTATCAAATAAGAGAATATAGTGTGTTATAACTATACTTTAAAATATTTTACATTTCTTATCAAACATTTTTAAAAGCTTTTGTAAATTTAGCTAAAATATATTAACAAATTAAATTTTATTAAATTTGAAAATATACAGTTTACAATATTATCAAACTGTAATTAAATCAATTAATTTCTTTGAAGAAAAGAATTAATCGGTTTTGAATTTTTAGTTTTTTTTAATTATTTAATTCATAATATAACCAAACACCTAATTAAAATCTAATGGTTTGGGTATCTATTAATGAGTTTAAAATTAAATAAAAATATATTTGAAATTGTTTGTTCTAAGTCATTTTTTTTTAATTAATTTTTATTTATGGTAAATTTTTGTGTAGATTATATAAATGTGTAACTAAGGAATTATTTTTAATTCAGCTAAATATCCCCTTTTTCAATATATAGCTTATAATGTTTTTTATCCATAATATTAATTAGTAGAAATTAGGTTTTAATTTTCACTTTAAAGTATTTTAATTGAAAAACAAAGAGAATATTTTATAAAGATTTAATTAAAAGATAAAATCTTCAAAAGATATTAATTTAATTAAAGTTGTGGTTTTTATTTTACTGATTAACTAACAATCAAAATATCTTTTTAATCAAATTCCATTAGCCAAATAGCAAGCATGTTTATATTTTTATGACAACCTAATACTTTTTTAAAAGAATTATAATATCATAGCATTTATTCAAATAAAACTTATAATTAAAATTTATGAGAATAGCAAACATGGATCAAAAAAATACAACTATTTTAATGATTTTGTTATTTTTATTTTCTTTTATTTTGAAAAATTATTCTTTAGAATGAAGCTAGGTAAAAGAATAAAATCTAAATTAGTCATTTTTTATTTGATTTTAAATAGAATATTATACAAAATCCTAATTAATAAGAAAATATATTCAAAAGAAGGATCAGCATTTTTACTTTTTTACTTTTATTGAATTAATTTAAGTTAATATCACATTTTTGATTTTATTTAACTTATAAACTCATTAAATCTAAAGAAATAAATATATTTTTCATAAAACCTACTTTTTGATCCTCTATATTTTATATTTAGCGGATGAGAAAATATATTTTTAAAATATCTTGTACTTTTTATTCAAAAATGATTAAAGGTTTCAGTAAAGAAAACTAAAATTAATAAATTCAAGCTCATAAATTTGATATGATATAGTTTACAATATTCTTCAACTGTAATTTAGTCAATTAATTTCTTGAAAGAAAAGAATAATTTGATCTTAAGTTTTATTTAATTTTTAAATCTTTTTAAATTAATTGTATCAATTTATCTCAAATGAAGTTTCTCTTCAAGTTCCTATTATTATATTAAATAGAGATATATAAAATGCGTATTTGAAGTTATCATTTATTTAAATTACTCTTATGTAAAACCTTGTTTTTAGATATTATTTTTAGAAAAATTCTACTTTATATTTATACATTTCAAAATTTGAAGGGGTATCGTGATCTATAGTTATTTATTGTAGTTAATGTGATTATAATATTGCGGTGGATTATATTGGCTTGTAAATTAAAGGTTATTTTTGCTTCTTCTGAATATTCCTTTTTTTAATAAAAAGTAAATAAAGTTTTTATTCTTAAAATTAATCAGTAAAAAGTAGGTATTAATTTTTTTCACTTTAAAGTATTTTAATTGAAAAACAAAGAGAATATTTTAAGAAGATTTAATTAAAAGATAAAATCTTCAAAAGATATTTATTTAATTAAAATTGGGGTTTTTATTATGCTAACAATCAAAATATCTTTTTTCTCGAATTCATTTAATTTAGAAAAAAAACAAGTTTGTTTAAATTTTTATTGTAATATACTTCTTTTTTAAAAGGATTTTTTCAAATAAAATTTATGCCAATAGCAAGCATAGATCAATCAAATACTACCTGTTCAATTATTTTGTTATTTCTATGTTCTTTAATTTATTAAAAATTTATTCTTTAGAATGAAGTATTGGATATGAATACTTTAAGTCTAGATTAGCCACATTTTAATTAAATTTTAAATAGAATATTATACAAAGATCTAATTAATAAGAAAATATACTCAAAAAAAGGATCATAATTTTTATCTATTTACTTTTACTGAATTAATTTAAGTTAATATCTCATATTTGATTTTATTTAACTTATATATGTATAAAATCTATATAAGTAAGAATTTCTTTCATAAAATATACTTGTTATTACCATATATATTTTATATTTAACAGATGAGAGAAAATAGTGTGTTAAAAATATACTTAAAATATGTTGTATATTCTATCAAACATGTTTAACAGTTTAAGTAGAGAAAACTAAAATTAATAAATTCAAGCTAATTAAATTTGATATGATATACTTTACAATGTTCTTCAACTGTAATTTATTCAATTAATTATGTGGAAAATAAGAATAAATTCGAAGCGATGATTTATTTTTTTTTAATTTATTGTATCAATTTATCTCAAACTAAAGTTTTGTTTCAAGTTCCTATTAATCTATTTAAAAAAATGTATAAAACATGTATTTGAAGTAATTTTATACCAAAATTATTCTTAAACAAAACCTTCTTTTTAAAATAATTTTTACAATAATAATAATACTATATATTTATACATTTCAAAACTAAAATTGATGATAAAATTTTATCACAATATATTCACCTCCTTATTCTTATTAAAATCAAAAAATATCAAACTTAATACATCATCTCTTTCATTTTAAAGTAAATAAATCTAGATTATTTTATTTGAATTCTTTAATAATTCAGTTAAGAAAGATAAATTAAAATGGGGAAATTTTGTAATATTAATTTACTTTTACTAAAAATTAATTTATTTTTGATAATTAATTTTCATCACAGTCAATCTCAGATAATTAACTTTTAAAGTATGGGAATTAGATAGGTTTAAAAACAAAATTTAAATCTAAGATTATTTAAAATAGTGAATATCAATATAGTAGGTTTTTTTACTTAAAAAGATAATTTTGTTTGCTTGAGCTAAATCCAGTTTATAAATAAATTTTACAATTAAGTAGAATATTTTATTAATTTGAATTAGAAAAATGTCTCTAATACGAAAAACAAATTTTTGATTAAAATATTTGTTTTCATTTATTTTTCTTTTTTACTCATGCTAATAAAAATTAGTTGTTAGTTTGTATCAAAACAATTTTCGATTTAAATAAAAGTAAAAAGATTAGATTCAATTTTGAAATCAAGAAAAAAAATGTAAACAGTTTGTTATCTTGCTATTCTGTAAAACAATAATATATTATATAAATATTTGTATCTATTTTGTTCATAAGTGATAGAAAGTATTTTGAAAATTTGAATAATTTACCTCAAAAAATGATATCATATAGCTAAATTTTTTAATTAAATTTGTGGCATTTTATACTTTTAATTTTTGCTGATTACTAATTAAATTAGATTTGTATTATTCTAAACACTGTAATTTGAATGAAAACTATTAGGATTAATCAAATTTTTTTTCTTATTTAATATCTAAAATAACCTCTTACCTCGACTCCAAAAAAATAACTATTTCGAGGTTAGAGGTTAGAAGTATTAAGGTAATTATTATTATATTCTGTCATATTTTTAATTCAGCTGAATATCCCCTTTTTCAAGATATAGCTAAAAAAGTTTTTATCCTTAATATTAATTAGTAGAAAGTAGGTATTAATTTACACTTTAAAGTACTTTAGTTGAAAAACAAGGAATGTTTTATAAAGATTTAATCAAAAGATAAAATCTTCAAAAGATATTTATTTATTTAATTAAAGTTGTGGTTTTTATTTTACTGATTAACTAACAATCAAAATATCTTTTTTCTCAAATTCCATTAGCCAAATAGCAAGCATGTTTATATTTTCATGACAACCTACAACTTTTTTAAAAGAATTATATTATCATAGTATTTATTCAAATGAAATTAATAAATAAAATTTATGAGAATAGCAAACATTGATAAAGTAAACACAACCTTTTCAATGATTTTGCTATTTTTATTTTCTTTTATTATTAAAAAACTACACTTTAGAATGAAACTATGTAAAAGAATAAATCTAAATTTCCACATTTAATTAAATTTAAATAGAATATTATACAAAGTCCTAATTAAAAAGAAAATATATTCAAAAAAAGGATAATCATTTTTACTTTTTTACTTCTATAGAATGAATTTAAGTTAATGTATGGTATTTTTCATTTATTTAACTAATATATTCATTAAATCTATATAAGTAAGAATATTTTTCATAAAATCTACTTGTTATTCTTATATATTTTATATTTAGCAGATGAGAAAATATATTGCTATCAAAGAAAACTAAAATAAATTCATGTTCACAAATTTGATATAATATACTTTACAATGTTCTTCAATTGTAACTTAGTCAATTAATTTCTTGAAAGAAAAGAATAATTTGAGCTTAAGTTTTATTTACTTTTAATTCTTTTTAAATTAATTGTATCAATTTATCTCAAATTGAAGTTTCTTTTCAAGTTCCCATTATTCTATTAAATAAAGATATATAAAACATGTATTTGATGTTACCATATATTGAAATTACTCTAATATAAAACATTGCTTTTAGATATTATTTTTAGAAAAATTCTACTTTATATTTATTCATTTCTAAATTAAAGTAAATTTTAAAATTTTACCACAAGATATATATTCACCTCTTTTTTCTTATTAAAATGAAAAAATATTTATTTTAATACATAATTTCTCTGGTTTTAACATGAATTAATGTATGTAGATTATTTTATTTGAGTTATTCAAATTTTAGTTAATAAAGATATATTAAAATGGGGATTTTTGTAATATTAATTAACTTTAACACTAAAAATTAATTCATTTTTGATAATTAATGATCATAACATTCTAAATATAAGATAACTAACTTCTAAAAAATGAATTAGATTGATTGTAATGTTAAATTCAAATATAAGACATTTTGAAATAGTGAATATCAATTTGAAAGAATTATCTAATTTTTTATGGAATAACTTTTAGTAAAGTAAAATCATGATTTTTTTATTTAAAAATATAATTTTGTTTGCTAGAAATCAATATTGTTTATTTATTATCTTTACTTACAATTAAGTAGAATATTTTATCAATTCAAATTTTAAAAATGTTTCTCATAGGAAACACAAATATTTGATTAAAATATGGTATTAATTTATTTTTCTTTATTACTGGGTGCTAATAAAAATTAGATGTTAGTTTGTATTAAAGCAATTTTCTGATCTAATTAAAAGTAACAAAATATTGATTTTTGAATTAAAGTAAAGAAATGTAAACTGTTTGTTATTTTACTATCCTTTAATTGGATTTAGTAAATCCTAAATATATTAATCTATTTTGTTCATAAATGATAGAAATATTATGAAAATATTAAATCAAGTACTTCATCCATCCATTCATCATATTAACAATTGATTAAAAATAAAAATTATTTCATATCTATTGACACTACATTTAATTGACAAACAATTTATTAACTGAATACTGATTAGTTAATGAGCTAACAAAAAATAATTTTAATATAATTTAAAAATTGTAATATAATTTTTATAACAAATCAAATTATTTTAATTTATATATAAAAGATTGATAAAGTAAAAATAAGATTTTTCTGCTTTGGATAAGATCTGCTTTTTTACATATTTTCAATCATTTAGCCTGTAAATAAATATCTATCTATATAAATACTATTTAACATTAAATATCATCTCAGATCACATTTTTAAGTGTAAGATTATCAAAAAAAAATTAATTGCTCTTCGAAAGAATTTAACAAAATTTTGAAGAATTTGTCTATCAAAATATGATTTCTGATAGATATATTTTTTAATTAAATTTGTGGCGTTTTATACTTTTAATTTAAAGATTACTGATAAAATTAGATTTTTATTATTTAGGCAAACTATTTTAATTTGAATGATGAAAATTATGAGGATATAAATCTAAATTATTTCTTATTCAATATCTAAATAAACTTCATTTAAAACCCCTCCAAAATTTCATTTTATGAGTCAAAAAAATGGATAACACCCTCTTAAAAATAAAAATAAATATCAAACTCTATTTGTTGGTTGACAATTAAGAAAGTTCTATCTAATTTAAATGATCAGAAATCATTATCATGAACCAATTTATTTTTCTAATTTAAGAAAGAGATTGAATTATGGTTATACTGAAATCAATTTAAATCCTCATAATTTTATTATTCATTTTAATTTCTATTATAACTATAAAAATATTTTAAATTATTAACTAAGGAACATCATACTTATTATGGTAGTATTTTCATCTTCAGTTTAATGATATATTGTATATAATATATTTATAATGAATGATATTCTTCCAATTGAATTTGATATAGAATATTTTTACTAAATTGTTAACTATCAAGACAAAATTATCTATTAGATATAATATATTTATAATGAATGATCTTCTTCCAATTGAATTTGATATAGAATATTTTTACTAAATAGTTAACTATCAAGACAAAATCATCAAAATAAATGTATCTATTTATTTATTTAAATTTGTGGAATATATTTAACTGAATTAAAATAAATATACCCTCTTTTCTCTTCAAAATTGTTTAGCTAGCTAGGAAAAATGTATTTAATTTATGAATTATTTTATCAGTGAAAATATTATATAAAAACATGTAAATTCAAACCTATTTGACTATATTTTAAAAATCTGTAAGATAAAATAAAAACATACAGACAGAGAGACAATACCAATCATTGCTTTTTCTTAATTTTGTATTAAAAAATCCATCTTTATTATGGTTAACTTAAGTGTTTAATTAAGTTAAAAATTTATAAATATATTTTTCAATTCAAATAACCAAAAACATATTTGATTGAATAATCTATCAAGATAAAAAATAAATTCATCTATATTTGATTTGTTTTTATTACAAAAAAAGCAAGCTAAATAGTCTCAGCTTTATTCTTTTTATAATGTAAATAAAACTTGACTAAATTTCTAATTTATTTCAAAATGTTTTATTGAGATAATAAAATTTAAAATATTATTTATTTGTCATTTAGCTTTAATATCAAGTATTTTGTAATAAATACCTTTTAGATATGTGTGCTAAAATATCTTTGTTATTACAAAATATCTTTCTGAATAAATTGCCTCGATTGATTTCATATTAATTAAAGAAGAATATTTTAGTAAACTTGCATTTATTCAAACAGCAGTTTTGAAAAATTAATTAAAAGTGGGAAATTTATTTTTTGTTACTCTTTATTTTTTGTATTTTTAATGATAATGATAACCTTTTTTTTAATTTTTCTATGTAAAATAGAACCAAAGACGAAAAATCAAATACAAGTTTAGATCTCAAAAAATGGCATTATAAAAAATTCTGATAGTTATTAAAAACTAAGTTTAAATAAAAAAAATTAATATTTAGCCATTACTAATTTAAAAGATAAAAAAAATAATTTATTAAATCGTAATTTTGATAAAGTAAATTCAATATAAAAAAATTGTTTTATTAAAAAAGTTAAATTTATTTGTTTGAATTCAATCTTATTATTTCTTCAAATGTAATCAGGATATTTTGTAAAGTTAAATTAGAAAGGATTTACAATTAAATAAAAGTATTTGATCAAAAATTTGATTCAATTTATTTTCATTTATACTGGGGGAAAATCACAAAGAGATTGATAGATATTAATATTAATTAAGATTTAGATTTAACTAAAAAATACAAAATTTGATGAGATCTCCAACTTGAGGAAAGAAATGTAAATAGTTTGATATTTTTTAGGTTACAGATTTAAATAAATTCTAAATATTTATCATTTTTCATTTTATAAAATCTGAAATCAGCAAAATACTTCACCATCTTTTTGGTGTTTAATTCAATTTAAGAGTTTTCTTTAATTGATTTGAATATTTTTCTTCTTCATATTGATGCTCAAGTTTTTAAGTCAATAAAATTTCTGTAATTTATATTTATTTGTTTTTACAAACTGTTTAACTAAATAAATCCAGATATAAAAAAAAAAAAGATTTCTTAATTAAAGAAAAAAAAAATTATCAGAGAATATCAATATAAAATTTTTTCAATATTTTAATTATTAAGAATCTACGTTAAATAATTTGAATAAATAATAATCAAAACTTTGATACAAAGTATTTTTGACTTAACTACTAATTTAATTAGTTTTATTATATTTATTTAACAATTAAATTTTTTCAAAAAAATTTCTAATAATAATAATAATAATTATTATTATTATTATCATCCAATCAATTATTTATTAAAAGTATTTAATTATTAAATAAAAAAAATAAACAATATAAAATATTAAAATTTCTAATCCTTAAGAATCTTATTAGTCATCCTATTATTGACCTCTTTAGGAACCTTATTAGCCTCCTTATTGACCACCTTTTCCTCCTTTTTCTTACTATCCTTTTTATTAGCCTCCTTATTATTGACCTCCTTTAGAACCTTATTAGTCACCCTGTTATTGACTACCTTTTCCTCCTTTTCCTTACTACCCTCTTTATTAATCTCCTTATTTTTGACCTCCTTAAGAGTTTTATTAACCTCCTTATTATTGACATCCTTAAGAACCTTATTAGTCACCCTATTATTGACCTCCTTAGGAACCTTATTAGCCACCTTATTACTGACCTATTTAAGAACTTTATTAGTCACCTTATTACTGACTTCCTTAAGAACCTTATTAGCCGCCTTATTGTATTTGCTACCCTCTTGATTAGCCTCCTTATTATTGACCTCCTTAAGAACTTTATTAGTCATCCTATTATTGACCTCCTTATGAACCTTACTAGCCTCCTTAAGAACCCTATTAGCCTCCTTATTATTAACCTGCTTAAAAACCTTATTAGCCTTCTTATTGTCCTTACTATCCTATTTATTAGCCTCCTTACTGTTGACCTCCTTAAGAATCTTATTACTCACCTTATTATTGACTTCCTTAAGAACCTTATTAGTCACCTTATTATCGACCTACTTAAGAACCTTATTAGTTGCCCTATAATTAACCTCCTTAAGAATCTTATTAGTGATCCTATTATTTACCTCCTTAGGAACCTTATTAGCCTCCTTATTGACTACTTTTTCCTTGTTTTCCTTACTACCCTCTCTATTAGCCTCCTTTAGAACCTTATTAGTCACCTTATGATTGACCTCCTTAAGAACCCTACTAGCCTCCTTATTATTAACTATCTTATCCTCCTTATCTTCCTTGGAATTCTTAAAATCCTTATTGACTACCTTAGCCTCGTTATTATTGACCTCCTAAACCTCCTTAAGGTCCTTATTAGCCTCCTTTAGAACCTTATTAGTCACCTTATTATTGACCTCCTTAAGAACCCTATTAGCCTCCTTATTATTGACCATCTTATCCTCCTTATGTTCCTTGGAATTCTTAAAATCCTTATTAGTCTCCTTATTGACTACCTTAGCCTTGTTATTATTGACCTTCTAAACCTCTTTAAGGTCCTTATTAGCCTCCTTATTGTCCCACCTGACCTCCATTACCTCTTGTGTTTTATAGATGACGTTCTAAACTACTTTCTTTATCTACATAGAATAAATCTCCTGCTTCTTTCTCTCCATAAGAATTTTAAGTGCTTTGCTGGTTTCGAATTTAAGTACCTAAAAAGTTTCTAGTTTAAGCTTTAACAATCAATAAAGTCAAAGATAAAATAGCAATTAATATCTTGGTCTAATTCATTTTTAGAAGTTTTTAATATTTATTTTTATTTATTTATTTATAATTAAATATTATTATTTTCAGATCATTATTTAACTTGTTTTAAACAAAGTTTTTCTATTATTTAAGAAAAAATAATCTTTATTTGTATAAAAGCTTAAATTAAATTAAACTAAACATTAAATTTTTATTTTTATGTCTTCTTACCCATCAAGTAGTAAAAACTTATAATCTATTAAATATATCATTTTTAATAATTAACTTTTCGTTAAATTCTCAAATAATGTAAATTGGATATTTTCAATTAATAGGTTTTTGAAAAATCAAACTTATTCAATAAACCTTAATTTTGCCAACTTACTTCAAGTTTTGACTTTGATAAAATTTTACTTTTAAAAATTTAAAAACAACTTTCATGGACCGATTTAGTTTTTCAACAAAAGTTAAAAGTTGAAAGGTCATATGGTATCAATAAAAATCCTCATACCTCTATTATTCATTGTAATTTCAGTAATAGCTATAAAAATATTTTTAAATTACAGAATAAGGAGCATACTAACTATGTTAGTCTTTTTATCTTAAGGTAAGTGACGTATCAGCAATAATGTATTTATGCTTGCTTAATTATCTTTTAATTCAATTTTAAGTTGAATATTTTGCGAAATAGTACTAGCAAGATAAAATCATCATAACCTTTTTATGTATTTAATTAAATTTGTGGATTATATTTTACTGATTAAAAATCAAAATATCACCTTTTCTCAAAAAATTCCTTAATTAATTAGAAAAAAAGTAACTTTATTTATGAAATGCTTTGTCCTTGAAATGGTTATATAAAAATGTGTAATTAAAACCAATTTGATTTATTTTATAAATATTTGTTAGATTAAACAGACAAACACGGACTGATTCTTTTATTACAAAAAAAAGCTAAATATCCTGTCGTTCTTCTTGCTATGCTATTTATTAATCTTATATTGAGTCTAAAATATAAGCAAAATTTGACTAAAAATAAGAAACGAACAAATTATTTTGAGGTTTAATAAAAAAAATGGTAGTTATTTTTCTTTATATTTTTTTTTTGGCTTACATATTAATGCATTAGCGAGTCATTAAATTAAAAAAATTATTCATTTGTTATTTAGCTTTAATATCTAGTATTTTTAAATATGTATCTTTAAATAATATTAGATGATTGTTAAAATAGAGTAAACATTCATTCATTTATTCTTTTCTAAAATATTAAAACATTTTTGTTACTACTAAATATATATCTGTATAAATTGCCTTAATTTCATATTAGTTAATGTAGAATATTTTCATATGCTTACATTTACTTAAAATGTTGTTAAGAAAATTAATTAAAAGTGGGGAAATTATATTTATTTTGCTTACTATTTATCTTTTTGTATTTTTAATGATGATTATCACTTTTTTTTAATTTTCGTATGAAAAAAAAATCAATGATTAAAATCAATTATAGATACAAGCTTAGATTACTAGAAGAAATGCTAAAAATTAAGCCTAATTATTAATCAATATTTAGCAAATATAAAAAAAAGATAAAGCAAATGATTAATTAAATTTTGATTTTTATAAAGTAAATTAAAGATTAAAAATTGATTGATTGATTGATTTATTCAAAAAGTCACAATTATTTGTTTGAATTCAATCTAAATCTTCTTCTTCTTTCTTCAAAATTTAATAAGGATATTTTGTAAAGTTAAACTTGAAAGATTTTTTCAATTTAAGAAAAGTATTTGATTAAAACTTAAAATTTAATTTATTTTCATTTATACTGTGGGTAAATCACAATGAGATGTTAATATTAATTAAGATAGATTTAGATTTAACTAAAAGATACAAAAGTGGATAGGATTTCGAACTTATAGTAGATATGCAAATAATTTTATATTTTTTAGGTTCAAAATTTAAATAAATTCGAACTATATTCTTTTTATGAAAACATGAAGCCAAATACTTCATCTTTTTAATTTATAATTAAATATAAAAAATTTTAATATTAAATTCAATTAATGACTTTCTTCTTCATCAAGTTTTTTAGAGAGTAAACTTTCTATAATTTATATTAGTATTTGCTTATGAAAGTTTAAATTGTTTTAACAAACATAAATCCACACACATATTACTCTACATTATAAGCTATTTTAATAAATCAATTATCTTATAAAGACATTAAAAATATTATATATCGTTGAACACTCAATTTCATGTTTTCTTACACTTTCAATAAATTTGTAAGAAAAACTTTATTTATCTTTCTATATAAATACCTTTTAAGAGTAACATCATATTTATACTTAAAGATATTTTAGATTTGTTTAAATATTTATATTCAAGCTTTTTTAATTAAATATGTGGTATTTTATCCTATTCTTACTTTACATTTGTTAAAATACCTTCTTAACATTTAATCAACGCACTAAATGAAAAAGGGAAAACCAAAATTTTTTCTAATTTAATATTTTAATTAGCTTCTTTTCCATCACTCTCTTTTGGCTATTGGGCTTAATATTTATAATTTAGAAACTATTTTTATGTTATGGTATTGACCATTTTAGTAATGATTTTTATAGAAATATTTTTTTTAAAATAGAAAGTAGATTATGTTGGATAAATTGTTAATTTACAATTAATTAAATCATGGTAAGAAAAAGACTAGAACAATTTTGCAAAGATAAATTAATTAAATTTGATTTAAAATGATGTTGCTAACTATTACCAAATATTAACTTCAATTTCTTTTTTATTTTCTACTTTTATTATTATTGTTATTTTATAAGTCGAGGAAGTGAAAGATCAACTTTCATTTCAACCTAAAAATTGAAAATAAAATACCCCATTTAGTCAATCAACCTCCTTAAATAAAATAATGAGTCATTATTTCAAATTAATACAAAGATTCTTTTATAAAAAATGCAAAAAATTTAATTCTCCTCTTTACAAGAATAATCGTACAAAAAATGGAAAATTATTATTTTATGTTATAATTTTAGAGTTAAATGCCTTTTTAATTTTGGATAGGCTATCAAAACTAATGAATATTTAATTAAAGAAATTTAGAAAGAAAAAAAAATTACCATAATTCCTTGATAATTCGGCATTTGGAATTACGGATTTCCGTGTATCCGAGAGGTGAATTATTATTAAAAAAATTTTTTTTGAGCGTAGCCCTTATTCTTTTCAAAATGAAGAATTATATTGTTAATTAATATTGAATGCTCAAATACAATTAAGTGATTTTCATTGAAGAATGTTTTCGACCCAAATTAATGGTTGAAAGAGTGAAATTAATATTAGCATCATTGTTAATTTAAGATATTTACCAATTAGATTTTTGTGAATTATATTATTATTTCAGGCAAGGCCATCATGTAAAATTTTATTCTTAGAATACAGTATTAATCATTGGTATTTCAAATAATATCTAAAAAAAGAAAGAATTAAGTTTAAAAAAATGCAGGCTATTATTATTTTATAACTAAAATTAAATTACAATCTTTACACAGGAAAGCTATAGATAATAAGTTGAAAAAATCAAGTGAAATTTAATTTTTTTAATAAATTTTAAAATTATGATACACTTACTTAACTACTAATTTAATTATTCTTAGTATATTTATCTTATAAATTTTTAATAAAAAAATTTCTAATCATAATAACTATCATCCAAGCATTTAATTATTTATTAAAAGTATTTGATTATTAAATAAAAAATTAGGAACATAAAATATTATTATTTTCTGAATATTTGATTTGAATTATACATTGATTAAATTATTTATAAAAATAATATCAAACTATATAAAATAAAATATATTTTAATTATAAAAAAACTAAATATCAAGGATTTTATTAGTAAGAATTTTGGGATATTTAATCTCTTCCAACTAAGTTTTCTTAATCTTTTTAATATCAATAATCTCCTCCACTTGCTTACTTATGGTCCTTGCCTCAAAATTAACTTCAATTACCTCCTTAATGTCCTTATTAGCCTCCTTATTGTTAGCCTCCTTATTAGCCACCTTATTGTTAGCCTCCTTATTGCTAGCCACCTTATTGTTAGCCTCCTTATTACTAGCCTCCTTATTACTAGCCTCCTTATTGTTAGCCTCCTTATTGTTAGCCTCCTTATTGCCCTTATTGACCTCCTTATTGTTAGCCTCCTTATTGGCCTCCTTATTAACCTCCTTATTGTCCTTATTAGCCTCCTTATTGGTCACCTTATTATTAGCCTCCTTATTGTTAGCCTCCTTATTACTAGCCTCCTTATTGTCCTTATTGGCCACCTTATTGTTAGCCTCCTTATTGACCTCCTTATTATTGGCCTCCTTATTAACCTCTTTGACCTCCTTATTGGCCACCTTATTATTAGCCTCCTTATTACTAACCTCCTTACTGCCCTTATTGGCCACCTTATTGTTAGCCTCCTTATTGACCTCCTTATTATTGGCCTCCTTATTGTTAGCCTCCTAATTACTAGCCTCCTTATTGGCCTCCTTATTAGCCACCTTATTAACCTCTTTGACCTCCTTATTGTCCTTATTGGCCTCCTTATTATCCTTATTAGCCTCCTTATTGTCCTTATTGGCCACCTTATTGTTAGCCTCCTTATTATTGGCCTCCTTATTGTTAGCCTCCTTATTAACCTCTTTGACCTCCTTATTGGTCACCTTATTATTAGCCTCCTTATTACTAGCCTCCTTACTGCCCTTATTGGCCACCTTATTGTTAGCCTCCTTATTGACCTCCTTATTATTGGCCTCCTTATTACTAGCCTCCTTATTGGCCTCCTTATTAGCCACCTTATTAACCTCTTTGACCTCCTTATTGTCCTTATTGGCCACCTTATTATTAGCCTCCTTATTACTAGCCTCCTTACTGCCCTTATTGGCCACCTTATTGTTAGCCTCCTTATTACTAGCCTCCTTATTGGCCTCCTTATTAGCCACCTTATTAACCTCTTTGACCTCCTTATTGTCCTTATTGGCCACCTTATTATTAGCCTCCTTATTGTTAGCCTCCTTGTTATTAGCCTCCTTATTGGCCACCTTATTATTAGCCTCCTTATTGTTAGCCTCCTTATTGGCCACCTTATTGTTAGCCTCCTTATTAACCTCTTTGACCTCCTTATTGTCCTTATTGGCCACCTTATGGTCCTTGGCCTCCTTAGGCTCCTTATTGTGATACCTGGCCTCCATTACCTCTTGTATTTTGTAATTGACGTTCTAAACTACTTTCCTTATCTGCATAGAGCAATTCTCCTGATTATTTCCCTTCTTAAGAATTTTATTGGTTTAGGCTTTAAGCACCTAAAAAGTTTTTAGTTTAAGCATTAACAAACAATAAAGTCAAAGATAAAATAACAATTAATGTCTTGATCTAATTCATTTTTTTAAAATTTTTAATATTTATTTAATTTAATTATTGAGAATTAAATATTATTATTTTCAGATCATTATTTAGCTATTTTTAAACAGAGTTTTCTTTTTATTAAGAAAAAATAATCTTTACTTGTATTACAGCCTTAAATTAAATTAAAGTAAACATTAAATTATTATTTTTATCTTTAATGTCTGCCTACCCCATAATACTTATTACCTATTAAAAATTGCATTTTAATGATTAACTCTTAACTAAATTCTAAATAATAAACTGGGTTTTTTCAATTAATATCTTTCGAAATATCAAACTATTTCATTAATCAATAAAAAAATATAAAAGCTGTTATTTTCAAAATATATGTTAATTAAGTGTGTATTACGCATCAAAATATTTGAAAATTTTCATTTATATACCTTTATTTTGACATTATTTTAAATTGCTTCAAGTTTGTTTTTACTTGGATAAAAGCAATTTCAGAAACCATTATCATGGACTGATTCAGCTTTTTAAATAAAAGTTAAAGTTGAAATGTTATACTATATAATATCAATTAAAATTTTCATAGGTCTACTATTAATTTTAATATTGCTATAAAAATATTTTTAAATTACTAAATAAGGAGGATTATATTAACTATGTTAGTCTTTTTATCCTAAGGTTAATGACATATCAGCAATTATTTTTTATGCTTATAGATCTTTTAATTTAATTTTATGTAGAATATTTTAAATAATGAATTACTATCAAGATAAAATCATCAAAACAAAAGTATTTAATTAAATTTGTGGATTATATCTTTCTGATTAAAAATCAAAATTTCCTTTTTTATCAAAATAATTCTTTAAGAAAAAGATAATTTGATCTATGAATCACTTTATCTTTCACTTGTTTTTTTAAATCAAATACTGACAATACCATCATTGTTTTTTTACTTTTGTATTTTCTTATTATAGCTAATTTAAGTGTTTTGCTTTATTTTTAAAATTGTAAATATTTTCTTCAATTCAAATAATCAAAAACTTATCTGATTGAATTATGTATCTATGTAGAAATTAAACTAAATAAATTTGATTTGTTTGTAATTTGAAACATTTTAGACGAGGATTAATCTTTTATATTAAATAGCTAAATATCTGATAACCTTATTTTTGTTATGTTATTTATTAATCAAATGTAGAGATTTAATATAAACATAATTTGACTAAAAGCTATGAATGATCTAATTATTTTTTCTTTTATATTTTTTTCTGATTTATGTTGAAATGCATAAATGAGATTGTTACATTTAAAAGATTATTTATTAGCCATTTAACTTTTATATCAAGTAGTATTTATATATATATCTTTAAATAAGATTAGAAGGTAGGTTAAACTAGAATAAATATTCATTCCTATCTAAAAAAAACATTTTGTTATTACAAAATATATATCTGGATAAATTAATTTCATCAATTTCATTTTAGTTTATGTGGAATATTTTTGAATACTTACATTTATTCACTTATGAAAAATTTTTTTAAAAGTGGGAAATTTATATTAATTTTGCTTATTATTTATTTTTACTGATATTAATAACCTTTACTTCTAAATTTTCATTTGAAAAAAACAAAATACAAAAAATTTAATTTTATACAGACACAGGTTTACAATACTATAAAAATGATATAGAAAAAATGTTAAAAAGTAAGTTTAAATATAAACCTTTATTTAGCAAGTATAATTTTAAAATTTATTACAAATAATTTATAAAATTTTAATTTTTATAAAGCAAATTAACAATTGTTTTATTCATGAAGTTAATTTTATTTGTATGTACTCAATCTTCTTCAAAATTTACAAAATTTTTTTAAGATATTTTGTAAAGTTAGATTGTAAGATTTTTCAATTGAAGAAAAGTATTTGATCAAAATTTCAATTATACTGGGGACAAATTATAATCAGATATTATCAATTAAGATTTTTTTAACTAAAAAATACAAAATTTGATTGGATTTCGAAGTATTTAAGAAAAAATGTAAATATTTTGATGTTTTTTTGATTATTTTAACTATTTTCTTTTTATGAAAACCTTAAGACAAATACTTCATATTTTTTTATCATTTAATTTCAAAAATTTTAATTTTTAATTCAATAAAATATCTTTCCTCTTCTTCGTATTGATGATACCCAAATTTTAGAGAGTAAAAATTTTAATAATTTATACTTTTGCCTTTACTGATGAAAATTTAAATCGCTTGAACAAAATAAATCCACATAAATTTCTACTTATTATCATTGTACATAATAAGCTATTTTAGTTAATAAATGATCATATAAACCATTAAAAATACTGATTTATTTACAATTAAACACTCTTGTTATAGTTTCATGCATTTACAATCTATTTGTAAGTAATATTATATCGTTCTATTTAATTACTGTTTATATGGTAAATATTTATGTAAAAGGTATTTTAATAAATTTGTGGTATTTTATTATTTTTTTACAGAAAAATAAATAATTAAAATGCCTTCTTATCATTAAGTCAAACGCACTAAATGAAAAAGAAGAGAAGAAAACCATAATTTTTTTTCTATTTTATCATTTAAATTAACTTCATTTCCATAACAATATTATCCGTTGTAATCAACTGTCTTAAATCAAATAAAGCCTCATTTCAAATAAATATAAAGACCCTTTTATAAAAATGCGCAATTTTAATTCTACTCTTTACAAGAATAATAAAAATAAATATGCTTCCATAATCGTATTAAGATTGAAAAATAATTATTTTATGTTTAAATTTTATTTATTTCCTTGAATGAGATATCCGCTATATTTATAACTACTGTATTAAATAAAGAATGGGCTTTTCATTATTAGCTTTTATTAAATTTACTTTTATTGATTTCTAAGTATGTTTATTAATTTTTTAACTTATTTTCTAAAAATAAAAGACTGTGGATGTAAATTTTAAAGATCCAAGCTAAATAGATTGGATTAATCAAATTTTAACAAAAATTTTTGAGAATAATTTTATTATTTTTAAATTATTTGTAATTTTATTTAATAAACAATTTGCTTTATCAAGTATTAATTTTTAATTTTAGACTTAAATTTTAAGCTTAAATTAATTTCCTCCAGATAGATTTTCGATTTATTTATTTAATATGCAATTTGCTTTCTCAAGTATTAATTTTGAATTTCAGGTATTATTTTAAAATCTAATTTATTTCCTCCAAATTCTGATTTAATAATGTTAATTAATTATTGTTTTATCTTTAATTTTATTGATTTTATTTTACCATCTTTTAAAATATACTTGCCTTAATGAAGTATAAATCATTAAATAAAATAAACCTCATTTCAAAAAATGCACAAATTTTAATTCTACTTTTTACAAGAATAATAAAAATAAATAAGTATGCTTAGATAATCATACTAAGTATGAAAAATTATTATTTTATGTATATATTTTATTTTATATCTTTGAATGAGATATCAAATATTTATCTGCTCTATGTAAATATCTTAATATTTAACTTACATGTTTATTGATGATTGATTTAAATTTTTCAGATAAAAGCTAAATTTATTAAGGATTGATCAAATTTTAACAAAACTTTTTGAGAGTAATTTTTATTTTTTCTAAATTGTTTGTAATTTTATTCATTAAACAGCTTGCTTGTTCATAAATTAATTTTGAATTTTAAACACAGATTCAAAGCTTTAATTTATTTATTTGAGAAAAATTTTTAAATTAAATTTTTTATTCAGTTAGCAATTTGCTTGCTCAAGTATGAATTTTGAATTTCATAAAATATTTAAAGCTTTAATTTATTTAAAATTTCCATTTAATAAGGTTAATTATCTTTAATTTTATTTGATTTTAGGTTACCATTTTATAAAGTATACTTACCTTAACAAATAAAAAATCACTTAAATTTAGCTCTATTCTTAATTAAATTCTAAACTATCAATTCTTGCATTACTATCCTCACATAAAAAAATTATTTTTATTTTATGAATTAACTGTATGCTCATATTAAAAAAAATTAATTTGTTTTTATTTTATTATTATTATTATTAGTGAGATTATTTTTTTAAATATTTAACAAAGATTTTTAAAGATTGAATTAAGTTCTAGATTTCCTGTTAAATTAATTTATAATTAATGAATTTTAATAGTAAATATTAATAACAAAACAGTTTGATATATTTTTTTAATAGAAATAAAATATAATTGTAATTTTTAGAAAGAAAAACTATTTATAAAATAATAATAATGAAAATCTAAATATTTATTTGTTAGTTAGTTAGTTAGTTTAATATATTAAATTTTTTAATATCTTTGATATTAATTATATGCAATCAATATTTATCAATTTTTATATATTATGAAGAAGTAGAAAAAAATAAGAATAATAGAGATAATTTTTATTTTATCAATATGAATTAATTTTATCTTTAATACTTTGATATAATATTTTGTTCAATATTTTTATTATTGAGAATTTATATTAAATAATTTTTATAAAAAATAATCAAATCTACAATAAAAAGTATTCAGTTTATTTATCTAAAAGATTTTTTTTAAAAAAATTTACCAAGCATTTATTTATTTATTAAAAGTATTTGATTATTAAATAAAAAATAAAGAACAAAACATATTAAAATTTTCTGAATATTTGCTTTGAATTATAACTTGATTAAATTATTAATACAAACAATATGAAAATATATAGAATATATTTTAAAAATAAAAAATAAAATATCAAGCAACTTATTAGTAAAAATATTTTGGGATGTTTAATCTCCTCTAGCAAAGTTTCCTTAAGCTCCTTATTATCCATGACTTCTTCCTCTTTAGCTTACTAATAATTATTGCCTCCAAAATGACTTCAATTGACTCCTTTATATCCAAAGTAGCCTCCTTATGATCCTTGGCCTCCTTATTATCCTCCTTGACCTCCTTAAAGCACTTGTTAGCTTCCATATTGACCAGCTTAGCCTCCTTATGATCCTTGGCCTCCTTATTATCCTTAGCCTCCTTATTATCCTCCTTGACCTCCTTAAAGTACTTATTAGCCTCCATATTGACCAGCTTATCCTCCTTATGATCCTTGGCCTCCTTATTATCCTCCTTGACCTCCTTAAAGCACTTGTTAGCTTCCATATTGATCAGCTTAGCCTCCTTATGATCCTTGGCCTCCTTATTATCCTCCTTGACCTCCTTAAAGTACTTATTAGCCTCCATATTGACCAGCTTATCCTCCTTACGATCCTTGGCCTCCTTATTATCCTCCTTGACCTCCTTAATATCCTTATTAGCCTCCTTAACTTCCTCCTTGAGCTCCTTAGCCTCCTTTTTGTCCCACCTGGTTTCCTTTACCTCTTGCAATTTATAATTGAAGTACTAAACTACTCTCTTTATTAGCATAGAGTAATTCTCCTGCTTGTTTCTTTTCTTAAGAATTTTAAGCATTTTACAGGTTTATCTTTTAAGCACCTAAAATGATTTACTTTTTAGCATTCACAACTAATAAAATCAAAGGTAAAATAAAAATTAATATCTTGGTCTTATTCATTTATTTTTTAAAAGTTTTTATTTATTTAATGATTATTGAATTTAATTATTATAATTTTTAGATGATTATTTTGCTTATTTTAAACAGAGTTTGTTTTCTTATTATTTAAGAAAAAAATAATCTTAATTTGTATTACAGCCTAAAATTAAAGTAAGCATATCTTTAATATCTGAATATCCCTTAAGTATTAAAAACTTATAATCTGTTGTTCAAGTGATTAACTCTTAATTAAATTCTTTAATTAAGTAAAGTGGATTTTTTTAATTTGAAAGATCAAACTAAATCATTTAAAATTTTTATAACGCATTCAAATATTTGAAATTTTCATTACATACCTTAATTTTTTATGATTTTAACTTACTTCAAGTTTTTATTAGGAGAAAAGCCATTTTTACTTTTCATAATTTTGGACCGATTCAGCTTGCACAATGAGAGATGAAATTGAAAGGTTATACGATATCAATTAAAATTCTCACATATCTATTATTCATTTTAATTTCTATTATTGCTTTACAAATATTTTTAAATTACTGAGTAAGGAGTATCGCATCGTACTAACTATAATATGCTTTTTATCATTGGTTAATTATAAATCAGCATTTATACTTATTGATCTTTTAATTTAATTTTATGTAGAATATTTTACATAATGCTTAACTAGCAAGACAAAGCAAATGTATTTAATTAAATTTGTGGATAATATTTTACTGATTAAAAATCAAAATATCCTTTTCCCTCAAAATGATTCTTTGGCTAATTAGGAAAAAATATAATTGCTTTTTTTTACTTTTGAATTTTTTTAGTATAATTAATCTAAGTGTGTATTTTAGTTCTAATATTGTAAATAATCAATTCAAAAATTTATCTGATTGAATAATGTATTTAGGTAGAAATTTTTGTTTTTTATTTGAAAAATTATAGGCAAGGATTAATCTTTTATAACAAAAAAGCTAAATATCCAATAACCTTATTCTTACTATGTTATTTATTAATCAAATGTAGAGACTATAATATAAACAAAATTTGACTAAAATCCTTGAATGATCTTATTATTTTGAGTCCATTATTTTTTCTTCTATATTTTTTTTTATGATTTATGTCTAAATGAATTCATGGGATTGTTATATTTAAAAGATTATTTATTTGTCATTTAGCTTTAATATCAAGTAGTATTTTGTAACACATATCTTTTAAATAATATTAGATAGTAGGCTAAGCTAGAATAAACATTAATTCCTATCTAAAAAACAAACAATTTTATTATTATAAAATATATATCTGCATAAATTTCCTCAATTTCATATTAGTTAATTTAGAATATTTTCAAATGCTTACATTTATTCTAAAATTTAGCTATGAAAAACCTTTTAAAAGTGGGGAATCTTTTTTTGTTTACTATTTATTTTTTTGTATTTTTAATGATAGTTATCATATTTATTGTAATTTATTTTCCTATGAAAAAAAAAAACAAATACAAAAAATTGAATTACAGACAAATACAAATTTAGATTACTAAAAAAAAATGTAACAAAAAAAATGAAATATTAAAAATGTTAAAAACTAAGTTTAAATTTTAACCAATTTTTAGCAAATATAATTTTAAAAGACAAATTATTTATTAAATTTTAATTTTTATAAAGCAAATTAAAAATTATTTTATTAGTAAAGTTAAAATTATTATTTTGTATTTTATCTTCTTTAATATTTAATAAGCACATTTTGTAAAGTTAAATTATAAAGATTTTTCAATTTAAACTATTTGATTAAAAATTAGTATTAATTTCTTTTCATTTATACTGGGGACAAATCATAATAATGAGATATTAGTATAAATTAAAATTTATACTTAACTAAAAAATACAAAATTTGATTTTTCGTAGAATTAATGGAAAAATGTAAATAATTTGATATTTTTTAGATCATTTTAACTATTTTCTTTATATGAAAGTCTGAAGACAAATACATACTTCATATTTTTAATTTATAATTCAACTTCAAGAATTTTAATATTAACTCTATAAAATAAATTTCGTCTTCTCTTTGATACTCACAAATTCTTTAGAAAGTAAAATAATTTATACTTTTGTCTTTTCTCATCAAAATTTAAACTGCTTAAACAAAATAAAGTCACTTAAATTTATATATTTTATAATTTTATATTTTAAGCTATTTTAAAAATCAATTATCATATAAACCATTAAAATTATGGCTTTTTTAAAAATTAAAATCTTTTATATTTTCACACATTTTCAATCAATATGTATGTAATATAATATCATTCTATTTAAAACTGTTTATGATTAAAATTTAATATTGTAAGATTTAAGGTTTGTATTAATATTTATGTACGAAGCTTTTTAAATAAATTTGTGGTATTTTATCCTATTTTTTTACAGAAAAATAATTAAAACGCCTTCTTAGCATTTAGTCAAACGCACGAAATGAAAAACAAGAAAAGCAAAATTTTTTTCTAATTTAATATTTAAATTAACTTCATTTCCATAACTAAAATAACCATAGTAATCAACTCCATTAAATCAAATAAAGCTACATTTCAAATAAATACAAGGATTATTTTATAAAAATACACAAATTTTAATTCTACTCTTTACAAGAGTAATAAAAATAAATATATAATTGTACTAATAATGAAAAATTATTATATATTTTATTTATAAATTTTATTTTGTATCCTTGAATGCTTGAATAAGATATCCACTCTTTTACTGCTGTATTAAATTAAGAATGGACTTTTCATTATTTGCTTTTATTAAATATCTTTTGATTAATTTCTAAGTATCTTAATTTTTTAACTTACTGTCTAAAAATAAAATGCTCTGGATGTAAATTTTACAGATAGATACTAACTAAATAAAATAATTGGTTTGATAAAATTTTAACAAACTTTTTGAGAATAATTTTTATTATTTTTAAATTATTTGCAATTTTATTTAATAAAATAAATATAAATTTTTATTACTTTTTTAGTTGTAATATCCTAAAGATTTAATATCTTCAATATATGAATTTATTCATTTTTCAAAGAAAAATAAAAACTTTAGGCTTTATATAAGCTTTTCCTTATTCATTTAATTTTGAAAAAAATAAAAATGGAAAATATTATTTGGTTATTGAAATAAATGGATTAAATGTAATTAATTATAAGTATATGAAGATATATAATTGATAACATTTTTAATTAAATGTGAAAAAGAGAGTGAGTGATAGATAATTTATATTAATTTTATGTAAATATTTTATAATTTTTTTAATAAATTTATTTGTACATAATTTTATTTTATTGTTTTTGTTTATTTGTGAGTTAAAATGGAGTAGACTTTATTTGTTTGTTTGCTTGCTAGATTGCTGGAGGTTCAAATTAAATTTGTATTTTTCATTCTGCCTAATTAAATGGAAAATTATAGATGGAAGTTATTAAATAATTAAAGCACTTTCTTTCATTTCTTCTATTAAATGGGTAAAATTGTTGTCTTTTTTTAATATGGTTTTTAATTGTTAATTCTTAAGTTTATTCTGTATTAATTATATGAGCTGCCTTTTCTTTGCTAAGATGAAGAGTTATTTGAATTTTAATGGAGTAAAGCAGCTTGTAATTGCTGATTTTACTATAAGTAGGGATTTTAGCTACTGTAATCGTTTTATAATATATTATTGTAAATGTTATTACTGTTATTATAGTTTTGGTTATTATTATTGTTGTTGTTTCCAATAATGTGATTGTTGGTGTTATTTGAATGGAAAGAATAAGATTTTGCTTTTTAGCTTTAGCTATAATTTACTGGAGCTACAGAATGGTATCCGTTTCTTTGGTTTTTACTACTTGGAGATAGATGATAAGATTAATTTTGTATATGTGAAATTGTGCTGTTTGGATTGGTAAAGCTAGTGTTGTTATCATTTATTGCTAGATCTGATGCATTCGAATAGAAATGTTATCTGCCTCTTCTGTTTTTGATTGTTTTTTATGATTCGTTGTCATAGACTTTATTAGTATATGAATTTGAAATATAAGCTCCTTATAAGAGTGGCTATCCACTCCCTTTCTTTTCAGTATTTGTAATTTTCTCATCAAAAATACCTGATTGATCTTAAATCATTTTTTTCTTTTCACTTGTATTCTTAACATCTCTTATAAGCTTATTTAAGTAGTTATGCGAGTATTTTTAATCTATTTTTTATTTAAATAAAAAATTAAAAATGCTAAATTAAAACAAAAAAAAAATTACCATTGTTTTTCTTTGGCTCTATCAATGTTATATCAAATATTGGTGAATTAATGTCTGCTTTTGATTATCCTCCTTCTTTCATATGCTTTTTAAGAAGAAGATAATACGAAGTTGTGATATTGTTGTGGTTATTTGCATCTAAACTTTTAATTAACTCTTCTCTATCAATGCCTTGCTATTCAAGCTCTTTTACAATATCATAATCTATTGGCATGTGATTATATCCGACTATCACACCTGGTGGAATAGTGTAAGATCTTTTATAAAGATTAAACCATTTATGTGCTTTTATCTAATCAAATTTCATTCTTTTTTCAGGATCTACTGTTAATATTTTTTCAATTAAGTCTTTTGCATCAGGAGAAACATGTGAAGGAATACCGTATTTTCCTTTAAGAATTTTATCATAAAGCTTTCTAGTGTCTTCGTCTTCAAATGGGAGATATCCGCAGAGTAAAGCAAACAAAATTACACCTGAACTCCAGATATCAACCTAAGGACTTTCATATTTTTTTCCTTCAATCATCTAATTTAAAGAATATTTTTATTACAAATATTTAAATTAAATAAATAAATTTGATTTACTTCAGGAGCAGCATAGCAGGGAGAACCACAAGCAGTTTTAAGAAGTTCATTCTTTTTATACATATTAGAAAGACCGAAATCAACAATTTTAATATTATGATTTATATCTAAAAGAAGATTTTCTGGCTTTAAGTCACGATGGACTACCTGTAATTTATGCAGATATTCTATTCCATATAAAATTTCTTAGTAAAATTTTGATGCTTCTACTTCATCTAATCTGAATTGATTTAAAAGTAAAACTTTTGAATTTCATTTTGAATTGACATTCAAAAAAAAATAAAAAATGCAAATGGATTGATAATTGATGCATTTAAAATAACGATTAAATATTTTTATTTAGGTATTATTTCAATGTATTTTAAAGTAAGGCAAATCAGAATTAAATCTAGGATTTCCTAAATGAAAGTAAAAACTAATGAATTCAAATTTGGAAATGCAGATCAAATTCTAATTTATTAAATGAAATACCTTTGCTTTTATTGAATATATCCAAAGACTTCTCCCTTACTGCAATATTCCATTACCAAAAATATATGAGTAGGTGTTTCAATAATCTAAATATTTTTAAAAGGATTAACAAATTGCCATGAAAAAGTATGCTTTTATCTTGCTTTCAAATCAATTTTATAAATGAATTCATTAGCCAAATAAAATGAAATAAAAAAAGTCTAACTTTAGCATCAAATAAAATATTTTGAGATTGCTTTAAGCTTAACTTGCTCTTTTAATTCCAAATTATTTCAAAATTATTATATAAATTCCAACAGAATTGATTTGAAAAGCAAGATGATATTTTGTGAATGCTAAAATACTTCGTAAAGCTATATCAAGGAAGGATGCCTAATCATCTTCAAAATGTGAAGCTCTCTTTAAACACGCTCAACATCTGTCACGTCTATGATTTTCTTTTTTTCTAAAATCTTGATTGCAACATATTCACCCGTTAATATATGCGTAGCTAATTTGACCTTGCCAAAGGCTCCTTCTCCTAAAGTTTTAACTGAATAAAATTAATCACGTTATCATTGCAGAAAATATTTGAGCATACTTAAAACATAATTGCCTAATTGCTTGGATTTTTTAATTGAATTGAGCTATTGAGAATTGCTTTAGCTTTATGCTTATTACTAAACCTAACTCATAATTATTAACTAATTTGCTTTGCTTTGATTTATTAAATGAGTGAGTGAATGACTATATTAATCAAATCTATTATTTTGATTTGTTAATATTTCCTTTTATTTATTCAAACCTAATTATTTGTTAATTATCTTTTATATCAATTTTTATTTGTAAAATTATTAGTAAATTTTCTTATTAGCTCATAACATTTATTAATTCTTTCCTATCTTTTACTCCCATCACCATACAAAATCAAATATTAAATAAGTAAATAAATATCACATATCTCTATAACTAATCTCATACGTACTCTTTATTCCTTCTTTCAAAAACTATATCAATATCTATCTATTTATTTATATGTGCATGCATACCCATTCCTTCAAATTTTTTGCACTACGATAGAAATTTAAGTCCTTTTTTCTGTTTATATTTTATTTGTTGTTATCATTTTAAGCTAGCTATTTATTAACAATCAATCAATCAATTATAAAGGGAATTATTTTATTTTAAAATTACCCAAAAATGAATTATAAACAATTTATTCTGACATAAATTTTATTTTAATTTGAATTACTTTAGTTATTTAAGCAGTTATATCAGCAATATTCATTAAAATATCTTTTTTTTCTCATTTAAATTCACTTAATTAACATTTAGTACTCATTTAGTCTGGGTATTAATCAAAATTTCAAATTTCAAATTTCAGTTAGCCTTAACTTTTAATTTACACTAAATAACTTTAATAATATTTAAATATATTTATTAAATCTTAATTACATTAAATAATATTATTTATGTATGTTTAATAAAAAATTATATTTTTATTTATTTTAATTTATTTAAAATTCTAATTTCAACAATCTTTACTAACATATTTAAAAATATTTTTTAAGCTTCCTTTAAATTTATTTTTTCATATTTTTTAATTCATACATAAAAAAAAAAGGAAATTAATTAATTAAACGATTTGCATTTTTCTAGAATATTTAGAGAACATTTTTTTATATAAAATAAGATAAGCATTTTAAAATTTATAATACCACATTAAAAAAAAATTATAT